GCCAGAAAAGTTGCTCTGCACAGGATAGACAAACAACGTGTTGCGAGCAGAGTCGGAGGGCGACGAGGTCTGGTTGAGTGCTGGAGCTGTGGCGGTTGAAACCAGCTCATCTGGCCGAATGCAGCGCACAGTCCGGCCTGATGCAGCTGCCGGAGCTCGCATACCCAAGACGGACGTGTGATTATCGCACAGATAGCTAAATTCCGAAACCACGGACGACGGGGCGGCATTGGGCGCGAGCGGCAGCGTGAGCAAGCAGTCCGCGACGAGCTTGAGCGCGCCCGTGCAGCCCGAGGTGAAGACGACTGCGTAGTCCCGCAGCGAGACGTTAAAGTGCTTGCAGACGGCCGCCCGTGCAGCATCGATCGCGTCGCCGGTCTCTCGGCTCGCCGTGTGGTCGTGGTGGCTGTGCGGGTTGCCCAGCAGTGTTGTCGCGAGCCCGCTCAAGTGCGCCTCCACCAGCGACCGCGGCACCGGCGCAGCGCCAGCATGGTCGAGATACGTTGCGCGACTGTTTGACGACGAGCTCTGGCCGGCATCCGCCTTGGTTGTCGCATCGCCCTTCGGATGACGCGATTCGCCGCGGACGGCTTCGCGCTCGAGCTGGGGCAACTCTGCCGCGACAAGGTGCCGCTCGAGCGCGTCTTCATAGCGCAGCACTGCATCGACAGTTGGCGTGATGGGGTCTGATGATGATGATGATGATGTGAGTGGGTGGCGTGCGAGGTCGGCGAGCGCTGCCTCGACAGCGTCCTTGTAATGCACGCGCAGTGTTTTGCGTTGTGCTGCGAGTGGCATTGCGAGGGATGGAAACAGAACAGGAGTGCAGTCAATAGAGAAAAAAAAAACCCATAATAATAACAAAGACAAACGAATGATTCCGACTCGTGTGAATGGCACTGCGCACGAACGACGGGAAGAAGCTGAAGCATTGAGGCTCCTTCGTTTCGACAATGCCAACCAATGCACTGGCAAACAACCAACGAGACTATGCTTCATTCATTCATTCAAACGTCGAGTGTTTTGATCGTGGAAATGATCAAAAAAAAAAAAAAAACAACAAAAAACGAAAAACTCAGAAAAGAAAGACGAAACAGATTGAAATTCAATCCTCTTTTTTTTTTTTTTTTTTTTTTTTGAACAAAAGGTGAAATTTTTTTAATGCAAATTCAGTTGATGTCACTGACAAAGAAGAAGCGCACAAATGCTGAGCACTTTGGCCACAAACCAGCATCACAACATATTGTCGCTTGTCGCTTGACTGACTTTTGACTGTGGCTTGGATGTCGATTCTCGTTGTTTGGGTGACGGAGAAGAAGTAATCTACGCATTCAAAAAAAAAAAAAAAAAGAACCAAAAAGTCGGTTTGATTTTGCTGCTGGCACAGAAGACGATTTCGTGACGGCGTTGAGGGACAGCAGCAGCAGAGCGCCAACCGGCTTGTTGCAATCCCAGGCCACAGGGAGAGGGGGTTTACCGAGGGCGCCAATCGTGTCAGAGCGAGGTGACACTAGTGGGGGAGTGATAGAAAGGCGGTTTTTGGTGCCTTTTTTGCCGCTGCTTGGGATTCAGAAGAGGCTGCTGACGCAACCAACGCAAGCGGGGGGACACCGCTCTGCACATGCATTGCTATCCAAGCAGGAAAGCGCTGGACTACGGGGGCGATGCGTGGAGTCTGCTTTGAGCAGCATTGGGGGTGGGAAAGCGTGCTTTGCGAAATGAAATGAAATGTGGGAAAGCGTGCTTTGCGAAATGAAATGCGATAGATCAAAAAAAAAAAAAAAAAAAAAAAAGGGAAAAATTGCAGTTGAACATGTCAACCCTCCCACTGCAGCTCTCTGACAGGAATAGCCATGTGCGTGCACCAATTGTCTCTATGGTGCAAGCAGTGTCCCATGTTGTTCCCTTCTCTTTCTGTGATTGAGCCAAACCAAAAAGAACAAAAAAAAAAAAAAAGACGAATTTTTTATTTTATTTTATTTTATTTATTGTGATTTATTGTTGTGGTCTTTTTTTTTTTTTTTTTTTTTTTTTTTTTTTTCCGATTGTGACGTTTCGTTCGTTTTCTTTGCTTGTTTTTTTGCTTGTTTGTTTTCTGCATCGTCAGTGACTCATGCTCACAATACGACTATTTGTGTTTCGTGAACAAGCGAAATGCTGGACAGACAAAAAGAAAAAAAAAAAAAAGAAAAAATCGCATTTACGAATAAATCTAAACAACCCACCAAAAATGGTGCGCTGTCGTTGAGGGGCGTTTTAGATCACTATTGAAGCTATATTGAAGCTATATTGAAGCGATTGAAGCTATTGAAGCGATGGACGTCAATCATGATCATCAGCCTCTTGGCTCTCAAAAACATATCACAGCAACAACTAGAAGGAAGAAAAAAAGGACAAAAACTCACTTTTTTGATCTTCCTCTTGTTTTGTTTCTGTTTGGATGGCAGAATCGAGCGACTACCTCTTCCCTCCGGTTTCAGCTTGAATAGCTCTCTTGTTTGATTCTTCTTGGCAAAGGAAGGAAACAAAAAAAACAAAGCAATCCAACTGACCAAGCAAAAAACCCCCCTCCAAAAAACCCCAAGGACACTCCTGACTCATTCAGCTTAAAAGACAATGCCGTCCAATGCTTGCATTCTCGGGACGTTTGTCTTCTTTATGACCGCGTCGGGATGTCTGACAATCGCAGCGCTGCTGACCAAAGACTGGATCCACCAAACATACACGCTCCACGGTTTGGTCTATCCCAACACGCCCGTCGCGGGCACAAACACAACCGTCCACCAGTACCAAGGCATTGCGCATGGCACCGCCGAAAGCCCCTGCATTGTCTGGATTGTTAACAACACTGGCGACGGCACCGAAGACTGCCCCTTCCTCGACCCCTCGCTCATCAAGAGCGACGCCCAACGCTCCGTCTACGGTCTCATGGTCTCGGGCATTGTCTTTTGCTTCCTGTCGATGATCACTGGCCTCATCACTTGCCGCAAGCCCTCAGCACTGCAGCCCACCAAGTCGTTCATGTACTTGACATGTGAGTGACACTTTGTTTCTCTTTTCTCTCCTTGTGATTGGCTTGCATGCAGGCGTTGATTGGCAACTCACTTGTCTTGCTCTCTTCTGTCGCGCTTCCTTCCACTCTCTCTCTTGCCCCCCCCGCTCTTGTTGTGTTTGGTGCGATTCAATGTTGCAGTGGTGTGCTTGGTTGCTGCCTGCATAGTCTTCCCCGTCATGTTCAAGGACCCTCCGATCAATGGCTCGGCTTTCGACTACCCCAGCACCTGGGCCATTGGCTTTTCGTACGCCATTGCCGTTGTTGGCGCAGCCCTGGTGTTTGGCGGTCAAATTGTCATCAGCTGTTATCAAGACGACGAGATTGAAGTTTAAGCTCGTTCTCCCTCGTTTTTTTCGTCCGATCCCCCCCCCTTTCGATGTCCACTTTTTTTTGGCGCTTCTTTCCTGGGCCAACCAGCGTGCCAGTTTCTCGACAGGACTGCGAGAAGCTTTACACGAGACTGCGTGCCTGCAGTTCGTTGGTTCGTTTTTTTTTCTTTTCTTTTTTCCTTGTGATTCCCCCCTTTTCAGTTTTTGTTTTCTGTCCGCTTCTCATAGTTTTTTTGTTGTTGTGGATGTGATAATTATGATGATGCTGTGTTGTCTGCGAATATATCGTTTTTCTGAGATTGTTGAGCGGTTTTTTTTGAGCACCAAAATCCTCGCTTTCTTCCGTATCGCGTTGCTTTCTGTGCGGGCAGATCAGCAGCACTTTACTTGACTAAGAATTGTCATTTTTTCCTCCTCCTTCTCTTCTTTTCCTCAGTCACTTTTCTCTCTTCAATGCTCTCTGCAGGCGCAGCACTTTGTCGCGGCCACTCGAGCCTGCTGCTGCGGCTGCCCTCGTCCTCTGCCTCTGCCTCTGCCTCTGCCTCTGCTCGCCCAGCTGCCCTTCCCCGCGCCGCACTGAGCACGACAGCCACTGTTGCAGCAGCAGCAGCAGCATCAGCCGCCGCGAAGCAGAGCAGCCCAACGACGACGACGACGACAAAGACGAGCCGGCCATCTGCTCCACCAGAATCGCGCGATCTCGCTATTTCGCCCGCGCAGATCGCCAAGCGCGCCAACGCCGTGCTGAAGGCGTCGAGTGTCAGCCCACGTCATCCCTCTGCAAACAACCAGTACCATGGCGCAGGCCGATCAGGCCCGGCTGGATCGCGCTCCTCGGCGCAGCAGCAGCACGATGGTGGTCATCGCCGTCCGTTCGTTGCTCGAGCATCCTCAGGGTCAAGACCACAACAGCAGCGGCCACAAGGTGCTGCTACTACTGCTACTACTGCTACTACTGCTACTACTGCTGCTGCTGCTACTACTGCTACTTCTGCCAACACGCAGCTGCCTCCAAGCGCGACGCATGCTGCTGGCTCAGCCCCGCCTGCGGCTGCTCGCATTCCCAGATCACAGCGCTTCCAGCCGAATCTCGCACTGGCTGCTGACTGGCTCGCGAAGCACCGCGAGTGGATTGCAAAAAACATACCTCCGGCCTCGCCAGACGCTCCTGTCGATCCGCAGGGCCGAGATGCGCCGTCCAGCCATTCGCATTTGTTGCACTTGCCTGCAGAGCTGTCCGAGCCGATTTCGCGCCAGTGGCTGCAGCTGGTGCAGCAGTGCTTGCTTGGTGACGACGCCGTCTACGGCGACATTATGGAGGTGGTGAGCGCGCTCAATCGAGCCATCCTTGCGCACACACCCGCCTCGTCGTTCGAACTCCAGGTGTACGGATCGACTGTTGGCGGAATGGCGCTGGAGCTGAAGCCCTTCTTTGACCTTGTTCGCTCTAATTTGGCCCAGAACTCGCCCGATTCGAGCAGCACTGTAACTTCCGCGCCGTCGCCCTCTGCCCCTCTGCCCGCGTCTTCCGCTTCTTCCACTGCTGCTGCGGCCACAAGCTCGAGCCCCGCGACTCCATCGTCACAAGTGGCCTCAACTGAGGCTGCTGCCGATAGCTCAACCCCCAGCGCATCGCCAAACGCGGAAGCAAAGTTGAACGGCGTGCTGCTCAAGCAAGTCGCTGCCATTCAACCCAAAAAGCGCTCCCAGCACGCCGTTGACATTGACATTTCCCTGCACGTTCGCTCCTTCCAAGATTTTGTCTTGCCAGCTCCGCAGTTGCGGCCATTTGAGGCGCAGCGACTTGTTCCCGACCCGCTCCTCAAAGACGATCTTCGCGCCTCCATCCTTGCTGCCGTGGGTGCTGGACTGATTGCCGATCCGTCGCACCGCTTCCGTTCTACCATCCTCGTGTCCAGCTTCCGGTGCCCGCTGCTCGAGGTTATTGATTCCAAGACCGACCTCCAGATCGAAATCTCGTTTGACAACCGCATGGCGGCCATGAACACTTTCTTTGTCTCTGCGTTTGCTCATTCGTCCCCCTCCAACTTCCGCTTCATCCAACTCCTGCGGTTGTGGGGAAAGACCACCAACTTGTCGAAAACCGCCCGCGTCACATCGTATGCGCTCGCCTTGATGGGCATTCACTTTCTGCAGCAGTTTGGCTATGCACCAATCCCCAATCAAGTGGATGCGCTCCGCTTGCACACGGCGTCCAATGCGGAAGTCCAGCAGACACTCAACCGCCACCCCAGGTCCGAGCTGGTGAATGGCCACTTTGTCGAGTTTGCCACCGAGGGTTCGCTGGACAAGCGCGTGTTTGAGATGACCACGGACAAGCCGCAGTTCAACCTGGCAGAGATGCTCCACAACTTTTTCTTGTACTATCTCCAGTTTGACTTTGTCAACTACGCCGTCAGTGTGACCTCCCCCGCCGTCCGCATCAACGAGGTGCTGCCAAAGTTGGCGCAGGTCAGATGCCTCGAGTGCCGTCTCGGCCGCGAGCATGTGCCACAGTTTGCTTGCACCCTCAACGAGGACTCGTTCTCGCGCAACTTTTTGAATGTGCTCGATCCGCATCAGCTTGACCACAACACCACCAAGCTTGTGAACGGCAAGAACCTGGAAGCTCTCCTCGACACAATGCGAACATCACACGAGGCTCTCGTTGGACGCGATCTCTCAGCCGCCGCCATTTTGTTGGATCATCGCTACCGCCTCTCCAAGAAGGCTCGGCCTCAGTCGAATGTAGCGCCTGCTGCGCAGAGCGTTGAAGGCACTCCGGAAAGCAGTGCATCCGTGGATGGCAGTGCATGAGATCCTGATTGCTTGTTCAATGCATCATAATAAACAAACAAACACAAAGAAAAAGAAGAACAAAACAAAAATCGCCATTCTAATACATGATGAACGTTCTGCTTTTCCTCTCTCTCCAACATTATGGTGTTCAACAACAAAGAAAACAAAAGTCAACAATGTAGCGTACATGTACATTTAATCGGGCACACTAAAAACACACAAAGATTAAGAAATGAAGACGGCGACAGCAGAACCAAAGAAACAAAGAAACAACAAAAAAAGAGCCAAATAGTAGACACGAAACAATTTCGCTTCGATGGGGAGGAGACTTGGAGACTTTCCCCCGCCTCCCACACCAACAAGTTCACTTTACAATGGAACGCGACGGCGGTATCGCACGTACGGATCCTTCGGCATGTGGATGAGTGTTGAAAAGTCGATACCGGGGAACTTGTTGTCGACAAGCTCAATTTCGAAATCGCGAAGAAGCACGCTCCAAATAGTCTTGATCTGAGTGTAAGCAAACGTTTCTCCGATGCAACGATGACGACCTGGCGGTACAAACAAACAAACAAACAAACAAACAAACAAACAAACAAACAAACAAACAAACAAACAACAAAACACAGAAACCATGTTAGCGCAAAAAAATCTAAACCACAGCCGTCCAACTACATTGCATCGTTGTCCACTCACCAGCACCGAAAGGAACATAGGAAAACTTCTCCTTGACGGGGACAGACTCGTCGGCCGAGCGGTCAGTGATGGTCAGGAAGCGGTCGGGCTTGAACTGCATGGGCTGGTCCCAGGTCTCGTCGAGAAGGTGATTGATCGTGGGCGAGACGCACACGTAGGTGCCTTCGGGAATGACAAAGTCCTTGTACGGGATGGCCTCCTTGGACATGCGCATCATGGTGAGGATTGGCGGACGCATGCGCAGAGTCTCGCGCAGCACACGGTCGAGCAACTCAAACTTGTCCAAGTGGTTGTTTTCAATCGGAGGAAGCTCTTCGTGCAGCGAGCTGCCAGACCCAACCTGCTCGTACTGCTCGCGGCGAAGGGCATCCTGGACGGCCTTGTCGCGGGCAATGAAAAAGCCAAGCCACGAGCTCGTGGTCGACGAAGTGTGCTGGCCAGCGAGAAGCAGGCCAATCAGCATGCCGGCAATTTCGTCGTTGGTGAGCGGGCGGCCATCCTTGTACGTCGAGTCCATCAGAGTCTGGAGCATGTCTTGCTTCTTGTTGTTGGCAGCGCCAGAGTCTTCGTTCTCGTCCTCGTTCTCATCCTGGCCCGAGGCAGCAGCGACAGCGCGACGGCGCTCAATAATGTCGTGGAAGATTTGCTTGATCTTGAGGTGTGCGCGGTCACGCTTACGGAAGGAAGGCAGTGGCAGCCAGCTGGGCAGCATCCAGGCCTCCTGCGTAAAGCCGCCGTCCAGATCGTGGTAGAGGCCAGCAACAGAATCGTCGAGCATGGCGCGGATTTCCTCTCCAAGCAGGCAACGCGAAGCCGTCAGGATGATGACCTGGGCCAGCGCCTCAAACAGGTTGGCCTCGCCAGACTGGCCCCAGCGTGCAAAGTACTGGCGCGTTTCCTCCTCGATGAGCGGGGCATAGGTTTGCAGGCGAGCCTGGGTCAGGCCCGTCTTGAGCATGCGCTTTTGTTCAGAAAAGATCTTGTTGTCGACATCGTAGGCGACACCCTTGCCGAAAACGGGCACGGTCAGGTTGGCGTACACCTCCTCAGCGTTCAGCAGATCATTCTTTGAGTTGAACAGCAGACCCGAGGATTCCGAGCCAATCAAGTAGACGCAGTACCGACCGAGCATCTTGAAGCAAAAGATTTCGCCGTGCTGAGATGGAAGGGGAGCGGACAGCGAGTGAGATGTGGGGGGAGGTACAAGAGAAAAAAAATCTTTTTGAACGGAACAATTCAAACTGTACCTTCTTGAAGGCATTGTGCAAAAAGTTGATCGGATCTTGACCAAACTCGACGGCCGAGCCGAGGAACGGAATGCGAGATGGGATGTACGGGGGCAGCTTCTGCACAAGTGAAGAGAGTGAGAACAAAGAAGATGATTTTGCCAACAGACGCAACAACTTTGACGATAGTTAGATATCGTACAGCGGGTGGAGGAGTCAGCATGCTCTTGAGCAAGTACGCGACAGCGAGCGAGAAGGTGGCGAAAACCAGGAAGGCGGTCAGCGTCCAGCTGCCGCTAGGAGCAAGTGCACTGCCTGCAGCAGACGTTGCCGACGCCGACGCCGAGCCAATGAAGGCAAACAGTCCCCAAAGCTGACCGACAATCTACGGGCAGCACAACAACGCCAGCAGGGTGAGTCCGCCAAAAAACTTCTTCTCCTCTTGATTGAGGTATATTCTTCATGTTTGTAGTTAGTTACCTGAGTGAATGTGGCAGCAATCATTTTCTCGTTCGTTCCAACTTGGACGACAAAAGTGTCAAAAATCTGTTTTCCCCAAACCAAACAAAAACGAGTCGAGTTAGCTCAAAACATTGCACTTTGTATCAATCAACAACTCAAATTCGCGTTATTTCGATCATGATGATATTTTTTCTACATCTGAGATTTGAACACCCAAAATCCAAAACCACAGTGCATTGAATTGAATGAGGTGACTTTTTTTTTTTTTTTTTTTTTTTCCATGCATTGTTTCAATCCCTTCGTTTTTCCAGCCAACTGGTGCAACACATTCATCATTCACAAAGGGGTGATTTTGCTTGTTCCCGCCTCGTTGCCCTTCTGTCCTTCCTCCCTCGTCCCCGAACTCACCTCCCATCGGCAAACTGAGGAGCGGGTTGAAATCGTCCAAATTTTGCCGCTCACCTCAGTTCCACATTACCACTGAACTCTCCTCCTCCTTCTGCTCCTCCTCCTCCTCCACCTCCTCCTCCTTCCCATCCCCTTCCCATCCACAAACCCTCGTTCACGCTTGCTCTGCTTTTTTCATTCCATCTCCGACTTTTGAGTTTCTTTTTTTCTGTTATGTGTGCGTTTTTGTATTTTCCTCGTGTGATTTTTTCGCGTTTTTTTTTTTTTCAAAGTGGGGTGACTTTTTGTTAATTCATTCGGCGTTCGTTTCGTCTTTCGTTTCGCCGTTTCTCCTTTCTTGACGCAATCTTCAATCATGATGTTGATGATGATGATGTTGATGTTGAATCCGAACAAACACGCATTCAATCAAAAACCCCACTCAAAGTCACAGTTCCAATAGAAACTCTTTCGCATTGACATTCGGAGGATTCTGAAACCGCGCCACTCTCGCTCGCTCCACGCTGCCCCCGACAGACATTAGACATTTGCGTGTGATGATGACTCTTGCAACAAACAATCAACCTCAAGCTCAGGAGTCGGTTTTTCTTCATTGGTTCAAAGTGGCATTCAATTCGACCGGACAAGGAAGGAGAGAATTGAGGAGAGTCGCCTTACAAAGAGAGGATTATTGCAATGGAAAAGCAAAGGAAAAAAAAAAGAAAAAAAAAAAAGACAAAGAAAAAAGGACTGAAACAAAATGTTAAATGGAACGGAACTGAGTGTGAATTGGCATTTGCATGTCGGCCTGGGTAATGCTGATGCAGCTCGTCATGAATCCACAAACGAGCAACGCACTTTGGAAGCGAAATTCTGTTCCAATCTGTTCCGCTCAGTCTCAGAATTTCTCGATTGAACAGGCAAAACTCCACCAAACTCGAGCACAGATTCAATTGCCACAGCCTCGCACAAACCCAACTCCCACGAAAACATGTCTCGAGCACTTGTTACAGGGACGGTCGCGGCACTGCGGCGATGTGGCGGTCTGCCATCGCCCCGCCAATGCTCACTACCACCATCGTGCTCGACTTTGTCCTGGTCCGCGTCGTCGCTCGGCTTGCCCCAGCCAGTCGCACTCCCGCGGCGGTGCGTCTCGCTGTCCGCATTGATGCGCAAGAAGCAGCAGTTTGGCGACTTTGATCTCGTCCTGCCTGCCCAAGTCACTCGCGAGGACGTCCACGCGCTCGTGCCAAAGCACATTGAACGCCCGCCGTACTTTGACTCTGGTAATAACTTTTTCGTTCGAGATGATTCACACATTACGATGCACGCGTTTCTATTGCGTGAGACGACCGACGTTATTCATCATCGCAAGCGACCACTGAAGCCTGAGGGCGAGAGTTTTTTTTTTTTTGTTTCGCCAAGACAAACCCCGCTCACTGTTTTGCGCCATACATTGATTTTTTTACAGGCGTGGTGCTCGATCCACCATCAAAAATTGATATCAAAACCAAGCACGACATTGTTAAGATGCGGGCAGCGGGCCAACTTGCTCGCAAGGCACTCGATTACGCCGGGTCGCTGGTCAAGGTAAAAAACATTTTGCTCGGTCACTCGCTCAGCAGCAGGCAGGCAGGCACCATTCTCACCTTGCCGTGTTCTTGCGTATGACCCCCTCAATCTCCATTTTTCCTTGCATTCGCTCCGACTGGATGTCTAGCCTGGTGTCACGACGCACGAAATCGACGCCAAAGTCCGCGAGTTTATCTTTGCTCACAACGCCTTCCCTTCACCGCTGAACTACATGGGTTTCCCAAAGTCTATTTGCACATCCGTGAATAATATCGCGTGCCACGGCATTCCCGACGCGTAAGTTGCGCCTGTGCTACACGAGATTTGCAAAACAACTATCGTGCTCAAACTGCTCAAACTGTGCCACTTAGACGGGAACTGCTGGAAGGCGATATGATCAACATTGACGTGACTGTCTATTTGGGAGGCTTCCATGGCGACACCAATCGCTCCTTCCCCGTCGGGCAAGTGGACGCGACCGCCGTCAAGCTCATCCAAACAGCGACACAGGCGCTTCAATTGGCGATTGCAGTTTGTGGGCCCGATCGCCCCTTTTCCGACATTGGCTCGGTGATTAGGCAAGACCTCCTGCCGGGTTGTTCTGAATATGGCCGTGTTGAGTTGTTGCGCTCAATCTAAATTTTGCCGCGCACACAAAACAGCAAGGTTGTAGGCCCCTCTGGATTCGCAATCAACTATCGTCTCGTTGGTCACGGCATTGGACGGCATTTCCACGAGCCGCCGAACGTCCTTCACTATGGTGAGCTATGCGTCTCAAAAATGCCATTTTCGCGTTCTACAACCTCGCGTGCTCATCCACTTTCGATTTCTTGTCGCAGATAACTCTCTTCCATTGAAAATGACGCCAGGCATGGTTTTCACGATCGGTAAGCCGTTTGCTATGCAAGACGAGCGTGTAATTGTCAAAGCGACAACTTTTGGTCGTTGACCTGTCTTCTTCTACCCTTTTCTATCAACCAGAACCCATCATTCACGAGGGAAAAAGCAAAACAACAACGCTCGAGGATGGCTGGACTGTGTGCAGCCTTGACGGCGGCCGCGCCGTTGCTGCAGAACACACAATCGCCATCACTGACACTGCCTACGAAATCCTGACCGACTTGCCGACCGAAGCGAGCCCCTCCAGCTAGCCCCTCGCACTTGTCGACTTCTCTTCTCCAACAACCCCCCCAAAAAGATTTTTGGGACCAAGAAATCCGAATCAATAACTGAAAACTGAACTTGCTTATCATTTCAAGTTGTACGGATTAAAATTCACACATCATCAATCATACACACAAAAGCAAAAGGAACAGATGGACAAGCAAGCTCGCTTTACTCTTCGTCCTGACCCTTGATGAGGGCCTCGAACGAGAAGGGGTGGAACTTGCGACCAGTGCCTTCGTAGAACTTGTTCTGGAACTCGACCCAGTGCAGACGGAGGGCATGCAGGAAGGCAGAGAGACCTTCCATGATGAGCAGAACGGCAATGGTGAGGAACGCCCAGCCGCCCCACGCAAAGAAGAGGAGGGCGGGGTTGCCAAAGCCAGCGTGCATGACCATGTCCCAAAGAACTTCCGAAAGCTGGGCGTGGGCGAGCGAGAGAGCCCACAGACGAAGGTACGAGGCAGTGTTGGAGATGCAGCCGAGGCAGAACTCGATCGTGTGGATGCACTGGTGGACGATAATTTCACCAGGCTCGTGCGATTCCTCTTCGGGCTCGTCGGCAGCCTTGACAGCGGCGACTTGCGGGGCAGCGTGCTCTTCGCCGCCAAGGAGGTGGCCCTGGTCGTCGTGGTCGTGCAGAGGAGCGTGAGCGTGGCGCTTGTTGGCGCGGATGAGAAGGTAGGGCTTGGGGATGAGCATCCAGGGGACGCACATGAGGGCAATAATGACGAGGGCAGACTGCAGGTTGGCTTGCGCTCCCTCGGCGCCGTACAGAATGTCCTCAGTCTCAATGTTGCCAAACTTGAGGAACATGTTGATCAGCGTGATGAGGAGAGACGGGGCCTTCGAGTGCGGCCAGAAGTTGGCCCACTTGTAGAAGATCATGAGGACGAGGTAGCCAAAGATGCACAGCAGGAAGAGAACCTGGGGAATAAACTCGCAGACAATGTTGAGGGTGCGCTTAAAGTACGTGTGGTTGAAGACACCGAGGACGATGCCAAAGAGCATTTGGCAAACACCAAGAATGACCGACATCTTCATCTTGTAGGGGTTGAGGAAGGTGAGGCGGTTCTCAGCCATCGCCCAGACGGGGTCCATGCCAAAGACGTACGTGTGCGTGTTCCACAGGGGATCGAGGTAGAGGTCCTCGGGGAGGGAGGTGTTGTGGGTCAGACCGTCGTAGAAGGTGCCGTTGAAGGTGCCCGAGTAGCCAGTCCAGTTGCCGACGACAACCTTGGTGACGGAGGGGACGTCCCAGCCAGAGCCGAAAAAGTCGACCGAGCGCGAGAAAATGTCATTGTAAATCAAGCCAGTGTAAATCGAGAAGAGACCCATGAGCAGGATAATGTAGCGACCGCCAAAGAAGGTGTCAAAGATTTCACCACCCTCCTTGTAGCGAGCGAGCGGCTTCTCCCAGTGGATGAGCGCCCAGGCTGCCAGGGCCATCAGGAAACCGTGGCCGAAATCGCCAAACATGACGGCGAACAGGAAGGGGAAGGTGATGATGGCGAACGGCGCGGGGTTGACCTCGCGGTACGAGGCAACACCATAGGCGTCGACAATGTTCTGGAAGCCGGCCGTGAACTTGTTCAGGCGGTGGAAGGTCGGGGGCTTCAGACGGGTCGCCAGCACGTGGACGATCGGAGGGATGGTCGAGCTGCTGCGCTCGGTCGCGCGGGAGAGAGCGCCGCGCATGTCGGGCAGGAAGCAGTTGGGCACCCACGCCTCAGACACGAGACACTTGGACGACGCGTCAATGTTGAACATGTTGAGCGTGTGGAAGATGCCCTTGATCTTCTTGATCTGGATGGACCACGAGCTGATTTGCAGAGCCACGGTTGCGAGGACACGGCGACGGTGGTCGCGGGTCTTCTTGAGCACAGACTCGAGGTCTTGCAGGCGCTGGGCAACCTGGAGGCCGAGGTCGTAGCGCTCGTTGGCCGTCTGCGGGCAAGGGTAGATGGTGGCCGAGAAGCCCTCAGCAATCTTGCGGACGCGGGCCTCGAGCTGGTCACCCTGGAAGAAGACGAGGAAGACGGACTTGGGCACGACCGTGTTGGTGGTGGGGTCGGTGAGATCGGCATCGACGGGCGCGTGGCGGAGGAAGGCGTTGCCGCGGGTGGCACGCCAGAGGACGCGCTCAAACACGGGGATGCGCTCGCGCGGGATGGCGCCAGCAACAAAGCCGACGCGGACAGTGTGGGCGCCATAGACGGCACCGGCCTCAGCGTCGCCGAGCAGGCTGGCGTGCTCGTCGCGACCACCGGGAGCCGCCGCGCTGTTGTCGTCAAAGTTGTGTGTCTGGGCCTCCTCGAAAAACTCGCGAGTCGAGCGCAGAATGTGCGACAGCTCGGTCAGCTCGAGGTTGTTGCGGTCGAGCATCTCCTCGTTCGTGTTAATCTCCTTGAGCTCCTTGTCGAGCTGGGTGAACTTGTACTCGAGCTCGTCCATCTGCTGGGGCGAAGGGTGCGAGGCCGAGCTGCGGCCAACCTCAGAGGGGACCTCCTCGACGTCGGGAATCGGAATCTCGGCCTTGCCGAGCTGCAGCTCAAAAAAGCGCACGCGGCGCTCCATCTCGTCGCAGCGACGGACCTCGTTGACGTAGTGGCGCTGGAAGGCAGACACCTCCGGGTTGAGGTCGCGGAACTGGGCGATGCCGAGCTCGCCGAGCTGGCCGACCACCTCGTACGCGGCATCCGTCGGGATGATCATCTGCACGAGGCTCATCTCCTCGGAGCGGAACATGGAGCCCATGGTTGCTGTCGAGAAGAATGAGAGAGAAGAGAGAAGAGAGAAAAGAAGAAAGGACGAGAAACAAAAAAAAGTTATGATATTTTTTGGTGAGCACGACGAGTAGCGCGGTCAATTTCAATCAGAATCAAACAAAACACGATAGCAAAGTTCAGTAACAAGAGAGCGCATGACTTTTTTTTTTTTCTTTTTTTCTTTATTTCCCCCAAAACAACTGTTTTTCTTCCAATGGCGCATCAGCCAATGCACACACAAGGTTTGAATCGAACAGTTGCAGACATGAAAAGCAGGAAAGTGGAGGGCAACAAATGGGGGAAAAAAGTCCAAATGGAACTAAACCAATGGAGTGCCCTATGTGTGGTGTGTGGTGTGTGTGGGGAAAACAGGAACAAGGAACGAAAAAGCCTCGTGCTTCAAAAAAAAAAAAAAAAAAAAAAAAGAAGCAAAAAGAAGGGGAAGAACAGCGACCAAAGAGGAAGGCGAGCACGCAGACGGACGGACGCAGAGCAACAGTGCCACAAAGAGAGAAGGGGATGGCATGGTTGGTTGAAAGCGGGTGGAGGCGCAGGACGAACAAGAACAAGCAGCAATGGAAAAGCAAAAAAAAAAAAAAAAAAAAAAAGCAAAAAGGGGGGAAAATCTCGTTTTTTTTTTCCCCTCTCTTGCTTTTTGCTTTTTGTTGCTGCTCCACACCCAGACACACATCCACACCCACACCCACACACTCACACACTCAATCTCCATCGTACTGGCTGATCCAGTTTCACGATTGCATCAGCAAAAACGAAGAAAAAACAAAACCCAGTTGAAAGAAAGAAGCATTCAAAATGGAATCAAACTCACAAAAATATCAAGAAAAAAAAAAGAATAAAGAATGAACTTTTCTGAGACTCGGCGTTTTGGCGAAAAGTAGCACCCGAACGAATCGCAGTAAGGTGAGAACAGCTTAAGCGTTGGTTGCGAGTCGCAGTGGTTTTTTTTCAGCGGATCAAATGGAGCAACTTTGGTCGTTTTGTTTGGAGCCAGTGTTTGACACGACCACCCCGGATCGCAGCCTGGAATCACTACTGAAGCGTATAGAAAGGATGCCAGAGTGTCGTTTATTGAGATTTTTTTTGTCAAGAATGAGGGATGACCGAATCAGGGCTGAGCAGCAAGCGGCTTTGTTGACAAACGCTCAACCAGCCACACCCCCCCCCCTTGACTCTGTGTTTTCCATTTCCATCCAATGTTTGTGTGTCTTTGTGCGTTGTGCATTCATTCAAAAACTCACTCTTTGTTTTCCAAGTTCAGGTTGATCAACCTTTTTGTTTTGGTTGTTTTTGCTCTTCTCGATGTTGTTTTGCCGCGTTTTCCACTCTATCGACGTCATGTCCGCCACCAACACACAATCGCACATACACGCATCATCTCATCCACCAGTCTATCGTGGCAACGCGCGATGTCGTCGTTGTTGGAGTCGGCGTCTTTTGAGCTTGCTCCCTTAGGTCGGATCGCGCTATCGCCCAGAGCCCGGGCACCAGCGTTGCCATTCAATCAACTTGACTCAGCCTGTATTTCCGTCGGTGATGGTCGTGGTGGTTGGTGAGTGAGTGGGTGGTGGAAAGCGTTGGGATTGGACTGGGATGATAGAGAATGAAACAACCGCTTCTCGAATGATCCCGCTCTGTCGTCGAGTCTCATGACAAGGGCGATGAACGCGACGTAAAAAACCCTGCTCAATTGTGGACTGCGCCGTCCTGAATCGACCGAGGAGGACACCTGAGGGAGTGGAGCTGAGAATCGGCCCGCTAGCGACATCTTTGACTGACTGTTCCACTGCAGATGGCTTCTGTGTTGACACCACGGCAGCAAGCGCTATTTGAAAAAGCCAGGTCTTCCACTCGGGTCATGTAAGCATCGTGTTAAGGGCCGAGGCGTGGCCGTTTCTTCGCGCTGACTTATTTCGCGGCAATCTACAACAGACTCACATACTCAGGGATCACCGATGACGATGCATTGGTGATTGCCAATGGCCTCGAGGAGAACAACAATCTGCAGTGGTTGAAGTAAGGCTGTAGCAAGGAAGGGGAGTCACTCGAGACGAGATCTGACCTGGAACTGTGTCAAATAGTTTACAAAACAACCAGATCGGCGACATAGGAGCACAAGCGATCGGATCTGCGCTTCGGAACAAGCCGGCCCTAGTTGCACTCAAGTAGTTTTTCTGGTGCAGTCACAGGGGCTGTTGGTGACACGACTCTCACTCCAGCGATTTGATACAGTTTGAGCCAGAACAAGATTGGTGACGCTGGGGCTGTCCCTATCGCAGAAGGCCTGCAAACATCGACGGTGCTGAATGAGCTCAAGTATGAGACACAAAACCAAACCGGGACAACTCGGTCGTGGTGATTCATCATCCGTTTGCGAATCGCTTGCGCTGGCGTTGCATCATTCAAATATTGTGGGCGCACGCTTGACCTTTGGTGGCATTTTTGCCTTCGCTCACAAATGGGTTGCTTCTGATGTTTGTCTGGTATAGCATGCATACCAATCAAATCGGCGATGAGGGAGCAACGGCGATCGGATGTGCGCTTCGGGACAAGGCCCACCTGTCTGTTCTCCGGTACGTTCTGGTGCGCTGTATCGATGCTTCTCGGAGGTGGCGCGTATCTGATGTCACCGATGGGACGCAGCTTGCAAAGTAACAGGATTGGCGATATCGGCGCTTGTGCCATCGCTGAAGGGCTGCGGACGTCTCCTGGGCTGACCAAACTCTGGTACTGTCGCAAGTTTCAGCTTGAGTCATAAATAGCAAGATACTGACACTTGACTGACACAGGATGCACGCCAATCAAGTCGGCGACGCTGGAGCACGGGCGATCGGATCTGCTCTTCGCGACAAGGCGAATCTGTCTGTTCTCCAGTACGTTCTAGTGTTGTCACAGAGGTTCTTTGGGCGTGCGGTTCTAATTTTTCCGATTTGATACAGCTTGGGCAATAACAAGATTAGTGACATTGGAGCTGGTGCCATCGCTGAAGGCCTGCAGGCGTCGACTGCGCTGAATGAGCTCGGGTGTGGCAGTCGCACGTTTGACCTTGAATCCCATTTCCAGTATCGTTCACAAATGGATTGCTTCTGATGTTTGTCTGGCACAGCATGCATACCAATCGAATCGGCGACGCGGGAGCACAGGCGATAGGATCTGCACTTCGAAACAAGGCATATCTGTCTGTGCTCGGGTAGGTTTGGTGCTGTTGCAGGCGTTTAGGGACGTGCGGTTCTAATTTTTCCAATTTGATACAGCTTGAACAATAACAAGATTGGCGATACCGGCGCTTGTGCCATCGCTGAAGGGCTGCAGGCGTCGACTGCCCTCGCCGAGTTCGGGTATAGTAGTCGCACGTTTGGGGCTTGTGTCACATCTTCGTCTGTGCTCACGAATAGCTTGCTTCTGATGTTAATCTGCTTTAGGATGGATACGAATCAAATCGGCGATGCGGGAGCACAGGCTATCGGATCTGCACTCTGCAATAAGGCGCATCTGTCGAAACTCATGTAAGGTTCTGTTGTGGTAGATTGGGTGATGGTTGTGCGGCTCTACATGGAAGAATACGATGCAACAACATGACCTATCGAATTCCGAACGTCGTTCAACATTTGCTTTTCGCTTTCACTTGATAGCCTGTCAGACAACCAAATCTCCTCAAGTGCTGTTCAGCTTTTATCCCAAAATCTTCCGGCAAAATGCGAGTTCTCGTGAGTGCCCTTGTCTTGCGGGTGTTTGTGGCTGTGACTGTCTTTCTGACTTGATTCATTTTCCAGGGCCGATAATCAGCGCATCCGCGTTCAAGATGCCAACATTTCCCCGAGTTCATCGCCCGCTTTTCGATCCAATACTGCCAACGCGCCTCTCGCTGCGTCTGATTCGATGTCTCAGGAAGTTCGTCAACTCCGGGCGCGTATTGCTCAGCTGGAACAAGCTCAGCAAACCACTGCCACTGCACCTGTTATGTCTACCATTCCACGAGTGTCGTTGCAAGTCCTATCGGAAGCAACGGCGCAGTTTTCAGAGTCCAAGCGCATCGGTGGTGGTGGATTTGGTAGCGTCTACTCTGGTGTGTGGAGCGGTCAGCGAGTTGCGGTCAAACGGTTGGCAGCGGATTCAACCCAAGGCGTGGCTCAGTTCGAGTCAGAGCTCGAAGCCCTGTCGCGTTTCCGTCACCCAAATATCGTCACCATTATGTGCTATGCCCAGGAAGGCAACGAGCGCTGCTTGGTCTACGAGCTGATGGCAAACGGTTCTGTTCGCGATCGTCTCGATCGCAAGGATGGGACGCCTGCATTGAACTGGGCTCAACGCCGAAACATTGCGACCGATATTGCAAACGCCATGCACTTTGTGCAGACTGCCATTTCGGGTCAGCCACTGTTCCACTTGGATCTCAAGACGGACAATGTGCTGCTGGACGCTCATTTCAACGCAAAGGTTGCCGATTTCGGTCTAACGCGCTCGATGCCAGCTCAAGAGGGTCGAAACTACATCAAAACGAAAACAATTGCAGGAACATACAAGTACATCTGCCCACAGTACCTCGAGGAAGGCAAAGTCTCCATCAAAACGGACGTGTACTCGTACGGCATGATTCTGCTTGAGCTGCTGACTGGGGAGCAGCCTGGTATCAAGCTTGGAAGCGCAGTGAAACGTGCGCTGAAAAACCATGGTCGGCTCGATTCGGAGTTGGATACGTCGATCGTGTGGGGCGCACCTGACTGTTTGTTTGCCACCACAGTCGCGGAGCTTGCGCTTGCGTGCCTCGAACTCGATGGAGTTGATCGACCGACCTTTGACGAGATTCTAACAACGATAGGCCAATCTGTCGACCAGGGCAGCGCGCACGCTCATGCGGCAGTACCTCCGGATCGCAGGATGGAGCTGCGGATCTCGGCGGATCTCGTTCACTCTCGAATGGAGCAGCAGCAGCCGCACTCACAATCTGCAGAAGTCAGCGATGAATCAATCTCACGACTGAGTCATCCTTACAGCGCCATCAAGGAGCAACTGTCTCCTATTACAAACTCGATTGAGCTAGACTCCGAAAGCTGATTGGAAGGTCTGTTTCAATGCCCCGGCCAATGCCAAGCTGATTTCGTGCTGCCACGCATGTGCCTGCGCGTAGAGCCTGCTCAATGGATGATCCGACGTCCGACGTCGTTTCAAGAAGGGACGTTCGTCAAGACATCCGTCCCGTGAGCTTTTCTATTGTTTGTTCTTGTTCGTGTTCAGGTAACACATTCATAAATTCTATTGAGAAACCGAACAGCGTCGCAAAGATTAAGAGTGGAGTATCTATGTGGTTGAAATTCGGACATTCGCCTTCTGGTACTCTATCAATCAATCATTGCACTTGCGTGACCCCTACGACAAACAGAACAATGCTCGGAAACGACGCTTGATCGAAGCCTTGTAGGTCGGCGGTTTGACAAAGGACCCAGAGTTCGAATTGTTCGAGTCTTCGGTGGATGCGTCGGGACTGAGCTCACCACAGCAGTCTGTGGCTGCATGACATCCATCGGAGCACGCCCAGAGTGAAAATTGCACCATTCGATTGCCGAGAAAGTGTTCAAAGACGGCACGAGTCAAGCAACTCAGGATTGCGTGTTGAAACGACCCAGTCACCTTTGCACAGCAACGCATTCACCTGCGCGTTGATTTTTTGCAGAGGGACGAAGGTGACTTTCGGTGGACAGTGCAAGAGAACTCAACAAAATACAATTGACAGCGCGGGAACAAACTGGAAACACCAACAAACTGTAAAAAAACACCTACAACAAGCTATCGCAATCCCATCGTCTCACCAGTGCATGTAATCGATCGCTTCAAAGACACTGGCACCGAGAGGAGCATCAAAGACACCGAGGGCAATCGATTGCGCACGGTAGTACGCCAGATCATCCGGAGTCAACGGATCACCCGCCGCACGCGATTTTCGCTGCTCGTCCAGCTGGCGTTCGTGGAGAAGCTGGCGATGGCGATGAGCCAGAACCGCGGGCAGAGGGGGAAGAACCACAAACCCGTTGATGCTTGTAGTCTGCAACGGCGACGGCGGTTGAGCATCAATCGTGTTATCGCCGGCGAGCGCAGGACTAGAGGCTTCGCCATCGAGTCGGATTCGTTTCATGGGCTGGCCAGCGGGCACGCTTGGTGAGGGAGACGACGAGGAGGCAGCAGAGGACCACCGTCTGGCAATGGATGGACTGGCAACGGGTTGGTCGCGGCCGGGGTGGGCGTTCTTTGCCGGACCTGTTGCGCTCAAGCTCGGCAGAGATCGTCGTGAAGCTGCAAAAGTAGGAGACGTTGGAGAATCGATGGCAACACGCTCTGAATGAGCTCCTTTTGGGGTGGGTTGCAAGGTCGCTGCAACAGTTGTCGGCGAGGGTGTTGACGGCGCAGTCTGCTTGGACGCAAGCGTTGCAAGGGACTTGGGATTGGGCGAGAACAGATGAGGCGTTTCTTTCGGTTGGGGCGGAGCCGCAGCAGCGTCGGGAGTCTTGGTGCCACCCGTTGAGGTAACCACTGCTCTTGCGGAGGCAGACTCGTTCGGCGGCAGTTCCGTTTCCAAAGCGGACTCGTCGTCGGTCTGCACAGTGCTTAAAGCGAATAGATTACTGTCAATATTGACAGTAACTTGTCGGTCTGGTTGCCTTGGAATGAGCCCCGCTAAAGGGAGATACTTTCGTGGGGCGGATCGTCGAGACTCTACCGCCTCTCCCGCAATGTCCGGTGATGTAAACGAATCCTCGTCAAAGTCTTCCATGCTATTATCTGTGCTGTCAGGAACAAATGCGACTCCTTCGCCAAAGGCCGACTTTGGCCACTTGGGTTGGCTCTCGTTGTCCGCTTCTTGGGCTGGTGACTTTGGTGGACTTTGATGGCCTGGCACGTCATTGGGTACGGCGGACTCATTTTCGACACTGCGGCTTGAATCGTTCTCGACCATGTTGTTTTCAGCATCAGTAGCCGTCTGAGCCAAAGTTGGCTGGCCTGGCGCGTCAGTATCACCGGTGGACGCATTGTCATTCTCAACATTGCGGCTAGAAGCATTCTCGGCAATGGTGCTCGTCGGAAGCGGTTCAGACGTCAAAGTGTGAGCTGGTGGCTCATCGTCGTCAACAGGGGCATGCTCTGTAATGGCAGTCGCGGCCGAGGTCGTCGTTGTCGTCGTCGTCGTCGTCGCGGAAGGTTCGATTTGCATCGCAGTGGGTTGATCCGCACCCTCTGCCGGTGGGTTGTTGGAGCCATCAGCATCAGCTGGTGGCGGCGAAGGAATGTACATTTCCAGTGCAGGATAGTCGCCAGTATCCGGAGGCAAGTCTGTGACGGCGATCAGCTGTTAAAAAAAGCGGCAAGGTGGCATTTTGAGTGAGAAAAACAAAAAAAACTGGCATACTTGCACAAAAATCACACGAGTCAGCAACAACATCAACAGCAGCGTTTACCTCCGGGTTGGCCAACTTGACCACGTCTTCTTCCGAATGCGTGGTCAGTGGGAAGGCGGAGGCGAGCTGGGAGTGCGTCCAGTCGTCCATGCCAAACTTTTCCGTTCCAGCATCGTTGGCTCCGACTCCATCCAGTCTCGGTACTTGCGATGCCAAGCTATAGGCCTGTGAAGCCTGCATTCTTTGGTATGGCGGATCGGCTGGGTATTGTGTAAAGTGCGAGTGCGCACCCGCCGGTGTAAACTCCTCGCTCAACGCATCCACTGGCCGCGTTTCCCATCCTGTTCAACAATCAAACAGTTCAAAGGATGGGGTACATTGACCGACATCATCATTTCTCAACATCAGATGAGGTTCAACTGCAATGTTCAGAACTTACCTGGCAGCGTATTGAGCAATTCTTCCTGATCCGCTGGAATCACAAACTCGGCAAAAGACAAAACTTGCCGACTTGTCGAGCTTGTGATGGGTTGCGCTGAATCGCCAGCGCCGTTCGCATGGGCAGATGTTGGCGGAAAGGCCAAACGCGGCGATGGTGGACGGATGGTCAGCGAAGGATTCCACGCGGGCATGGCTCGCGTTACCCAGGTCAAGACTTCCTCAACCTGACGTGGCGGAGCTGCTGGCTGCTTTGGGGCGGACTGGAGGGAGGGCAGCTGCGCGAGTTTCGGGGCGTTTTGGAACACGAGGATTCCACGGGAGCCTGCTTCTACACCTGCCTTGATTTCGGTTAGTGCGGCTATTGCGTCAGGATTGCCGAGGAGGCTTTGCAGCGAGGGCACGAACTGGTGGCAGCCTTCCGAACCGACAAAGTTGAATTCGTCCACAATGAGAATCACGTCTGTCTTGGTCGAGTTGAGCACAATCCGGAACTTGTTAATGTGCATCACGCACCCTTTGATCTGCGCGAGTGGCTTTTGGTGCTTTCTGAGACGAGAAAAACACAACAGGACGCCAACAAAAACGGAAATTAACTTGCTGTTGCCAATACGTAGCAAAAATGTGCTGCAACGTTTGATCGACGCATCAAACCACGCGGGTATCGATGTGTTACTTACGAGGTGTGCATCTCAATGGCTTCTGGTGTAAATACGGACTTGACTGAGAAGACATTGTCGCTGAGCTCGCCCAACGCAAAGACGGGTTGTTGTGGGGCGGCAGGAGCAGCAGCCGGCTCAGCGCCATCGCCTACTGTGCTCCCACTGGCAGCAGCATTGACTGCGGACTGGTTTGCGGTGGTGGCAGGGGCGGCTTGTGGTGGAGGCGACGGCTCAATGTGAAGGAACTGTTGCAATGAATGACAGGCCAAGTGAGTCGACTGGGGAGGGAGGAAAGAGCTGCTCTGCTGCCCTGCCATTGGCACGGTGCTCATTGCCACAAGCGTTTTGCATCTGGATTGCCGGCGACAGAGCAGAGTTGACGCGGCAGCATGAAAGCAAAAGGGCGGGAAAAGTGAAACGAATCCAGTTTCGCGCCAAAACCGTGGATTCGAATGAAACGGGAGCGAGCGCACTTGGCCCCCCGCCTCCCATGAAGACAGCTACGGTAACGTCAGGGAAGGTGAGATGAGAGGGAACTTACGCGGATGAGCTGGGCAGCCGGGTAGGACGGCGTCTTGCCAGTGCCAGCGACTGCCTGCAGAATCCATGGATGGCGGATCAGGCTGGCCATCTTCAATGGAAAAAAAAAAAACAAAAACAAAAAAAGGCAACAACAACAGCAACAAGGATTTGGACTGAAGTAGATCTAAACAAATAAATAAAAACAAGAGTTGTATCAGAAATGCTCAGACAAGTGCGCGTGCATAGGACATTTGTATTGTGGATGTTGTTTGACACTTTAAACCCGATTTTCATATCAACTGCTTCGCCTTGCTTGCTGTTTATGCATCCATGTATCTGTATTGCTTTGAGCTATGGCATGTCCACAATTTCAACCGAGTGACGTCCGGGTCAATTCAGAGGATGAACCCTGCAAGAACGTTATAGTCCTGTTCCTAACCCCTCTTGCTCGAGAGTAACTTCTGATGTCTGGTGCTGCTGCTGCTGCTGCTGCTGCCGCTGTTGTGGTTGCTGCGGTTGCTGCGGTTGCTGCTGGATACTGGTGGCACGCGCTTCGGCAATCATACTGTCAATCACCATCAGCGAAACCTCGGGCTCGATGTGCATCCGCCGCGTGTCTGGATTCGCATCGCGTTCTAATAGCAAGCGAAGAATCTTGGCATTTCCGATGTGAGCGGCAGCGTGGATTGGATACTCTCCGGATGCAGAGCAGGTCGTTACGGGCAGGCCTTCGTCAAGGAGAAGCAGCGTCGCGTCGTACTGGTTGGCTTTGACCGCAGCCAACAGCAAGCCTGTCGCTTCAATACCTCGCGTAAACGTCAAGCTGGCACCGTATTTTAACAGCAGCCGCATCATTGCGATATTTCCCTGTGCAGCCACAAAATTACACGCAACACACTCAGCGAAACGACAATTCTCGAAACACCGACAGACATTTTGTGCAAATGCTGCTGGTGACCGACACGCCTTACTTTGCTCACAGCTTCATACAATGGAGTGGCACCGATCGAGATGCCGTCCTGAACACGGTGCGCATCCACGGTTGCCCCACGCTCGAGCAGCATAGTGGCCGCGTCAAGATGGCCCAACGAGGCAGCAAAGGATAGTGCTGTCGCACTCACGTGGGTGGGCTGGTTGATGGGTGCACCATGGTCTAGCAACAGGCTGCCTAGCTCTGGACGGTTCAAAATCACCGACAGCATCAGCGGCGTAATACGTCGCACGTTGGCAATGGTCGGGGATGCTCCCACTTTGAGCAACAGCTCAACAGTACTGCTATGCCCGCCTTGTACAGCCGCGAGCAGCGGCGTCCACTGGTCGTTGTCGGTATAGTCCACCGACACGCCACAGGCGAGCAGAAACTTGACTGTTGCGTTTTCACCGGCGAGCGCAGCTGAAATCAGTGCATCACCAGCCCGCGGCGGACAGTCTTCGAGCATCACTTGGGAGGCATCGCGCTTCCATGCCCGTGCTTCTGCAGTGAGACGCAGTCGGGCGGCCAATGCCACCCAATCCAGCTCATCTCCGCCCGACTCGTTCTCCATGTTTTTCGCTGCTCGACGCCACCTTCGCCAGCGATGGCCATTGTTCTCGGCTGTATCGAGCAGCAGCACTAAATTGTCCAGCGCACCTTGTGTCGCTGCAATCAGCACTGCGCTTGAGGCGTGGTCATTTCGCCGGTCAATCCACTCTGCCAAAATCTCAGATTCTGAGAGCAGACTAGCTTCGTGTTCGAGCTGTTCCTCCTCGTCGTCGTCGGTCCGTTCGTGATCTTGTTCTATTCCTGCAGTCGAACGTGGGTCGACCGCGTCAATGGCTGCTGCAGCAGCAGCAGTAGCAGCAGTAGCAGCAGATGCAGCCGCAGCCAGAACGACGTGCTTGACCAGCAATTGGAGCCGCTGCAGGCCCGCTGGACTCGACACTGCCGCTGCGAGCATGATTGGCGTCGTGTTTGTCTGCGATGCCAGCATGACGTTTGCCCCGCGCTCCAGCAGCCGGGCAACGACGCCGAGTGTCGCCTCTGCGTTCGGATTGCTGCAGGCCATCATGAGCGGTGTTCGCATCGTGCTGCCATGGCGAGCGTTCAAGTTTGCGCCTGCGTCCAGAAGCAGGTCCAGCATGCTCTGGTGTCCGTGCAGCGCTGCCAGATGGATGGCCTGGTACCGCGTTCGGGTCTCGCTGCGCACGAGCAGCGGCAGCCGGTCCAATTGCCGCTGCACCGCCTTCAAGTCGTTCCGGCGCACGTCCATAAAGAACGTCTCGAACGGCTCCAGCGGCTCCAGCACTGGCTCCATCAGGAATCAAATGAACAATGAAAGTAGAGTTCTAACACCAAAAGCAAGCAAAAAAAAAAAAAAAAAAGATGGACTGCGCAAAAGTGAAAGTGAAGACTTGACTTGTTTCAGAGTGCAAAATTGGAAACACAGCAAAAAGAGATTTTGGCAGGGTTCCTCAGCCTTCGTGATCGATGAGCAAAAATCATGCATTCGTCCGTTGAGAATATGAGCAAGCGGATTGTTGTTACAGTTTTTCTTCTCCAACTGAAGTTGACATTCTGAGAAATCTTTGCTCGTCCTGATTCAGCTCCTCAATGCAATTCCAGCCTTCTTTGACTCTCTCGTTTTCCTTCCCCCCACCCTCACCCTCCCCCACACATGATCTCTTTTTCCCTTCCTTCAACTTTCCGAATCCAAACTCAATGCCAGTCTCAACTTTTTTTTTTCTTTCATTCATGTCGCTTCTTGAAGCGGCGTCGCAGCTGCTCGTCGTGCCATGCTGCGCGTTCTGCTACCGCGACGCACACCGCACCGACACCGACCAAAACACAGTAAGCAACAGCCCCAGCGCTCATTCCGTCCGACCAGGTCCACCACCGATGTTCCGCCGCCCCCCAAGCGCAACGGGCGGCTTCGTGTGTGTGCTTGGAGGGAGTGAGACATTGTGGATTTTTTTTTTTTCAGTTATTTCAGCCTCCAATAGCGCTGGCAGTGGCTGGTGCGTCGGCTGCGTGCTGCGCGGCGTTTCGCTGCAAGATGCTCTCCTTTCAGCTTGTCTGCCACACGCCGCCCAACCCATCCCATCGTGCTCGGCTCTGTTCGCGCTTTGCTCGTTCGATCGCCTTCTTTTTTTTTTTTTTTTTTTTTTTTTTTTCCACACGCGGTCGAATTTCGATATATATTTTTTTTTTTTTGTGAGCGGTCGTTCGTTTTGGATTTGCTGCTGCGCGGCGTCGCTCGGTGCAGGCACATGCATGCAGGCGCATGCTTTGAATCTTCACAGGCGCTGTCAGCTCAGCAGCGGTTGACGCGGCAGCGGCGCTCAACAAGAAAAATAAAGCCGCCAAATTGATTTTTTGATTATTTTCGTTTTTTTTTTGCAATGGAAACTTCATACAAAAAAGAAAAAAAAAAAACACGAAAAATAGCCAGCCCGAAAGCCGCTCGAGCGCCGCGGACGCAGCAGTGACGGGCGGCGACCGCCACTGCCGCAAATCGGATGTGCATGTACACTGCTCGGTCGTGCGGGTGGAGCGGCGCGCCCAACGCTCTCACAGCGTCCGAGACGTACATCGTCCCACTTCGACAAGGTTGCGCTTTTTTTTTTTTTTTTTTTTTGTGCGCCGAACGCGTTTTTTCCTGCGCGATATCGTTCGTCCACGGCGGCATTGAAGCAACGAGGGGTGTTGCTTTTGGCTGCAGGTGACTCGACGCTTCTGCGCCTGCGACTTGGCCTGCTTTGCTTTCGTTATTGTGCTTCATCGCAACAGAATGGCGCTTTTTTCGGTCTTTTTTTTTTTTTCTTTTTTTTTTCCACGGCTTTTTTTTTTTTTTTTTTTGGTTGTCGCTGTCAGTGATTGTGCAACCTCACATGGAACATTGAACGCTTGTCTGCTTCACATCCGAGCCATATCATGCGACCTCTGTGCATTGCATTTGGAGCACTTGGGTTGAATGATTGGATGATCCAACTGCGACGCTTGTGTTGGATGCAGAACAATCAATGCAAATGTACTCACCGACCTTGACTTTGTCTCTGACAGCGCACCGGCAACTGCGAGGAGTGCGGGAAACACTGGTCGCCACTCTATTTCCAAGCCGTGGCCGGAACTGCAAGCACAACGCCGGGTCAAGGTGGCAAGAAGAAGAAGGCCACCCTCGTCGTCCAATGGAAGCAGCTCCATGCTCGCTCCGATTGGCAATCGTTGTGTCAACACTCTGAAATCACATGCCCTCTTGGCATCAAGTGCACACATCCACATTCGCGGGAAGAGCAGATCTTTTCAGAAAGTACGAGCCCCGACAACGTTTTGATGATTTTCCCGTTCAATCGGCCCGTTGATTCTCACCCCCCCCTTCGCTTGCCACCTCTACCACAGTCATGAACACAGATAACACTTTGCTTACTCATCGGGCTCGTGCGGACTGCGAGGCAGAGGCAATTAAGCGTGCTAGCAAACAACCAAACAATTCCAGCAGTAAGGCGTCCCACAAAGAATCTGAAGGTATGGTATTCTGATCGTTCGATGGGTCGACTTGGTGGGCGTTTCAGAGAATTTGGGAAGACAATTCAGAGAAAGCTAACTGGTGCGTGCGTGTTTTTTTTTTTCTTTCTTCTTTTTTTTTTTTTTTTCTTTTTTTGCCACATCAGCTCGACCGGCCCCGTCGAGTGCTCCCAAACCAGTCGCAGTATCAATTCCACAGCCGCACGAATCCGATAATGACACTTTTGAGCGCCCGCCATCGCCACAGGCGGACATTGAGGTTCAGTACGACGAGTGGGGATTTCAAGTGCTAGAACCCGAATTCCAGCTAGTGTAAGTGCAGTGACGTCAACCTTTTGATGGGCGCGTTTGGACCGTCCCCGTCCTCACGTCCCCCCCTTTCTTTTGGTGACTGTGTCTTAACAGGAGCAATCGCACTGCCAAGCCAAAGAAAAAGAAGGTCGATCCACACGATCAACGGGCGGCTTTTTTGAACGAGGTTTCTGTTTTTCGCGCTGGCACGGAGCAATTATTGCCAGGGAAACAGCCGCCATTTTTCAAGTTTTCAATCACCGATAGGCTGGAGTCGACCGTCTTTTTGTATCATCCCGACCACGTCAAACTGAATGATTGTCGCGAGCCCAATCGCCACAACATGGATCTTTGTGCCTTTATGCATCCTAGTGAAATGCCCTATCTGCCAGAGTGGCGTCGCTACACTGGCACGGTGGTAAATCACAAGAATAAGCCTGTTCCTGGGCTTCTTCCTGCTTCAATTCCATGTGAGTGGTTTTCGTTTTCGTCGTCGTCGTCGTCGTCGTCGTCGTCGTCGTCGTCGTCGTCGTCGTCGTCGTCGTCGTTGCCTTTCATGCCATCGAGCGAAAAACACAGTGTCCTGACTGCTATGGACGGGCACATGCAGATGAATGGTTTAGGTTTTTGATGCGAGAGTACAAGGTTTATGGCGGGTGCGACGGCGCTCATGAACCCAATCACAATTTCCGGAAAGAAGTCGTGAAAGCAATGTGAGTTTTCCCCCCCCTCCCTCACCCTCTATCGTTGTTCTTCGCCATCTACACCGCGCCTGCACACTCTTACGACGACGCATTTTTCTTTTTTTGGCATTCTCAGGTGTCATCGCCACCACGGTGACGACCAAAAGGTGCCCGTTTCAGTCGACGAACGCGGCGAATGGGTCCCTCGTCGAGACGATGCCAACGGCCTTTCGCGTTCCATGCATCCAGAGGTGTTTAAGACTGCGCCTTGCGAATCGATCGAGCGCAAAGAGGGCTGCAAGTATTTGCGTTACTGTCTTTTTGCCCACAGCCAGGAGGAGGCCGATTTGATTCGCGAGTATGCCGAGCGTTACCGCGCCGAGCTCATCCACGAAAAGTTCCCCCGCGGCCTCCCAGCGAGCAAGCCCGCGGCGCCCGCTGCGACCCAAGCTCCGGCTCCCGCGTCTGCCTCGCGTCACGCCCATGCGCCCGCAACCACAGCTGGCAAGCCCGCGCCAGCTGCCGAGCCTGCGAGCGAGCCTTCCCCGCCTTCCCCACAGTCTGTCTCAGCTCCTGCCGTGCAACAACCTTCCCAGCAACAGCAACAACAACCATCCCAGCAACAGCAGCAACAACAGCAAGCTTCTCGTCCCGCTGCTTCCATCACTAGCAGCGCCTCTGCCACGATCGCTCCTCCTGCTGCCGCTACTTCGGCTGCCCGTGTCGTCGCACCCGTCGAACCGGCTGCGGACGCATTGCTGCCGTCGCCGCAGCAGGACAAGGCGATTGGACTCTTGCCCACGCCGTCCGTGCCTTCGACTGGGTTTGCCCCGCCTGCCGCGCCTGCGGGCTCGGCTGCCAATGCCACCGGCGGCTCTTCGAGCAAGTCTTCGTGGGCCAACGTTGTCACGTCCAAACTCCCTGCCGTGCCTGCCCCCTCGAGCGCCGTTCCCGCGGCCAACGACTTCCCCCCGCTCGGCGGCGCCGTCAAGCCCGAAGGAGAGCGCCGTTCGGCGTGGAGCGATGTCACTCGCCTGGCCGACCAGACAAAGTCTGCCCTGGTGTTTGACGCAGAGTATGAAAGCGATCCCACCCCCAACGAACCGCAGCAGCAACATCAGCAGCAGCAGCAGCAACAGCAACAGCAACAGCAGCCGGCCTTCATCCCGTCTCAAGCTCCGACGTTTGGTGCGCTGCCATCGCCCACTGTGCCCGCTGCACTGCCTTCAGCTACCGTGGTGGCTCCTGCTGCCCCTGCTCCTGCTCCTGCTCTTGCTCCTGCTCCTGCTCCTGCTCCTGCGCTTGCGCCTGCCCCGTCCACCACCGCTGTAACTGCGCCTGTTGTGGTGCCGTTTGTACCCACCGCCACTCTGAGCAGCAATGGTCTCTCAACGACCCTGCCCGCGAGCCAAATCTCTCCGTGGGAATCCACCCTGTTCTCGGATTTCGGCGATCTTCAGTCGCTGGTCACGCCGACGTCGGGCCTGCTGCCCAGCAGCGCGACCGTCGCCAGCGGCGGCAACAGTGCTGTCGCTTCTGCCCCCACGTCCAACGGCGTTGCAGCGCCGCTGGTTGGCAGCGGCTCCTTGTCCGTGCTACCCGCGCAGTCCAGCGTTGGCCAGTTTAACGCGTGGAACATGACCTTGGGTGGCGGCGAGTCGTGGCTGGACTCGTTCATGAGTGCGGGCCCATCCACCACGACGACTTCGGCTGCGACCGGCGCGGCGTCACTCTGGCCCTCGCTTGAGAGCTCCGACCTGACTGCTGCGTCCAAGTTGGCAATGAGCGACTGGTCGACTGTCGGTGCGGGTGTCAGCCAGGTCCAGTCCCAGCCCGTCTCGCTGATCTCTCCGCGCGGGACGAGTGGCGGGGCCACCTCGACTGATGCCCCTTTGCCCACCTGGTCTGTTGAGACGGTGATTGCCTGGCTGCCGTCGGTCCACCAAGATCTGCACGAAAACTCGCCCTACCTGGCCAAGTTCCGCGAGGAGCGCGTCAACGGCAATGCGCTTGCGTTGCTGACCGACGCCGCCCTCACCACGCAGTTTGGTCTGCCGTTCGGTGTGCGCACCGTCTTGCTGACTGCCATTTCGCAGCGCAAGCTGGCTTCGGGCACTTCCGCCGCGCCCAATGCCGCTCTGCACGCGCTGCAGGCGTCCCCGCCCATGTCGCCCCCGAACGCCTCCACGACGGACGCCGCGCGTGCTGCCCCCAACAGCCCTCCGCAGGCCCAGCGTCTTCCCAACGCGCTGCCCTCTGGCGTCCCGGCCTCGGTCCCTGGCGTCAGCGCGGCTGTCGGCTCGCTTCCCGCCACCGCGCCGCAGCAGTCCACGTCTTCCTTGACCAACCAGGGCCAGGCGCTGCCCTCCCACCCGATGGGGTTGCATTCGCAGCACATGGGACAAGCGCACATCCACCAGCAGCAGCCTCAGCACCACAATCCGCACATGCAGCCCCACCATGCGCACCCTCTGCAAGCACAGCTGCAATCCCAGCAGCAACAGCAGCAGCAGCCGCCGCCACCGCAACAGCAGTTTGCGCACCACTATGGTGCCAAGGGTCCGCAAGGCCAGATGCACATGGGCGTCCATCCGCACCACATGCAAAGCTCTCTGTACGGCATGCCGCCGCCCAACCAGTATGGCTTTTACGGCGGCGCTCCCGACCGCATGGGCCCGCCGCCCGGTTTCCATGCCCCTGGCTACATGATGGCGCCGCCTGGCCTGATGGGTCCGCCCAACGGCAACTCCAACTACGGCTGGGGTTGGGCTCCGCAGCAGCAGCAACAGCAGCAGCAGCAACAAGCCTCTCAATCACACCCTTCGTACCATGTTTCTCACATGCAGCGTTAAGTCGTAGTGGCTTTGTTGTTTGCGTTTTTTCTTCTTGTTCTTTTTGCATTGTTTTTCTGCTCTTTCTTTTCCCTGTTCTTTCTCTCTCTCCCCCCCCCTCCTCCCTCATCCCACTCTCCCCACCTGTCTTTTTGTTCCTTTGATCTCAGTGTTGCGTTTTGACCTGTGCTCGCTCCTCTTTGATTCCTCCTTTTTTTGACGCTTTCTTTTTTTCCTCATTTTTTCGTTGCATGTCATTGTGTTTCCAAATCTACAAGTTCAATTTTCATCCAAGGCTATGCGATGTGTTTCTCAATGTCCAAACAGCGACTGCCAGTCTTCCCTCTTGTGTTTCGGTGGCTGTTGAGCAATGAGCTCGAATCAATCCGACAATGACGAGACCCACCGTGGTTGGACGTACGAGTCCCTCTCTGCCGCGCGCCAGACCCTGATTTCGTATGTCGATTCATACAAATAGTCATCATCATAGTCATAGTCATCGTCAACGGCGGACTGGTCTGGCTCTCGTGCAACTGTGGTGATCGTGTTCATGCTCTGGGCTCGTAATAGCTGCTGCACACAGCCAGCCACGTCGCCCGTTCCGACAAAACGAACATGGGGGGTGGTCGGAATAGCGCTCACATAGACTCTAACTCATCACTGCTCTGGGGTGGCGGGTGCAACCTTTGGTCAGGCCGGCTGTCAAACTCTCATACAAGAAGCCGCTTTGGATTGTGCGCGGCGAGCGCCAGTTTCTCTACGATCACAATGGCGTCGAGTATCTGGACGCATACAACAATGTTTGTCACTGTAAGCAATTATCGATGAGGAAAGGAAAATAAAAAAATAATCTCAGAGATTCGGGTTGATGAATTTGCCCGAATGGGATTGATTCTCACACCGTTACGTTGATCAGTGGGCCATTGCCACCCAGCAGTCGTCCAGGCGGTTTCAAAGCAAATGGCCATCTTGAATACCAACACTCGGTACGTGAGTCTGTTTTCGCGCGGATGGGTAGCTCAGCCCGGATCTTGTTTTTTGACAATGATTGCTCTTGTTTTTCACGGTAGATACCTGCACACGGCGATTGTCGAGTATGCAAGCCGAATCACTGCAACTTGCCCTCCAGAGCTGAGCGTCTGTATTTTCGTCAACTCGGGTTCCGAGGCCAACGAACTGGCTTTGCGCTTGGTAGGTGGAGAGAGAGAGGAGAAATTTTGGACGAGTTTTCAAGCACTTCTCATTTCTTCCACCCTGCAGGCTTATGCATACACGCGACAGAAGGACTTGATTGTGCTGGACAGCGCCTACCATGGCAATACCAACGCTGTGGTCGAAATGAGTCCGTACAAGACCGACCATCCTGACGGACCTCGCGCGCCAAGCCACGTTCACAAAGTCGTTGCCCCGGACGACTATCGAGGCTTGTACCGCCGAGACAAGTATGCCCCCGCCGAGCTCGGCCCCTTGTACGCCAAGCACGTTGAAGAAACTGTGCGCAAAATCGAGCACGAAGGGCGGAAGGTTGCCGCGTTCTTTTGCGAAGGCATTCTTGGATGCGCAGGGCAGGTAACAAATCACGAGTTGCGAGAGCCCGCGGGTGTGCCTATGGTTTTGTGCGCTGATGGGTCGAGCTCGACGTTTGATGTTTGTACTCCATAGATTGTCTTGCCTCCAGGTTACTTGGCCAGCTGCTACAAGGCCGTTCGTCAAAGCGGAGGCGTTTGTGTTGCGGATGAAGTGCAGGTCGGATTTGGCCGCGCTGGCACACACATGTGGGTTTTCCAGACGCAGGACGTCGTTCCAGACATTGTGACATTGGGCAAGCGTAAGTCACGAGAGACGGGGCTGGGTGATGATTGACTCGCAGTCCTGCTGACTCATTCATTGCTTTTGAAAACACGCGCCGTTTCTCACTTGCGGGGTCTGTGTGTTGCACCACTGCTGGCCCGTTGCTGTAGCCATTGGCAATGGGTTTCCAATCGGCGCTGTCATCACCCGGCCTGAGATTGCGCGTGCACTGGGTCGTCTCGAGTACTTTAACACGTTTGGTGGCAACCCTGTGGCTTGCAAAGCTGGGCTTGCGGTCTTGGATGCGATTGCAGCAGAAGGGTTTATGGAGAATGCACGAGTCGTTGGGAACCACCTTTTGTCGAGCCTTCGAGCCCTCGCTCGCAAGCATCCAGTGATTGGCGATGTTCGAGGCATGGGCTTGTTCCTCGGAGTCGAGCTCGTGCTCGACCGGCACACCCTCGAGCCTGCCACGGCGCTCACTTCCCGCGTCATTGATGCAATCCAGCAAAATGACAAGATTTTGCTCGGCACAGACGGTCCCTTCAACAATGTCGTCAAAATCAAGCCGCCACTCTGCTTCACCGTGGCAGATGCGGACAAGGTCATCGCAGCATTTGATTCTGCACTCAAACAAGAGACGCAGAACGCGACAATCCTTGCCAAATTATGACTTTCCTTCTTCCAAAAACAAATATTATAATCCAAAAAAAAAATCAATCAACTACCACTAATCATCATCGCCGTTTTGTCCAAGTTCATCCTCGTCTTCATCGCGTGGAATGACAACCATATCCACTTGGAATAGCATTTTGAACAGCTTGAAAATGTCCCGCTTGAACGCGTGGGCGGCATCGGCTGTCGCAAACACCAAGTCCCAACGATTCATCGCCTCGCGCGCCTTGGGTGTGATTTGTTCATCCTCGTCATCGCTTGCATCGGGTGTCGTGAAGAGATCATCCTCGAAGATCATCAGAACGCTGCAGGGCTGGTTGTCGGACAGCTCCTGCGTTGAACAAATCGAACGCAACACATCATCGAAACTCAAAGAGTCAGCACGAATCATTCACAACCCTCAAAAGCCAAAAACCCCCACAAAAAACTCTTAATCATACCATATGCGAGATGTCATCGATTTTATGGAAGGACGTCAAACCAAATTGGGGTTGCGCAGGCATCTTGTGGTTTTTGGCTTTCTGGTGAGGCGCGGGCCAACCAAAGTTTTCGACGCACATGAACAGCCTGTTTTGGATGACAAAGATGGATCGTGGTCGGAGCTTGCGAGATCCAGCTGAAGCACGGTTGTGAAGGAAGAGAAAACAAAAGGCAATGAGTGAACGTGACATTGCAAACAACCCTCTAAACCAAAAACGCACATCCACACCGCCTCCCCTTACCTTTACGACAAAGAACCAGGTGGTAAGCCTGTACCGACATGTTGCTGCTGGACGACAAACCAGCCGCACTACCCGTGAGAAGTTGGGCAAGCGAATCCTCGTCGTCCTCGGCCTCCTTGTCAGCAGCGTCCTGAGCGTCATCTGGGTAAAAGATGACAGTGTCGTCATCTTCATCCGTTCGAGCAAGCGAGTCATCGCCGACGGTTGCGGAGCCGTCGCGGTCTTTTTCGTCCAGCGTTCCGGGCACGAAAAAGTCCAGAATGCTCACAGAGTCCTCTCGCGCAGCGTTGGTGTCGGCGATCGTGTTGGCGCGCAGCCCACGAGAAGCCTCAGACGCAGCTGGTTTGCGCGTAGCCACGGGCCGTACAAGCTGCGGGGCCTCGACAATGCGGCGTGCCAGGCGCGCCACTTTGGCCAAATTATCCATTGTTCGGGGGCTCGGCGACGTGTTGATGCCGTCAAAGGTGGGCTCTGCGCCGATACGAGCTGCTTCCATCAAAACGGCCTCAGAGAGATACCGCATGTACACGCGTGTCCATAGCGCGTCGCGCGGGAAGAAGACAAACGTCGTGCCGCCCGCAAACTCGACGCGGAACGAGTGGCGACCCAATCCGACGTCGACGAAGGTCAGCTGCGAGAGCTTGAGGCTGGCAAACAGCTTCAAGTCGTTGGCAGGATCAGCAAAGTTGATGGCGCTGGGGAAGGTCGACACGGCACAGCGCGGAAGCTCTTGAACCACCGTCTGCACTTGGCTCACGTTGAGTGCCTTCACCGAGGTCGGTGTAAAGACAGGCGGGAAGGCAGACTGGTTCCCGAAAGAGCCCGCGGCAATGGAGCTCGTGACGTGCGCAATGTACAGGGCACGGGTACTCAGAACGAGCAGACACGGCGACTCAACACGCGCATCGTTCTTTGTCGCACCAGACACTTGCATGAACGTTGTGCGCATGCCACACACAAACTTTTCTTCGTCGTCGTCTGTGAAGAAGGCAATCGAAAACTGGAGCTGGGCGCGATGGTCGACGGTCGTGAAGAGGGACTCGAGCGTTGATGTGTCGCGCGCCAAGTCTTCGAGAACAGTGGCTGTTGTCGTGGGCTCTGGCGCCGTTGCGGCGTCGGGCAACTTTGGTGGTGCTGCGGGCGCTGGCGGCGGTGCTGCTGCGGCAGAGCCTTCGGTCTCGGATTCTTCGAGGATTAAGCCAGCAAGAGATTGCTGCTCTGATTGCTTTTGACTGCTGACTTGAGTGGCCGACGTGATGATGTCCGACCAAGCCTGGCTTTGTTGGTGCTGCAGCGGAGGCTTGACTGGTTTTGGAGCCTGCAAGGGCGCTGGTTGCGGTTGGACTGGTTGTAGTTGTTGTTGTTGCTGCTGTTGCTGTTGCTGTTGCTGTTGCTTGTCGTCGCCAAAATATTTGACGACAAACACTGACTTGCACCGAGGGCAGGTGCCATCAGAATTGGCGTCAAGCAGGGCGGCAGCGGCGGATTTCGCGCCAAACGCGTTGGTGATGGCTGCAACCACACCCGACACTACTGGCTCCGATCCACGCTCGGAAAATGTGAATGAGCACGTCGCGCACTGGAAGCGGCCTTGAAGGCGCCGATCCAGGGAGTTCTTCTCGTTTGCAAGAAGAACTGGCCGAAGGATTGCCATCAGCTCGTCCTTTTCCGCGTCATCTTCCATCGTGTACTCTCGCTCCTTCACCACGGTTCGCGTGTAGCTAAACACGAGGTGCAGTGTGGGACGGTTTCCCTCTCGGCGAATTTCGTCGACAGAGGTCAGGGCTTTGGTGTCGAGCATGTCCACGAGGCTGCCGTTCGCCACGTCCGACTCGAGAATGGAGTCTTCACTCACAGTGATGATGCGTGAAATGCGCGTAAAATTGTTCCGTCCAAGCACATCCACGATGAACTCGGTCGTCGCGACATTTTCCTGCGTGGAGGTAGCATCGCCCGTTGAGGTTGCAGACGCGTTGCCGAGGCGAGCAGCGCGAGCAGGAGCGGGCGCTATTTGAGCGACGGGCAACGACTGCTCATCTTGCTGCTGCTGCTGTTGAAGGGCTGCAGCCAAAGAGTCAAAGAGCGGCTTTTCCTCGGGCTCGGCCTCGGCCGATGCTTTCGCGCTCGAGGTTGGCTTGACGGAGCCATTAGCAGGAGTGGCCGTTCGCGAAGGGCCCTGAGGAGTGACCACTTCGATGGCAGCAGCGTCCACTGGCGCAGATGCAGAAGCGGCGGCGACTGCGGAAAGTGCCTTGGCTTTCTGCTCGGCCGACTTTGTTGCCGTGCTGGCGCGAATGGCGAGAGCTGATCGCTTCAAAATTTCGTCAATGTCATCGCTATTGGGGTCGTCGGAAGTCATGTCTGCTTGATGATTGCCCGTCTTGCCGCTCGCAGCCGCGCTGCTCTGCTCGTCGGCATTCATGTGATTCCACACAACCAGCCATGCGTTGCCGGCCTCGCTTCGCATGGATTGCATGGTTTTGGCAAAGTCTTCGCCCGTGGTGGCAGCAGGCGGCTCGACACCCAAGGCGCCAGGCGCTGACCGGCTGGCTCCAGCGGCGGCAGCAGGGCCACTGCCTTTGGGACCAGCAACGGGCGCGCCAATCTCTGCCACGAGCTTGTTCTTGGCTGGCGATCCCTTGGGTTTGGCAGACTTGACTTTGTCCTTTTTCGTCTTGGTGGCTTTCGGGACGGCAACAGCAAGATCACTGCTGCCGGTGGGTGCAGCAGCCAGCAAGGGCGGGGGAGAAGATGCCAACGCAGCAGCGCGGAACGGTCCATCAACACCTGCATCTCTGTTAGCCGCGTCATCGTCATTGTCAGCGGAAGCGCCTTTCACCGAAGCGGCCTCGTTGTCGATGACCACGGTGCGCTTGGTGGCCTTCTTTTTCGGCTGCTGGTAAAGCGCATACGTGTTGATGGAAGTATCTGCCGTTGGCGTCAATGTGGGTGTTTCAGAGTAAGGAGCGGGGCTAGGAGTAGCAATGGTCATCGGTGAGCTTGCGCTGGTGTAAATTGCGGCGGATGCTGCCGCTGCTGCTGCTTGTTGCTGCGCTTTCTCTGCAGCCAGTTGGATTGCTGCGGTGATAGCCTGGCGCTCTTTCGGACCGGGCCCAGTGCCGTCCAGAAGGAGCTGATCAACGAAAATCACACAGTGAGCAATTGAGAGACATTTGACTGAACCTTTCGCCCAGCAGTCTCACCTCATGACCTCGCGAGCCAAACATGGCAAACACTTTTGACCGGTAGTCCTCGTATGCACAAATCGGGTTGCCAACCAGGTTGAGTTTGGACAGCATGGGAAGCCGTGACAAGATTCGAAGCTCTTCGAGGTTGACGATTTTGTTTTGCGACAAATCCAAATCTTCGATAGGATAGAGCTTTTCAAGACCTAGTTTCGCAAATGGAATGTCGAGTGAGGGGCAAGAGCGGAGGGTGGCACGCGCTCGTTTTGGGTGGGTTTCCTTCAAGCCAAACCGAAAGCAACAACCTACCCTTGAGCGAGAACAGAGCGTTTCCTCGCAAATTCAAGATGGTGACGTTCCCTAGAATTTCATACAACCGGTCGACACTTGAAATATTGTTTGAGCTCATGTCGAGCGAAACAATGTTGGATAAATGCTGTGTGGACGACGACCAAAAAAAAAAAAAAAAAACAAAAAAAAAAGTGGAAATCAGATTGTCGGTTCATTTCACTCTGGCTTCCATCGGCTCGTATCATGGAAGAGGGGCTAGGGTGTAACACACCTTTAGATCGGCTGAAATGGCATCGAGAACGTTGTTACTGAGATTGAAGTGGGAAACCGAAGGCACAAGCCGCTGTGTTCAGATCGATCGAAGCAAAGTGAGTCAAGATGCAACGTTCTCGGAGTGCGGCAAGCATTCGGAAAAAAAGGACGGCAGCTTTTACCAAAGACGAATCCAACGCAGAGATACGATTGTTTGCACAAATTAAATGCGTCAACTTGAGCCAAGGGCGATCCTGCGCCGGCGTTTCGGGGTTTCTGCCCTTGGGCCCTTGCAACAGCGACTGTTTGCATTGACACGTTACAGCCGATCAGCACAAAGAAAGGCGTGAGAGGGAGGCAATGTGTAAAAGTCGAAAGCACCCCAAACAAACAAGGAACGCCAAAAACAACCAGCTTGCCTGCAGCGATTCAATCGAGTGCGACACGGTAAGAGACTGCAAATGTCCACGAAGGGTTGTGATGGGTGCCAGGCTTGTAATAGGAAAGTCTGTGATCTGATGAATCGTCGCAGTCGGTAAAGTGAGCGGGGTTTTCACACACCTTGTGCAGAGGCAAAGAGATGGGCTACCTCCAACACTGTGATTGAGCGAAACACGCCAAGCGATGCCGGTGGAGCGACTGGATTGAAGCGACCCCTTGGCGGCAACAGCTGTTTTGTGGTTTTGGAGGGAACGAGTAAGTTGGACGAGCCAGACGCAAATTTACCACTCCCCCTCCCCCACCTCGATTCTTACCTTGAGTGCTCCGATGAGTTGGAAAAAATCAAACACGAACGCAACCTCGTCCGCGAGAATACCATCCGTTACTGAGAGGGACGCGTTGAACTCGTTGTCGGCCTCTGGATTGCCGGTATCTGACAAGCGCCAAAAATCATTCGTGTGAGCCCTGTATTCGTGATGAATCCTTCATCGCGCGCTTGTCGATGGGGAGGTTTCTCAACCATCCTGTGCTCCATGTTGGAAGCCACGGAATTGGTTTTCAATGTTCGAAAACTCCATCGCCAGTGAATGTTGGTGACTCGAGGTGCTCACCACTCGTTCAATGCAACCAAAAAAACCACACCATAGACCAATGTCCGTGCTTCAAGCCCATCGCCATTGACGATCGAGTCCAGGTTGCACCAACACAACATTGGTAAATTGCTAGCCTTTTGGTCCATTGCATCGGTGCCAAAAACGGCCTCTCTTTCCATATGTGCCGTTGTGCGCCTCCAATCCACGACGCGTTGATGATCGTGGAAGCTGGAAACCAAAACGATGACGTGGCTCCATGCAAAGCAGTGGACCAAACTGCTGCTTCTTACCGGGGAATTCGGGGAAGCGCGTGCTCAGGTACTGCAGCCAGTCCGCGGCGAGGCTGAGCTTGGACGTCCCATCGAGCAGCTCGTCGCCTGTGGTTGGACACAGTTCACACATCAAACCACCGTGAGTACAACAGTGAAAACTGGGAGGGGGAGCGGGATTCGAGGAGGAGGAGGAGGACACAGCAGCGGGCATCGATTGCGCGCTCTCGTTCCGTCTCCCCTCCCCCCTCTCGCTTGCTGTCTCACACACTGCGCGATTCATGATCCAAAGCACAGTCGAAAGGACAAAAGCGAAAAAGTCGGAGCGGGGCGAAAGTTGGACGTTTTCGTACCGCGTTCGCGCAGATCTTTGAACAGCGCTTTGACAAAGTTCTTTGGATTTTCACTCATGACCACTCAGTCAATGAATGAATGTGGGGAAAAGCGAAAAGGGACTGCTTTATGCAAAATAGGTGGACAACATTGGGAAAAAAAGCGTATTTCATTACGACAAGAAGCAACAATTCGTTCGCGAACGAAAAGTGTTAAAAAAAGCAAAGCAAACAAACATCAAACGCCCGTTGGATCGGAGAACAAAAAAACAACCAACATACAACCCCTCCTCTTTAGAAGGCACGGGTGAGGAAGGATTGCATAAACTCAAAGAAGGCAAACGGCGAGTAGTCGAGGCCGTGGGTGTAGACAAAGCGGGAGGCAAGGTAGGCACCGAAAATGGCCTTGAGGTAGGGCTCGGGAACGCGGGCAATGACAGTGTCGAGCGAGATGAGGTCCAACAGAGCCTTGGGGCAGTACTCGGTCAGGACAACCTTGCGGAGCTGCTGGTTGTCCCACAGAGTGGACTGCTCGAGGTCGGCGGCGAGCTCGACAATCTTGTTCGACAGCTTGTCCGACAGAATGGAGCGGGCAACACCCGACTTGGCGTACTCGCGCTCGAGGCACTCAAACTCGAGAGCAGCGTTGCGCTCAATGGCGCGCTGCACAGCCTCGACGTAGCGCTTGTAGAACTCGGGCTCGTTGCTCTCGTCGGCGACGCACATGTTCTTGGCGTGCTCGTCGTCCGAAAGGGCGAGCGAGGCAAAGACCTCGAACGACGACGAGGTGACACCGCCCTTGTTGGTGGACGCGTCCTTGAACACGGGGATGCCAGCCTTCTCGAGGGCAAGGCGGGCCTCCTGGGAGAAGAAGAGGTTGGCACCCTCGACAATAAACTTGAAGCGCGAGTCGCCATTCTCGTCAAACAGAGACGAGACGTTCTGAATGTTGACAGCCTCGGGGCGACCGCCGCAGGGCACGAAAAAGTCGGCCTTGACGCTCGTGTTGAGGTGGAAGGTGTTGCGGAAGTCCATGCCATTCTCGACAATCGTGCCGTTGGGCAGCTTGACGTTCTTCTCCTCGACAAGCACACGGTAGCCGAGCTTGGAAAGCGGGGCGCCGGCAAGGTTGTAGTCCTTGATCATCTTGCGGGAGGTGGCCAGGCGCAAGAGCTCGGTGCGGTTGATGCCCTCGGGATCGTACAGAACACCAGAGCCGTCGACAATGGTCGTGGTCTTGTCCTTTGAGATCTTGATCTCGTTCGAGCCAAGATCGCCGTCGGGGCCGCCCGTCTGGACCTTGGTTTGCTCCTCCTCCTTGAGGTTGTACTTCTTGAGCAGGCCGAGCACGTACTGGTGGATGGACAGCGTGGTCATGCCGTAGTAGTCGTGGGGGATGCCACCGCGGCTGCGGCTCTTGCCGGTGGTGAAGGCCTTCCAGAACGGCGCGGCGCGGAGGTGCGCATGCTGCGACGCCCAGTTCATAAAGTCGGCAGTGCCTTCGTCGGGGCCAAAGAAGAGAATCTCGGGCTTGCCGTAGAGGTCGACAAGGACGTCCTTGACACCGGGGGTCTGGCCGACCAGGAGCAAGTCGAGAATGCCGTCGACGTACTTGCGGAAGGCAAGCTCGGGCTTGTCGGGGGTCTGGTGAGACTCTTCGAGGAGCACAGTGCCCTTCGAGCCGCCCTCGGGGATGTCCTTGTTCTTGCGCTGCTGCGTGTTGGCGAGGTTGTAGTTCTCGTCAAACAGGGACGACAGGTTGCGCGAGAAGACGTCGCGGTTGGGCGAGCGGATGATGCGGATGCCACCGCGGGCAACGTCGGCAAAGCGGACGTGGAAGCCGCGGAACTCGGCGGCAACGACAAAGAACATGCCAAAGACGGGCTTGGCGTACTCGGTCTTGTCGAGGAAGGCGGGGTTGAGGCGGAAGGACAGCGCAACCTTGGTGGGCTGGAAAAAGTTGGTCTTGAGGATGTGCTTGTTGAAGGTCAAAAAGACCTCAAAGATGGCAGCCTCCTTCGGGTTGGCGACGGCGCGCTTGATCATCGTGGGCAAGTCCGTCTCTTGGACAAGAGCATACTCGGTGAGGCGCTCGGACGAGATGGTGCGGTTGGAGCGCGTCAGGCCGGGCGCGGGCTTGGTCGAGACGTGGTGGACGGAGGCAAAGTTGCCAAAGAGCTGGCGGACGAGCTCGGGGTAGCGCTGAATGACCTCGCCAATGTACTCGGACGTGAACGTATCGTTGCGCAGGCGCGACTTGAGCTTGGACAGGAGGGCGTTGTGGGTCTCGACGCCGCCAATCGTGAGAATGTCGCGGAGGGCAAGGTATTCCGGGCCAAGACGGTTGAGGAAGTGCTCGGCAAACTTCCAGGCAGCGTACGCGTAGCTGGTCTCCTGCACGGAAAGAACCTTCTTGTGGAAGAGGGGCTGCAGGGGCGACGTGGGCAGAATGTACAGCAGCGAAATCTCCTTGACGAGCTGATAGATGCACATGTCGATGGCCGGCTTGGACGACTCGGGGAGCTGCATGAGGTACATGGAGACGACCGTCATGCCGTTGGAGAATTGTTCTGCGAAAGGAGAGCAAGGAAGAGAAGGAGATAGAAAGAGATAGAAAAAGAGTTAGATGCAAAGTTTTTTTTTTTGGTTCTTTCTCTTCACAACCCAAACACAACCCTCCCCCCTCCTCCCTCGCTCTATTCCTTCCTTACCAACAAACTTGCGGGTCGAGTACAGATCGTAAAAGTGGTACAAGTCCGAAAGAGACGAGACAAACTTCTTGGCGTCGCCGCGACGGTAGGCAATGACGACACGCTTCTCGTCAGTGTCAGGGAAGCTAAAGTGCTCAATGACGGGGCCAGTGCGGTTGACAGCCTTCTTGATGATCTTCTGGTAGACCTCGAGCGTGTTCTCGGTGGCGTTCATGAGGAAGGACTTGGAGCCAATCTTCTGAATGTCCGTCTCGTGGCTGTTGGTGGTGGACGACTCGTCAAACTCGCACTTTTCCACAAAGTAGCAGCGGAGCTGGACGGGGGTGCCCTCGGAAATGACGCCCTTGGAGCGGTACGTCTCGACGCGGTAGAGCACGTTGGGGTTGTCGAGGTACTCGTCGTCAATCTTCTGCTCAAAGCCAGCGCCGACAGAGACACCGGGCTGGGAGTTGTGCAGGAAGATGGCACCGTGGTCGGTCTGGTGCTCGAGCGTAATGTCGACGGTCGTCTTGTGCTTGGTGAAGGAGAGAATCTTGGCGGCATAGACGGACATGATAAACTCGGCAATCTTCTCTGCGGGCTCGTTCTTGAAGAAAATGTCCTCAATGCCGAGCTTGTTGTAAAACCAGGCAACCTCCTTGGCAATGAGCTCGGACGGGATGAGCGACGACTTGGCAATCACCTCCTCGACCTCGCGCATCTGGCGCGCCTTCTCCTCAAAGAACTCGTGCTGGTAGTCGCTGGCAGAGCGCTCCATCGTCGTACTAGTAGCCATGATGACAGATGGTGTTTTGTGGGGTAGGTTTTTTTTTCTTGTTTCTTTTCAAGAAGAAGAGCTGTTCAAAGAGTGTAAAACGAAAGAGTGAGTTTGTGCATTCAAGTGACAAAATCGACAAAAATGAAGCAAGATGCACACACACACTGATTGATTTTGATTTCAAGAGTGAGAGAGAGAAGGAGAGGTGAGAGCATGAGAAGTGATCACAGTTTGAGTGTGATTTTTGGTGCCATTTTTCGCCGTATTCTCTTTCTCTTTCTCTCTCTCTCCATTCCATTCAGATCGCGTCATAATTTATCAGCGTCATTACTTTTAGTTCTTTATGAATTTGGGTTTGTTTTTGTATCAAACTTTTAAACCTACGAAGGAACTGTGTAAATCCAAAACTGTGACTTTTTTTTTTTTTTCCGCTTTCTTCGCCATCTTTTCCCCCCTCTTCTTTCAAATCCTCGCTCTTGTGGTTTTTTCCCTACTTTCAACCATCCCCATCTCACTGTCTCTTTAGCTCATGCACAACTCACACTCTGCTCACTTGCATCACAAACACACCCCCACTTTCGCTTTCTGGGATGGTCACGCACAGTTGGCAAAACCATGCGCGAATGATGTGGTTGGATGATCATGATTTTTTTCCACAGTTTGAAAAAAAAGAAAATACGTCTTTAAACGAACAAAGAGTTCACTGCGCCAACAGGACGGCTGGGGTTTCAGATTGCGCAGAAACGCCGACGTATGTGTACGACGCACACACAGACACCCATCCAACAGACAGAGCGCGAATGGTGAACGCGAGAGAAGAGAGCAGAAAGAAAAAGAAAAAAAAAAGAAAAAAAACCTGATGTGGCCATGCCCAACAAAGCAGGATGTGCCTGAAAGGACGCAACGCACGGCTTACGCCGGCAGTATGACGCGGTCGCGCTGCACACCATTCGATAGAGCACGCAACGGGCTTCTCTACGCACTCGGTCGCAGCGCGAACGGACACGCACACACGCCCCAACAAGGCCATTTTGAACGCGGACCAATCGCAAGATGTGCGTGACTCGCGTTTTTTTGATATTTTATTTTGTCCCCCCCTCGTGTCGTTGCGCAGCTTTGGGTTTTCACGCCCTTCTCCTCGTCCCCCGTGGGGAGGGGGGGTTTCCGTTCGAGTGCGTATCTCAATCAATGAGAATGCGCATTCAACAGGAACACGGATTGGAAGAAAAGTGAGCGAAGAGCGATGCGAAAAGAGGAAGAAAGAAAAGAAAAGAAAAGAAAGGGGGGGGGGAAAAAAAAGAAAAAAAAAAAAGAAGGAAAAAAGTGGTGCGTTTTTGTTTTAATGGTTTTTGGTTTCTTACTGAAGAAAAAAAGAAAAAAAAAAAGCAAGACTGAAGAGATGCAAAGATTTCGTTCTGGATTTTCAATTCAATCATACCGTAACAATTGCTCACAACAGCTTGATGAGGCACAGCGAGAGGCGAAGGGAAAAAGGGAAGAAAACCCTCAAAAGAAAAAGAAAAAAAGAAAAAGATATCGACCGCTTTTTTGCTTGGCATCAAGAAATAACTACTCCACAACTATCTATCTAGATCTAGATCTAGGCCACGAACAATTTGGCACAATCGGTAATCATGACGCCAACAACAGTGGCAAGCAGCTTGGACTCGGGCAGCTCCTCGCCGTTGCGACCACGGAAGATGGACAGGCCAAACACCACGCCCAGGTTGGACGCATTCATCTTGTTGACTGCGGATTGTGCGACAACGCTGTCAAAGCAAAAAGACATGGAGTGCGTGAGACCAGTGTTCACATTTCCAATGTGGAGTGAACGGGCGAGAGTCAGCAGGCGAGAGATTGCAAGCGCTTACTCGTTCAAGTGGCTCATCAAAAACTTGAGCGTTTCATAGTGCGGAGCGGGAAGGTCGGCAATGTGCTTTTGGTACTCGATCAGCTGTTCAGCAGGGGTTTGCGAAGACTCTGATCCCACAGTCCCAAAAATCCAGTGAGAAAAACCCATGTGAAAAGGGCCAAAATTGGACCGAACGCTCTCCCGCAATCCAAAAACTTACTGGCAGTAGCCAAAAATCGATCGAAAAACTCGAATGGAATCAACGGATTGGGAAGCTCGCGAATGTATGCCTTCAGGAGCGCAGACACGACGTTGATGTCGGCGACCGAGGAAACATCCGCAGTCGTGTGGTCTATCACCAAGCATGACAACATCCAGAGATGACAGTAAGCAACAGAGGTGAAGAGTAGAGCGCAGAGACACAAACAACAACAACAACAACAGCAAGAAAACACAATTCAAAACAAAAAAGAAATCAACCCCTGCAAGAATCGCACCCTCACCTCGCTCAAAGGCATCCCGCAGCGCTTGAACCTCGGACGCAGAGGGTGAAATACGATAAATGCCCTCTTCGTGCATGCCACGCTTGGCGACTTCGTTGATGCACTTTTCGACCAGGATTGGGTATCGGGATTCGCTGACAACGACAATGAACGTCAGGTCGGTGCCAAACACCTTCTTCAAGTGCTTCTTGAGCGGGACGCAGGCACCTGCCAGATCCTTGCAGAGACGATGGCACGTGTAGCCGCAGTCCTTGCACTTCAACCCCTGCGATTTGAGGCCCCAAAGCAGTCCTTTGCAGTGCAAGCACCATGTAAAGTGTGTAAAGGTCACTACTTCCAGCTTGTGGTCCTTGACGTACGATGGCGCCTACGAGGGTGTGAAATCAAGCAAGTTAACAAGTTGTTGGTCGAGAAACGCAGGAATGAGTTTCTCACCAGAGTAGACAAAACACCAAAAAAAGCACAAAAGAGCTCATCAACACTCACCGACGTCAAGCCTGCAGAAGCTGGAGGTGGACTCATGTTGTCCTCGGCAGGGAGACGGCTTCCGAGCGGGGGTGACGGTTGACGCGGCGGCACAGCTGCAGAGCTTAGTGGAACTGGAGGCTGAACGCGAGGGTTGCTCGACATGCCGACAGGGAGGTTCTTGGGAGGCTTTGCGGGCGGAACTGGCGCGCTGGACACGCTAGCTGGTGCGGGAAACGCTGTCCTTGGCGGCACGCTGGGTGGTGGGCCGGCGTCCGGAGCAGCCATCGCATCCAGTCCGTCCGCTACGAGCTCGTATATTGTGTTGAATCGTCGATTGGACTTTTCTGAAATTTGGCGGGGAAATGGCAGCGAACGAAGCACATGCGTGTCAGACGAGATTAATTAGGAAAAAAAAGCAAGACGAAAAACAAAGAATGGTGCACTCGTGCTTACCAACAAAATGCTGCCCATCTTCGAACAGGATCTTGTAGTGTTTGATTGATCCATTGATGCTGGCAGCACAAAGCAAGAGGGAGGTGAGCACAATTTCCAACAAACGAGCAGAACGCGAAATCCCAAAAACACTCACTTCATGCTCAGCGAGAAGCCGGGTTGTCGCTCCGATTCACGCACAAGAAAGTCGCACTCTGGGTGGCTTGTCAGCAACATCTCTGCTTGTTGGCGAGACATGCGCCCATGATTGCTGTGAAAGCAAGACACGCAGTGAGTGAAATTTGCTTCGGCGTCCATCCAACACGTCGCGCTCCACTTGCGACCATAGCAAGCAAAAGGATTGTTGCAAACGTTGCTGTATGTGATATGAATGTCGAAAAACGCACAGCCGCCAGCGAAACGCGACGACAATGACGAGCTGTAACGCGAAATGCCGAACATTGCAATCCAGTCGAAGAGGGGCCACCTCTCCATGGCAAGTGGCAGTGGGTCTGCCGTTGACTGGCCATGGCAAACTCGGTCTAAATGCTAAACTGAGAGCCTTTTGCAGCGAGAGAGTCGCGAGACGAGGGCGAACGGCAAAGTCCGACCAATGCCCACAATCCAAAAATCCATACAAAAAAAAAAAAAAAAAAAAAAAAAAGGAAAAAAAAATCGACAAAAATTGGCTGCCTTACGTGTTTTCATACTGTGCAGAGTACAGCGACTACGGGGGACAGGCAACCGCGAGTGGGGCGAAAAGGGTTAGCACGACGAAGCAAGGACCAAGCACACGGCATTCAGAGGACGCAGCAGACAGCAGTCCAGTCGAAGCGAAACGGAACCAAAACGGAACACATATTTGGGTTAGCAAAAAAAAAAAAAAAAAAAAAAAGAATTCATCTGAGAGCACGACATCTCCGCTTGATGGATTGGCTGCAGGAGTCCGAGAGCACGGAGAACATGGATCGAAAAGAGCAAAGCGACTGCTGCTTACATTGTCTGGACACGGAAGGGCGCGCGCTGCCATCTGGAACGAAATGCCAAGCGGAATTATCGGAAAACGCAGGTGGCAAAACCAATTCGGGACTGGAGGTCGGAAAAAGCCCCTTTTTTGGTGTTTGTGTGCTTTCTGCTTCGAGCTGTGGTGATTTTTGTTGTTGAAGGATGGAAAGTAAATGCACAACACGACTTAAAGAAGCCTCCGCCAGAAACGACCGGAGCTCGTTTGCAATTTACCAAGAAAAGCCGCTTCCGTTTTTGATGCGAGCAATTGCTTCCAAGTTGATTGCTCGGTCCCTCAACCCCATTGAAATGGCAAGAAACGAGCTCAAGTAGTATGTCAAGCAAAGCAGGAGCAGGAGTGGTACACTGTATTTATGCTAAAAGTACAGGTAAAGTACAAACGAGTACAGATTTGCGCGTCGCTGGTGCTGTTTTGGAGGGGGCATTGTCGCGGTCAGATCGGATTTTGCTTGTTGTTGCCTATCAGCAGCGCAATTCACATGCTGGGGTTGCCGGTCCGGCCGACAGCTCGGGAATGAAAAACTGTTGTTACGCTCCAGAAAGCTTCGGAGTGCTGTTGGCGGAGCTGCCATCCGTTTCCTCGTCGCCATCCGCCACAGCATTAGCAGCATCGGCAGGCGCCGCGGCGTTCGAAGATGAAGAAGCTTGACTGGGATGGGGAACGCGTCCTCCACGCCGCCCGGCATTTGCAGGACGCTCGCGGTAGGCTCGGAGGCTGCCTGCCTCTGGATCGAGGGGTCTGCCAGACAGAGAATAGCCTGCTCCCGTTTCGCAAACCTACAGCCAGAAGCAGCGACATCAGCAACGACATCAGCAGCACCAGAAAAAGAAGGTGAGGACCAGACAATTCAGCAACTCGACAATTCAGCAACTCGACAATGAAACTCGATCTGCAGCAGCAAAGCTGTACCTTCGCAGGCAGCGGGATTTCAGCGAGCATCATCTTGATGAAATGCTTTTGCGCGTGACTACGGATGGCAGAAGTATCGCGTCCTGTTCCTACGTGTTCGCGGACCTGTATGATGTTCATTTTTCACGTCGAGTTGAGCTTTTCTCGTACACAAACAAAATTCACCCTCTCTCCCTGCGTCACTCCATAGCTCGGGATAATGTACCTGATTCCAGTCGCGACCATACAGCTCGAGTGCCTCCTCGAACAGACGATGCTCCTCGTCCGTCCACGGCACCTTTGGACGTGATTGGCGGCGACGTGCGCCACGTTCTTCTGCGTTTTTTTTTTCAAAAGAACAATAGTCAGAGCAGAGCCAGTACAGACAAAAGATGGTGAGTGCATGCCAGTCGCTCTTTCAGCAATCCTCTCTCCTGTTCATCCACTATTTTGCGCAGAGATGTAGTGTGGTGGTTTTTTTTAAATTTTTTCTGTCGGCTGTACCTGAGCCTTCTGCGGCAGCGGCACCGTCTGCAGCACCTGCGTCCACACGAACACGCTTGTTGCGGCTCTTGGGGGTGGCTGCAGAACGCCCACTGGCGGTCTTGCCGGAACGACCCCGCGCTTTGCGACCTCCTCGTCGGCCACCCTTGCGGTAGTCGTCTGCGTCGTCGTCCTCGCCATCGTCGTCCTCTTCGTCGCTTTGGCCAGAGTCATTGGCACTGTTTTTCAATATCACACACACACGCACACACGCACACGCACACACACACACACAACGTCACCAGCAGAAACGCAGGTCGTACAGTACAGTTAGTTAGTTATGAGTCGGAGATGTAGCAGCAGAAAGCGAAAAAACTCAACCAAAACGCAATCACACATACGAGTCATCGCCATCGTCGTCCGCAGCTCGCCGGCGTTTGGTGCCTGAGGTTGGTTGATTGTCGACAGCCTCTCGTTCGACTAGCGAATAGTCGTCCGAGTCGTATCCCATGTACTCGCGCATGTCGAAATCATCCTCGTCGTATTGCATTGACTTTTCCGACGACGAGCCATCTGAGCCACCTGGCGACCCTGCATGCCTGGAGGACGCAGCTTGCTTGGTGCTCTTGCTTGTTGACTTGCTGGCTTTGCTGGCCTTTGCGGCGGGGGCAGCGGCGGGGGTGGCGGCGGCGGGGGCGGCGGCAGCGGTGGAAGTGGAGGAGGACGAGGCGGCAGAACTGGGCAAAGTTGACGGTGCTTCCGAGTCCGTCCGTGCTGATGCAGTCTCGGATCCTGTTGCTGCGGATGATGGTTTTGCAGCGGTGGTGCCTGACGCGGTCGCGACGTGTGGTTTTGGCTTGGTAACGCTGGAAGAACTGGAAGCAGAGTCGGCTGTTGCGGCTGCTGTTTCGGCATGCTCATGCTGCTGCTGTTGCTGCTGCTGTTGGTGTTGCAGCTGTTGTTGATGCTGCTGCTGCTGTTGCTGCTGCTGGGGTTGGTGCTGGGGTTGGTGCTGGGGCGGCATCTCGGCCCGTGCAGATGCCGATGCGGTTTGGCTGCCGTTGACAGGTGTAACAGGCGGCGTCGTCACCGTCGCCACTTTCACACCCTCGCCCTGCAAGTGTTGCTGTTGCTGGTACTGCTGCTGCGGCTGCATCTGCATCTGCATCTGCTGCTGCTGCTGATGAGGGTGGTAGGAGGGGTGGAACTGCGGGTACTGGAAGGCCTGCTGCTGCTGCTGCTGCGGAGGTTGGGTTTGCGGTTGGGTGTTTTGTGCCACGCTCGCGTGATCCCCGTAAAAGTGTCCGGCTGACGGCGCCTGGAAGACGAGCTGCGGACCGCCACCGCCACCGCCACCCATGCCATAATGCTGTATTTGATGCTGGCCTTGCTGTTGGTGCGGGGCGAGGGCGTAGTGGGGCTGCGGGTGCGGAGTCAGAGCAGTGTGAAAGGGCGTTGGGTGCATCAGCGGACCTTGCTGCTGCCCTCCTGCTTGTTGTTGATGCTGCTGCTGCTGCTGCTGCTGTTGGTTCAGCGCTTGAGACAGCAGCATCATTGAGGGAGGCGGTTGATGCTGTGGCCCGCCGCCCAGCATGGGGTGGTGCGGGGATGACACATACGTGTACGTGCTGCTGGCGAGCATCGTGGCGGGGAGTTTCTGTTGCTGCTGCTGCTGCTGATCGAAAAGGACTGGTCTCGGCTGCTCCGCGATGCCGACCGACCCTGAGCCTGCTGACAAAGTCGTTGCTGCTGCCTGCTGTGGTGGCTGGGGTGCGTAGGACGCGCCGTTCAGCACATAGTAGGCTGGTCCAGTGACGGGTCCATTATTGTGTCCGTGTGAGCTCGTTTGTTGTTGTTGCTGTTGTTGTTGTTGTTGGAGTTGCTGCTGCTGCTGAGAGGGAGGCACTGCGACCATAAAATTGCTACCCTGAGAGAGATCGCTGCCACTCTTGCCGAGCCACATGGACGCCGGGGACGACGATGACGACGATGATGGGGTCGGCAGAGCAACAACGTTGCCGTTCAAGACGGAAGGTTTCCCAGCGCTCAACACGACTGCTCCGCCACTCTGCTGCTGCTGCTGCTGCTGCTGCTGAATCGGATGGTGGGGGTAGACCTGGAACGACGCTTGCTGCTGCTGCTGGGGCTGGGGCTGGGTCTGGAACGACGGTGCGTACTGCGTCTGCTGAGGAGAGGAACCGAGGAAGGGGACCTGCGGTTGATGCGGTTGGCCGGCAACGTTGACGAGCTGCATGGCCATCTGCGGCTGCATCTGCATCTGCGGCTGCTGGTACTGATACTGTAGTTGCTGCTGCTGCTGTGGCTGCTGGGACTGGGGCGGCAGACGCGCCGAGGAGGCGACCTGGGGCGGTGGTGGCGACGCGTGTAACGCGATATGAGCGCTGTGGTTTGTGCCGTTTGGCAGCGGATGCTGCTGTTGCTGTTGTTGCTGCTGCTGCTGTTGCTGTTGCTGATGCTGCTGTAGTGAGGCTAATGATGGCGATGCTGATGGCGGGTCACCACTTGGGTGTGAGAGGTGCAGCGCCATTTGCGATGGCGCCAAAGCAGCTGAAGAAGAAGTGGGAAACGGGGTGGAACACGACTGGTTTGAACCGTGCTGCTGCTGCTGCTGCTGCTGTTGTAGTAGTTGTTGCTGTGGATGGAGCTGAGGATAGAGTTGATGTGGCTGGGGCTGCTCCTGCAGGTGGGGCGGTTGGTGTGGTTGGAACGAGTGGAGCAGATGACTTGGAGGGGGAGGAGGAGTGGACTTCACACCTTGTTGGTTCTGACTTTGCAGCAGCGAGCCAGAGCCAAACATTGCCTGCGCTGGCTGCTGCATCGCCGGCTGCTGCTGCTGCAAGGATGGCTGTGGTTGTTGATGCTGCTGCTGCTGATGTTGTTGTGGGAGGTAGATGACGTGCGCGGGGTGGGCACTTTGCATCGGATGCCGCTCGGGAATGAGGTTGGACGACGCTGAAACAAAACTTGCTCCTCCTCCTGCTCCTGCTCCTGCTGCTGCGGCTGCTGCTGCTGCTGATACAGACGCATGGTAGGATTCAGGCAGACTCATGTGGCTCGGGTGGTGGAGGTGGTTGGGAAACGCGGTGGGACCGAATGGCTGCTGCTGCTGATGAAGCTGAGGCTGCGGTTCTTGTCGGTATCGTTGCTGCTGCTGCTGCATCGGGTGGTGGTACAGCTGGTGCGCCGCGTCTCCCGCGCTGCCGTTGCTGGCAGTATTTCTCGGATACCCATTCCCATGCACAGTGACACTGCTGAATGGGATTCCAGGCATCCCGCCGCCCGACATGTTCCCTGCCCCGCTTGCGGCGGTGTGGCTGCGGTCGCCTGGATCAGCACCCTCCCCCTTTCGGCTCATGACTTTTTGGTGTGTGTTTTTGTTGTAATATTATTTTTCCCCCCTTTTTTTCTTCTTCTTCTCGTTCTCGTTCTTGTTCTTCTCGTTCTTGTCCTTGGCTGCTGGTCGCGCTCGTCGTTTTGTTGTCAAGCAATTGGGGAATAACGCTTGGTACGCAGCGTGATCTGGATGTTTTGTTTGAAGGAGAGTGACACGAACGACCGAACCCCCGTGTGTCTGTTGTCCGCGTGTGAGAAACCACGAATACGGTTATCGGAACTTGTGATTTTTTTTGTTTTTTGGAGGCGTTTTGTTTGTGTGTGTTTTTGTTTTTTTGGGCTTTTTTTCCCCCAAACACGCACCCCGACACGAAGACAGCCAGCGCCCCCGACACGACAGGAGAAAACACTGCAGAACAGGACTGACTTGCGCAAGGAAGGCCCGAATTTGAACGAAACGGAAAAAAAAAATAAAGGGGGGGAAAAAAAAAAGAATCAAAAATAAAGTTAGGATTGTCGTTCTCACGAATCAGGTTCTAAAAAAAAAAAAAAACGGAAGAAAAATCAAACGAGAATACAAGGAGACACAGGGAGTTGCGACGACACGAGATGAACTAGAGAGCAAGACAAATAAATGTCAAGTATGGAATGAGGGGGAGGGGAGGAGGAGGATGGGGTACACGGCGAGTTGACACAAGGAGAGAGAGGTACAAAACCGCGACGAATCGGATTGTGGAGGGATCGGCCGACCTTGACTAAAAACCAACATCTGACACGGGAGGGGGTTTTATTTGGTAATGAAAAGGACATATGAACACAAAAACCGCCAGCGAATCAATCAGCAGCAGCAGTGCAGGTGGGGAGATGGAAACAAGATGGAGATTTCAGCTGATATTGGATGCTGCAACGCTAGACGAAATGGATGAAGCAAATGCTTTTTTATTCAACAAACGTCGTGCAGCAAATGTTAGTAAAGACCGAAAACGGGTGTGCGCTAATGAAGTACGAGAACGCATAAATGAAGGCCATGTGCGAATGTGTGATGGGAAAACAAACCCCACTCGTGTAAAAAGTGCAAAAAAGACCGATCTGGAAATCTGCGGTTGCTATTGTGCAGTAGAGGAACGGACTGCGGTTGCTGTTTTGCAAAGCCGGTTTTCCCAATAAAGCAAGTTTGGGTGCGTTACGTACACACTAGCAGACCCAAAGCGGGCCTTTATTTCTCCCTGAAAGACAAATCCGTCCGCCACTACCTTCTGCCACTGCTCAGAAGCTGCTCCAATCGCAGCAGAAGCCACGACATGATCTCGTCGAGAAGATGCAATTGGACAACCCGGAGTCCGTCCAAATCCAACTCGATGGCACCGTTGTCCAGCGCAGCGCGCAGAAATTGCGTGGTCGAATGCTGGAGCGACTTTTCGGACTCATCACAAACGAGCGCAGCCAGGGTGGGAATTGGCGCAGACAAATGCGACGACAGCTGCGAACAGTGTGCATCCCATGCCCTTGTCGTGATGCCGCGTCGGGTTCGAAGCGCCATTGTGAGCACTTCTTGCAACCGGTCGACAGGTGTCTGCTGCTCTTCACGGTGTGTTCCGCGTCCTCGAGTCTCCACGCTCTGCAGCCAGTGGGGCGTGCTGCGCTGTTGCACGGTCGCAAAACGACGCCAAGTGCTGGTGGCGTTCGTGCCAGCAGCTGGCAATGGCGGAAGGGTCACCCGTCCGTGCGCTCCCGGTCCAATGGCGAGATAGTCATTGCCTGCCCAGTATCCAAGGTTGTGCTGGCTTTCGTGCGAGGGCTGTGCAAAATTGGCCACCTCATAGCGATGCCACGGGCGGGGTTGATGCGAGGAGAGCGTGCGACTGGCGAGTTCCAGCATGTCGCCTGCCTGGTCGTCATTGGGCAAGGCTAGAGCACCTCGGCTGTGCCGGGTAAAGAAACTTGTGCCCTTTTCCAGCGTGAGGTGGTAGAGCGAGATGTGAGCATCGGCGTGCGCCACGGCGAGCTGCAAGTCTTCTTCCCAGTCGCGAATCGTTTGTGTCGGGGTGGCAAACATGAGATCGAGCGACACCCGGCCTGGAAACACTGCACGCGCGTTCTGCAACGCATCCAGCGCTTGTTCCGGAGTGTGGTCTCGGCCCAATGTCTTCAGGTGCACCGGGTTGAACGTTTGTACGCCGAGGGATGCGCGCGTCACTCCCGCAGCGGCAAAGCTCTGCAGCAGTTCGAGTCCACCAGATCCATGGCACTGGATAGGATTGAATTCAAGTGTGACTTCCATGCCACTCGGCAAATCCGGCTGGTACGCGCGCAGGGTGTGCAAGAGGTCTTTGACCAATCCCGGTGGAGCGAGCGATGGCGTACCGCCGCCAAAATACACACTGGAAATCTTGCGCCCTGGGCCAATATGTGCCAACTGCGCACCGAGTTCCGTGACCATTGCGCGTTGCATCCGTGCGACGTCGACCGATTTGTCCATCAATGTTCTGTTGCGAGTTGGCAAAAAGGTTTGATCCGAATCGAGTGAGATACGACGCTGAAGGAGCGTGAAAACACAAGAAAGCTACATCCAATGCCCATAGAATTGACCATTCATATCCCAGTGGCAGTGGTCTAACCTGTTGAATGCGCAGTACGGGCAGATGCGCGAGCAGTACGGCCAATGCATGTAGACCGAGACTGCTGCCGGGTCGTACTCGACGGCCGTTGGAGCCAGCTGCAGCTGTGGCTGCTTACGACCAGAATCCGCACCGGTCGGGGTGGTTGAGCCTGCCCAGAGCGCAGCGCGGCGAATCGGAGTTTGCCATGCTGTCGTCCGCAGCATCGTCCGCCACACACACTCTCTCGCTCTCGAACTGCAGACTGAGCTACCGTAGTATCCAAATTGATTATAACTGGCATTCGTCATTCCCATTCGTAAAAATATTTCAACTCGATGGAAGGGATGGAGGAGCTGGGATGAGATGGGTTGAAGCAGAGTTTCGTTTTGCAGCTTCACATTGCCCGCGGTTCTGTTCTTTGATTCTTCCAAAGCGCCCAACCATTATTACGTTTCAATCGACTTTCCCCATTCTAGTGTGTTCGTTCTGAGACGATTGGAGGGCTCACTCTTTTCTTTTTATTCCATTCGTTCCACACACTCTTCACAATGGTGACGGCAGAGGCCACGATGACGACCTCGTCCGGCGATGACCACCTCGCTGGCTACGACGCCGAGCAAGTGCGACTGATGGAAGAAGTGTGCATTCTGGTCGACGAGGACGACCGCGCCGTTGGTCCCGAGAGCAAGAAGAACTGTATGGAACTGAGCCGAACTGAACTGAACTGAACGTTTCGCCGCTGTAGCTTGCCGTCGAACGATCCAACGACAGAGACCAATGAGAGCTCCATTGGAAAGCATCGCATTTGCTTTGTCAATTCGCAATGGCAAGCGACGTGATGAGTTGGTCCAGAATGGTCGAACTGTGTTATTGTGAGCGAGGTGGGGGGAGCGAAACGGAAAGAATCACGCCACTTGAAATAGAGACGAGTGGAAGGGGATTTTCGTCTGGGGGGTGGCAGTCGTGGGGCAACAGTCCACGAGGCGCAAAATGGTCGAGTGAAGTAAAGTGAAGCAACAGAAGCAAGGGATGTTGAGATGGAGCGCGATTGAATGGCAGTAAGAGTCAAAGCAGGGAGCGAAAAGAAAAAAGAAAAAATGGTACGATTTGAGCACTGGAGAAAAAGAACGCTGGACAGTGATCAAAGCAAACCACGCATGGTATGGTAATGGTATGGTAATGGTGGGATCAGAGCCCCAGATGAAAATCCGAACATTGAATTTGAAGAGGGCTTTTGTTTTGTTTGGATTGGGAGGGGTTGAAGTGGCGAAATAGTCACTTTTTGCCGGCTTGTAACTTGGATTTGGGAACGCTGAAAGAGATGGAGATTGAAACTACACTCACGTTGATCTGCTCTTGGAATACTCTGAGCAGGCCATTTGATGGAGAATATCAACAAGGGCATGCTGCACCGAGCATTCTCAGTCTTCTTGTTCAACTCGAAGGGCGAGCTTTTGCTGCAACAGCGTGCGGACGAGAAAATCACCTTCCCAGGCCATTACACCAACACGTGCTGCTCGCATCCGCTGTACATTGCCGGCGAGCTCGAGGAGGCCGGTGCCGTCGGTGAGTGCTGTTCATTGATTTTTTGCACAAGAATCCGCCAAATTTGCATCCCGAGCCTTTCCTTGACTCACATTCGCCCCTGTTTCCGCAGGCGTCAAGCGAGCAGCCCAGCGCAAGCTCGAGCAAGAGCTTGGAATAAAGCCCGACGAGGTATGGCGAACGACAATACGAGGTGAATCGAAACGCTTTTACTAACACTTGTCGTGATATATCGCTGCAGGTTCCTCTTGATGCCTTCAACTACCTAACGCGCATCCACTACAAGGCTCCTTCCGACGGCAAGTGGGGCGAGCACGAAGGTAAACGCATGCAGATGTGTTTTGCTTCGTGAAAGTTCGAGCTAATCGTTCGTTTCGTTGCTTTGAAAGTGGATTACATTCTCTTCCTCCAGCGAGACGTCAACGTGAATGCCAATCCCAACGAAGTCAAGAGCTACCGGTACTTGTCGCAAGACGAGCTCAAGCGGCTACTGTCAGATGCGGGTAAGCCAGGTTTTTTTTGTTTTTGTTTTGTTTTGTTTTGTTTGTTTGTGCCACTGTGTGTCTTTTATTGATTGCACATCCCACCCCCGCTCCCCTCGTTACAGAAGCAAATGGCATGCCCGTAACGCCCTGGTTTAAGCTGATTGTCGAAACCTTCCTTTACAAGTGGTGGGACCAGCTTTCCACCGTCGCCTCCTTGTCGGATCCTGCAACCATCCATCGCCTTTGAATGCCTTCAATTTTGTTTATGAAAGTTTTTCTTGTATCTCAATCATTAGTACATTCTGCACAAAACTATCGTTGGTTGCATTGGAAAAAAAACAAAACCAAAACCAAATGAAATCCAAAATCCACAATCCAAAAATCCAATTTGAGATTTGGCGCCAATTTTTTTTTTTTTTTTTTTTGCGATCTCCGATTTTTTTTTTTTTTTTTTTTTGATTCAAAGTTCACTCACTTTGTTGGTTGTTCGACGCTGTTCAAGTTTCACGTCGCGATTCTGGTTTTCAATTGATAAAGCAAAAAAGTTCCAAAACGCCATGGACGCCGCAGGACTGCCGCAGCAGAGCAACAGCAACAACAACAAGCGCCGCCGAAGCGAGGACGAGGACGAGGAGCAATCCGACAAGAAGGCCGAAGCAGCAGCAGCAGCAGCGACCACGAACACGACCACGAACACGAACACGACGACAATGGCATCGAGTGGCGGTGGTGATGCAGGCGATGCGGGCGACAGTGGGCGCAGCAAGCGAGCGCGCGTCGAAGGCGGACGACGATGAGAGCAGCGAGAGCGATCGTGCTGCGACTGCTGCAGCGACTACGGCGACGACCGGTGCTGCTGGTGCTGGTGTTGGTGCTGGGGCTGCTGCTACGAGTGCGACGGGCGGTGCTGCGGATGGCAGTGCTCCGTCTGCTGCGGCGGGCGGATCGAAGGCCGCTTCCAACTCCACGACTGCTCCTGCGACCACTGCTGCTGGACACCAAGTCGGCTCAAACTCAACCGTCACTCGACTGATCCAGGCACCAGCGTACTCGTCATTCCCGTCCACGCAGGTGCTGGCGGAACAGACCCACCCGCTGTTGGTGCCGAGCTTTGCCGCTTGGTTTGACTACAATGCCCTTCACACGATCGAGCGCCGTGCGCTGCCCGAGTTCTTCAACGGGCGCAACCGCTCAAAGACGCCCGAAATCTATATTGCGTATCGCAACTTTATGGTCGACTGCTACCGCCTCAACCCGCTCGAGTACCTGACCGCGACTGCGTGCCGTCGAAACCTCGCTGGCGACGTCTGTGCGATTCTTCGCGTGCACGCCTTCCTCGAGCACTGGGGCATTATCAATTACCAAGTGGATCCGGAAGTACGGCCATCACCCGTCGGCCCGCCGTCAACATCCCATTTCGGCATCGTGTACGACACTCCTGCCGGCTGGCATGCCGGCCCGTCCTTTACCTCGCTCGTCCAAGCCGCCAACCACTCCTCTGCCTCTGGCACCGCAAACAGCACGAGTGCTGTCAGCGAGACTGCCTCCTCGGGACCATCCGTGGCAAGCGTGGCGGCGGATTCCGTTGCCAGCAATGCCGCAACGAGTGCTCCCGCAACACCACGAGGCGGCTCTCTGCCATCCCTCCCTCGCGGCGACACGTACCACGGCGCGAACATCAAGTGCGCAAGCTGCACAAGCGCCTGTGCCAGTGGATTCTATCAGTCGCAGACTCAGGATGTGCGAGTGTGCGGGACGTGCTACTTGCAAGGTAAAAATTCCTTTTCCAGGGTGGTGTTGAAAGTGACACGGTGGGACTGACCCGGTCTGTGTGTGTGTGTGTTTATGTTGCCTCCGATATGTTCTGGGTTGCTTGATTCGGCACAGGTCATCTCCCGGCCTCCTTGAAACCAGCAGACTTTTCGCGAGTAGAGACTGCCGATCTGACCGAGTGGAGCGACGAAGAAACACTTTTGCTTCTGGAGGGCATTGAGATGTTCAAGGAGGACTGGAACAAGGTTTCAGAGCATGTTGGCACGCGGACACACGAGGAGTGCGTCTTGCGGTTCCTCCGACTGCCAATTGAAGAGCCATTCTTGGAGTCTGCGGCCGGCTCCTCATTGGGTCCGCTAGCACACCAACCCACGCCGTTCAGTAGCGCAGCGAATCCCGTCATGGCCACCATCACCTTCCTTGCTGGCAGTGTGGAGCCGGCAGTCGCAGCGGCTGCTGCTCGCGCTGCCATTGTCGCGGCTGGCGGCGCTCCCTCCGAGAACCTGTCCAACGGCGACCACAAGCCAGTTGCAATGGATGTGTCGGATGAGGTACAGCATCCCTTCCTCCCCTCCCCTTTTGTGTCTGATGATTTCAGCGTTTGTTCGCTCGATGCTAACCATTACCTTACATTTTGGTAGACGTCTCGCAAGGCCTCCAATGTGTCGACTGCTGCTGCCACTGCTATCGCGTCCGCTGCCGTGCGAGCAAAGGTAAGTGCACTGTTTTGATGGGCTCCTCTGTCCCCAGTTCTCTGGCAACTCAATTTCTGCGAAAAAAAAAAACAAAAACAAAAAACAGGTTATTGCACTTGCTGAAGAGAAGAAGGCGTACGCCGTACTCGGTCACTTGCTGGACACCCAACTACGAAAGCTTGACCTCAAGCTCAAGAATTTCGAAGAGCTTGAGGCGATTGTTGAGAAGGAGCGACAGCAGGTGAGTCGCTTCGATTGTTTTTTTTTTTTTTTTACTTTTCGACACTTGCGTTTGCCAATCTCGCTCATTCCACTCCCCCTCTATCCTGCTTATCTCTTTTGCTTACTCGCAGCTCGAGACTCAACGGCAAGCCTTGTTAGTGGAGCGACTTCAATTCCAAGCGGAGAAGCTTCGTTTTGCTGAGAGCAGTCGTGCAGCGGCAGTCTCGTCCACTTAACTTTTAATTGTTCTCTCTGTTGTGAAGTTGTCCTTTTTTTTTCGATTACTTGTTGGGTTTGAGTTCGTAATACAATTTCGACATTGTAAAGTTGAATTTTGACAAACAAGCCATCACTTCTTCAGCGAGGAAGAAGAAATGAAACCAAACAAACAAACAAAAAAAAAAATCACGACAAAAATCACACCACAGAAACTCCACCCAGCTGTGCGCCATCAAGCAAGTGTACGGCGTTACAAAAAGTCAAGGCGAGAGCCGCCTTTGGCAGGGGACGGGCCTCCGAGAATGGCATCCACGTCTTTTGCTGCAGTGTTCTTGCCGATAGAGCTCACAAAGTGGTTTGAATCGTCCTCCTTGCGCTGCTTGGCCACGCTGAAAATGTCCTCATTCTCATCATCCAGACCTGCCGAGAAAATGTTGTTGACAATGGTCGACTTGCTTGGAGCAACGACAGGACCGCTGGCAGCAGTCGAGGGTTTGGCTTGAGCACCGCGGTTTGAGTCCTTGGCATTCTTGCTGGTGCTGCCTGCTGCAGATGCCACTGGTGTCGAGGCGACCTTGTTGGCTCCGTTGGTCTTCAGGAGGGCAGCTGCTGCGCTCGTGTCTGCGTCTTCATCGTCACCAAACATGAGCGCCGCCGCGGCTTTCGCCGTGATGGAGGGCTTGGAGACGTCCTCAATCGTGGCTGCCTCGTCGTCTTGCGCATCCCCTCCAACGAGCTCGACGGGCGCAGCAATCACATCCGGACCGGGTCCGAAAATGTTGTCGGGCGCATCCAGCGCGGCCGCTGCCGGGGAGATGATGGTGGCCGGGCGAAGGACGTGGTCGTCATCGTCGTCCAGTGCGGCCAGATCGTTGCTGCTGTTGTGCAACGAGTCCGCGTCGACGGCGCCGCCTGCTTGCGATGCATCGAACGGCAGATTGCCGCGAAGCATGTCCTTGATCTGCTTCAGTCCCGCAAGCGCAACAAGTGCCGTCTCGCGGTTTGGTGCGACTTTGCCGAGAACTTGCGCCTCAAGCGTGCGGATAAACCCTTGCATTTGCTCACCGCAGTGCGCGTTCATGGTGCGCACGGTGGCAAGCGCTTCCTCCAGCTGCGAGTTCTTCGGGCCGGGACCATTCACGCTGCCGGAGCGGCCGGGCCGTGAAGCAGCTTGAGTGGTCGAAGCGCCGGCAGAGTAGCCACCAGCAGAGCGCTGTGAGTGAGAGGACGACGACGACGACGAGTTGGTTGCGGCCTTGGTCACGGCGGCCTTGATGCTGGACGTCGTCGAGCCAATGATGTTGAACAGAGTTGACGCCTTGTCCTGTTCATGGACACCAACATCAAAAAAAAAAATGTTGTTGAGCCCGCAGCGTCGGGGAAAAAAATAAAAGAGTTGAAACAAACATGAAAAAAGAAAAAAAGAAAACAAAGAAACAAAAAAGAAGCCATTACCTTTTTGGGAGCAGGGTGGTGCTTGGTTGCCGCTCCAGCGGACAAAAACTGCCCACGACTGGATGGCGGCACGTATTGGCTGGTCGAGGAGCTGGCCACCGAGACGCTGGGAGCCGACGTTGCCGCGAAATTGATGACGGCAGGCGGAACGGCCGAGCTCGCTTGTTGAGGGCGTCGGTCTGTGCGACCAGTGCGCGGTTCGCGCAGCTCGAGAGCGCGCTCGACCAGCGCAACCACGTCCTCGACTGGTGGGAAGCGCATCAGGCGCTTGAGGCAGCCCATGTAGTCGCTAATCAAAACTGCAGACCATCGACCAGAGGGTCAGAAATTTCGAAAAAAAAGTCATACACAACGTGCAAAGCAAAGAAACTCACGAGGTTCTCGGATGTAGAGCAGCATGGCCACGCAAAAGTAGTCAATAAGCGACAAGAATGGGCTGTCCGCAAAGATGGCGTCCCAGATGGTAATCACATCGTCCATGTGGAACTCTCGGCCGACAAGCAAGCGGACCCACCGGCTGATCCGAATCAAAAAAAAAGAAGCAAAGAAGAGAATCCAGCGTCAACGTCAACGTCAGGGAAAACAAATGAACAAGACAACTGTTCAACAACAATCAACGAGAAGAGCTGAAATCACGTACAGTCCGTAGAGTTGTGGCTCGATTTGCAGGTTTTGCAGATGGGCGTAGAGGGTAGGGTCTGCGTCTTGCAAGAGCTTGTGCTGAATGTGCTTCAGCTTTTTGACAATGTCCGAAGTCTGGATCGAAGCAGAGATGATCAGTGAGCCACGAGGGAAGCAGTGTGACGCGACGATCAACACGCACCTTCTCTTGTTCTTCCTCTTTGGCGTCAGCGAAAGGCGCCGTGATGAACGTCGGAGCCGGCTTGGGCTGTTCAAAAAAACGACGTCAGAATCAGCAGCCAGAAGTTTTTTTGTTTTCAAATTGCAGTGCAAGCAGCTCAATACTCACCACTCGTTTCGGGGCATCGCCTTGTGCATACCAATCGGCAGTCGCGCTCATGACCTTGGAGAAGAGCACGTACGCGTCGTGCTCAATGAAGCTTGCATCGAGCATTGTGCGGATTTCATCCGAAATTTCGCTAAACAGACACACAATTGCTGTTGGTATCGACAACAAGCAAACCACAGAGACAGCGGTACGACGACGCCTACAACTTTACCTCGAAGCGCGGTCATACTGCTTGCACTCCTTGTGCATCAAGAAGAGAATGGGCGCGAGAAGCTCGTGCATGCCTTGACGGTACGACAGGTCCGAGTGTGTGCGGGTGTAGCAGAAGAGAATGTTGAGCATCATTTCTTGAAGGGGAGAAGACTGGAAGAACTCGCTCTCTGGGAATCTAGAGTGCAGAGCCAATGAAGCGCGATTTCAGTATTTACGATGACTAGCGTGAAGAAAGCAAACGTCAAACCGATACGCACGTGCGGGTGACATCCTGCTTGATCACTTGACGCAACTCTCGGTCCTTAAAGTACTGTTGCCAGGGGTTCTGCAGACAGACAGAACAATTTACAAAAAAACAATGTTAAAGCACAGACCTTTGAAAGATTTGCCAGCTGACCGTTTTTGTTCCAAAACTGACATTCTCGGCAGCGGACAGCGGGTTGTTGGTCATCAGATCGTCACTGGGAACCTCGTGAGGATCCAACTCGGTCGACTTGCGCAGCTGAGCGTACTCTTCGCGATCTTTGAGGGTGGAGGCAAGCCACTGCGAGCGGTCATGCGGCAGAGCTCCCAAAAACAGCTGTTCCCCAATAAGGAATATACAGCAAGGTTGTTAGCTCTCGCAAAGCTCTGTCAAGATCAACAACCACCAGGGTGACAGCAACGACGCGTGCCGTACCTTCCAACCGACGCTGCGGAAGCGCGAGGCGCGCAGTGTGCCAGTCAGACCCCGCGCCTTGAGCGACAGCATAAACTCGTTTCCGGTGAAGGTTTCGTCCCATTCGGCTCTAGAGCAAACATCCAAGTGAGGGGGTGATGGTGAGGTGAGTGATTTGTGTGCAAGCCTCAAGCGTTCCTATCGACTTTCCTCCTTTCACCGCCCGTCCTTCCCGCCTCCTCCCCGTCCGCCCTACTTCCTCGAGTAAGTCACGATTCGTTGCGCTCTGACTGCTTGCGTTCCCAGCAAGGTTTTGACCGTTTCGAGTGGGAAGTTGAATTGCTCCGCTTTTCGTTCTGTTTCATCTTCCCATCATTCAATCTCGTCCCCTTCTCTCTCGACTGCGACCCACCCATCCACCCACCACCACCATCAGCATCACATACAGCATCGCCACCCTCTTCACCCCCAACCCGAGAGAGAGACGGTCTGCGATTTGGGATTTGACTCACTGCAGTGACATTCTGGCCCGACCGCCTGACTGGTCATCCTCCTCGTCGTCGTCTTCATCCTCGTCGTTGCCGACCTCATCGTCGTCCTCGCCTTGGTCTCGCTCTCCACCTTCCGTTTGATTCTGCTTCTGCTGCTGCAGTGTTGACGCGTCGTTCTCGTCGTCGTCGTCGTCATCGTCAAACAGCTGCTTGGGCTTCTTGACAGCCTGCTTTGACTTGGTCGGCTTTGGCTTTGGCTTTGACTTGGGCTTCTTCTTCTTGCCGAAGGCGGCCGCGTCGTCAATCAGCGCAGTGTGGTCCTCCTCGACAGCCTCGTAGCGCTCGCCCGAGCCAGACACCTCGGCCTCGTCGAAAATGCCGTCGGGCGTCGACAGCGGATCGTGCACAGGGAGCGCTTTGGTCGCAGGGGGTTCGACCAATCCCCCAGATTGCTGCTGCTGCTGCTGCTGGTCGAGGGGGATTGAGCTAAACACATCGCCCGAGGCGGATGCAGCAGCTGGATCCTGAACCACCGTCGGGGCGTCGAGGAGCGCGTCGAGCAGCGCAGCGGGACGGGCCTTGCGCTTGCGATCGGCTTCGGCGTCGGCCGCGGCTTGCTGAGCAGCCAACTGCGCTGCGACCACCGCGGGCGAAGGCGCAAGCAGCGCTGCAACATTGAATTCGTCCTCTTCCATCTCTTTTATTGATTTGCCTTTTTGAAACACAGGGGGGAAGCGGGCGGGGGGGGGGAAGGGGGAAGTTTGTTGAAGGAGAAGAAGAGTGAACCAAGATTGCAAAATTTGTGAATGTTCGTTCTACAAATCTGAAATTCTGCCAATCTGCCGCAGCGATCATCAGCCAAACAAACCGCACGACACCAGAGATGGGCCACTCTGGTGTCGATCTTCCATTTCTGTAAATTGGATCGAAAGAGCGGAACCGATGAACTCGAGCGAAAAGGAGGTTTGTTTTATTGGATCAACCACAGAACCGAGCAAGCTGGAAGGTTTACCCACTGTGCAGCTGTGCGCAAGAGCGAAAAAAAAAAAAAAAAAAAGAGTCAGGAAGTGCACAATCTCACTGCTTGAGCGCAAAAAAAAAAACATAGGCCGAATCGCTTTCAAATTTAATCGCAAACTGGATCGAAATTTCGCTTCGCTCATTTCTGGGAATCAAAAACTGCACTTTCTTATAGTTTCATTAAAAAGCGAAGCGATTTTGTGAATGTTTTGGCAGTAACTAATTTCACTTTCGGCCTATGTTTTTTTTTTAGCGCTCCAGAGATCAACTTCTCCGAACGCTCCCAAAGCTTGCTTGGCAGCATTTTCCGGGTCGGAAGCGTACGCAGCGGCAGCACTGAGATTGCAGTCCTCAAAGTAGGCACCGCCGTGCTCCAAGACCTCGGGTGCAATGGCACAGTAAACGGTGCTGCTCGAACAATCCAATCGAACACATCTACAGGGGCTGTTGGGTCGTTTGCTCCAGTTAAAAAGTACTTGAACTGCTTTCACACGAGTGATGCTCCAAGGCACTGTATTGGAGGGGATGCTTCCAAAGTTGAAGGACCAGAATGTATTTGTTGAACAACGGTGAACAACAAACGAAACCAAAAAAAAAAAAAAAAGTGTCTCGGCAAACTGTTCCCGCCATCCAGCGTTCAGCGAAACTGGAACAGAAAGTAATCGGCAAAGGACTCGCGCTCCTCGTGCAGATATTCCGGAAGATGCTCGGCAAACTTTATCCAGTCCGCCTCGGTCAAGGGGAACTCGGAACGCACAATCATCGGCGGAAGGTCGCTGTCAACCTTGGTAAGATCCTCGCTTCTGGCCTCGTAACCGACAAGCACCTGGAGCTCGTCGCGCTCCTTTCCCTTTCTGAGGGCGCCATACTTCATGGGGTAGCAAACCAACGAAGTGCCAGTGAGGCTGAGGTTGTCACGACGATAGATGTCCGTTTGGTGTCTCTTTGGGAGGTTTGCCAAAGTGGTTGAAATGCCTCGAACATGTGTGAACGACACCCAAATGCCCATGTTTTGCGATACAGAGAGTTGTGCAGCAAGACTGGTGTCGCATCTACAATAGGTTCACGAACAAACCGCTTTGCTACAGTACGATTGCCCTTCTCTACCCCCACCCCGCCTCCCGCGACAGGCAGACATGCCAGTTATACTGCATCATACAATCTCCAGATCTTCTAGTATTTCGCCTGCACAACGCAAAAAGGTCCTCCAAGAACTCGCAAGAACGGCAGTTATGATCGCGATTGCTGCCCACAATAACACCGGAAGACGATGAGCTTACTTGCCAAAACTCTCAGTCGTTTTCTCTATTGCCCGTTTTTTTTTCTTTTTTATTCCGACCACACGCTGTCAAACGGGATGCCCGTCATCAGCCAGACGGAAGGGGAACTGCGCCGGATTGCTGACGCCAGTGCGGCTGACGAGCTCGTGGCGCGTCTGTCTGCGCTCATCCCACACGACGATGATGGTCATGACGCTGATGATAGCCACCGTGCAACCCAGCCAGACCAACAACAACAGAGAGGGCAGCGCCGTAGCAGCATCGTCCGCTTGGTTGCTCAGCCCCGGCAAGCCGTTCCTGTGGCAAGCAGCGTCCGGTTCCACGCCGCCGTGCTTGCTGCGCGCGCGTCGCAAGCGTTCATCGATGCATTCACAGCGCCCAACGAAGTCCGAGTCCAGTCGCTGCTGCTGGCGTCGTCGCCGAGCTCGCCATCCACCACTCGACCAGGTTTGGACTCTTCTCTCGTTCGCTCTCCCCTGCGCCATGACCACTTTGCCACACGGATGGCGGATGGCTCCTCCTATTTGCTGCACACACTTCAACAATTCCAATGCCGACCGGCGTGACTCTGCGACGTTGCTCTCATTCCTTGTTCGTTTCCACTGTTTGATTGACATTTGAAACAGAATCCGTTGAAACACAAATCTTGCGCCAGATTCGAACGTAAGCCACTGACATCAGAGTTGTCAAAAGCAACGACTCAAAGAGCAGCTCGTCTTCCCTTGTGTCAATCTTTGGTCAACCCGCCCATTCTATTCTACATTGTCTCATTCTCGTGAAATTGCCCCTGGTTGTTGTCACGATTGCAGATTTTTATACACCGATCGCCTTCTCGAGCCAAAGACCGCCAGCAAACATCAAGAGCGGCCATCATCCAACGACCTGCATGCAGTCCGACAAGTGGGCATTCATTACAGCATGCCAGACCTCGTCAGCGCAGCAGATTCCTTGTTGCTGTCTTCTCAGGCACCGGAGCCTCAACGCTGTCCCGAGCTCGTGTTGCAAGTACCGACATGGACTCGCCAGAGCGATGCATCGCAGTCCTTCTCCCTCATTCGGCATATTCCCGTTCAACTCTCGCCATGCTCGACACTCGCCGCCAGCATTGCACGCTTGCTTGAAGCACGAGAAAGTGGGGCGCAAGCCCCGGCGGTTCCAGAAGGCAATGTCGCGCTAGCTCTCGACGATGGCACCCACATTCTTGCTCATCAGGTCGTGTTGCAAGGAGCAGCTCCCTACTTTTATTCCATCCTTGCAGGTGCGTGGTCGACTCTGCCGTCCGACTCTGCGGCGCTTCGCACGCTTGCATTGCCTGGCATCGCTCCCGAGATTGCCGTGCAACTTGTAGTCTCCATGTACGCCGGCAATTGTTCAGTGTCTGCTGAAAATGCGTTGGCTCTCGCAGCCGCAGCCGACACGTTCGGACTGCACACCACCGTTCGTCGCGTTGAAGATTTTCTGTCAAAGCATTGCCACAATTTCCACGTGCCATGCACCGATCAGGTGCGTTACCAATGCATTGTTTGATTGTTTTGTCATGATTGGGGATTGCGAGTCGTGTTTTTCTCGAGTTGGAGCCAACACAAAGAAGCTGATTGATGTTTGCGAAATCGTGTCGTTTGGCCTTCTCGCCCATACCTCGTCAAGCAGTGCGTCAGCGAAGTTATCAACGTGTGCAATGCGACCTCGGAAATTCCGGCTTGTTCGGAAATGGCCGACCGGTGCATGGATTGGCTCGGATTGCACTGTGACCGAGTCTGGATGCTCAGATCGTTCATGAACTTGAAGGAGCCGCTGCGAGAGATTGTTTACAACAAGCCGTTTATGCTGCTTGCCGTCAACTCTCAGCAGGACCTAGGGGACAGCGATTTTGCGATTGACTTGGACAAGAGCGTCGCTGCACGTCAGGGCGGGGTGTCGCCGCGAGTCGTCGTCTCGGAGCTGTTGCGAGCGACGCGAGGGATTGCTGCCAACCCTCAGGTTCAATGGGCCAAACCTTCGCTGAAAGCGCTTGAGGCTGTGCGGAGCGCCTGCCTCAAACGCCTGGAAGACAGCTTTTGTGACTGGGTTTTAGCAGATCAAGACAGGCACATGGCCATGCCGTGCTTGTGTCAGCTCGTCCTCGACTCGACTCAGGACGAGCGGTCGCCATTTGTTCTCTTTGCTGAGCGGTTTATGCTGTCAACAACTGCAAAGACTGCGTGTCGTCGACTGCTGGCCATCCACACGTTGGCCCAGCGTCTCAACGCGACCCAAAACGGGCTGGCCCTGCCTGAAGCCTTGCAGCGGCTGCTCGCGTGGCACATTCAGTTTGCGCAACGAAATTCAGGCTGGGTCCGTCGTTCAGCCGAGTTCGCGTTGATCCCAGCCTCGTTGATGGAGACGATCCAAGCAGGTGAGATTTCGGCGCATGTGCTGAGCGCACGACACAAAATACAAAAACCACATTCCCACTTGATTGAGTGCTGACAGGCGTTGTTGTCGACACGTTGCTTGGATAGGGGAGAGCTTTATCGACTTGGACGACTCTGCAAGTCCAGCCACGCCAAAACGAAACAACTCGCAACCTTCGGCAACGACAGGGCGGTCGGGTTCCCGCTGGGAGGCATCATCGGGTGCACATCCCGCAACTCCTATTCGACATTCTGCCCAAGTTCGCGCCACGAGCGACTCTCATCCAAGTCCTATTTCAAGTCGCGCGGCGTTGACACCCGACCACCATGCCGCAAGTCGCGTCTCTCGAAGTACCGCGGCGGCTGATCACTTGTCCGGAAGTCACGCCGCACCAGCTACAGCACCTGTTCGGCGCAACATCCCGAGCATGGCCCAACGCGTGCACGGAGGGGCAGGATTATCGAGCGCTGCCTCTTCCCCTGCTCGACCCTCACAAGCTCGCGATTCTGTCCAGACGAGCCTGGCGGCGAATCAACTGAAGTCTGGCATGCGTGTTCGTCTTCGGGACGCGCGGTTGGGCACAGTGCGGTACGTCGGCAACATTCACGTGAGTCCAGGAACTTTTGTCGGACTGGAGCTCGATGAGCCAGGTAGGGAACAGCAAATGTCCAAGCTGCATTGAGCATACTACAGTGAGGTTTTTGATTGCTCACCGAGTCCTGCTTTCTGAATACTTGCAGGTCCCAAATACCACGATGGCTGCATCAACGACGTGCGATACTTTGACGCCCCAAAGCAACATGGCGTCCTCGTCAAGCTTGCCAACGTTGAAACTGTTCTGAGTGAATCTTAGTGCAATAGTACACGGCGGTGTTTCATTAAAACATTGGCGAACGCAAATTGATCATCCTGCACAAATCGGCACAACCGTCCGTGGGGGGCTGTTTACACTGATTGGCGCATGAATTGATTCGTTTTGCTGTGTGACATTAATCAGAATAAAATAATAATATTCAATAATAATATTCCACCAATGAAATGAAGGCTGTCCAGAGCGTTGGGCACTCGAGCCCTGTGCGCCGCCAGCCACTCACCCCCCCCCCGCGCGCGTTCGGAGGAAGGGCAGATGCCGACAGAAACGTGGGACTCTCGGCGGTGCTGACTGGTCGGACGCCAGGGCAAAAGCTGCGTCCGCGAAGCCGGCCGTCCAACTAATCGATCGCTGCTGCCTTGGGAACGACAAGCGCCATTGGCGTACAGGGGACGCGGCGGCCTCGTTGGATGACAAGAAGCAAGTAACAGCATGAACATGTGCATGACCAGTGCAGCGACGACCCGGAGGGAGCAGCGGCGGGCATCAAGAGACGGTCGCCTCAGCGCTGGTGTTTTTTGAATTTATTTTTTTATTATTTTTCTACTGTTCCCTCTTGTCCTACCTCCCAGTTGTCAGTTCCCCCGAGAGCTATCGCTTCGACTCACTTGAGCCGCATACAACACCACATGATGGCACTGTGTGCGCACGCGAGCCTCGAGCCTCGAGAAGCTGGCTCGTGTGGAGCGCGGCCAAGTGATGCTTGCTGAACTCCAAGCTACGTGCCATGTTAATCGACTCATGAAGTGCTTCATCATTCGCCATCGATCTAGCAGTTTATGACATCATGTCAGTCCACTTTTCAATTGTATTTTGCCTTCATGGGTACGCTCCCACTGCTCGCTTGCCCTCGCACAACGCCTTCCCATGCACCTTACTCCCGCTTTCACGCCCTTCATTTTGATACCCCTATCTTACCACATCAGTTTCCAGAGTGTTTCAGTGCTCAGGAAGGGGAGCGGGCGGGATTTTTTTGCTCTCGAGGGAGAAAAGCGGCCTTTTTTTATTTCTGCTCCTTTCTTTCATGCTCTTCTCTCCCCTATGAAGACTCTTCTCCTCTGCTTTGTGCTCTCCAGGCTGAGAGCTGCTGCTCCGAGTGCTGCATCCAGCGTGTGCTTTTTCGGGGGAGGGGAGAAAGGGCGAAAGGCAGTGGGAGCTTGTTGCTGCACAGCTAAATTCAAGAAATTAAAATGACAACATTTTCAACCCACCAAGAAAATAATGAAAATGACAACACCTCTCAACCCACCATGAAAATAAAATAAAATAAAATTTAAAAAAACCAACCCCTTCAAAATGAATCAGACAATTGAGCGTTAATTGTTTTTTTTTTTTTTTTCGTTTGTTGTTTGTTTGTTTCTGTTTGTTACTTGCTTCCTGCAGAGTTCAACCGCCGTGCTGCACGAAACGCTGCACGCAACAACGCGATCCCCCGCCGTGTTGCACAAAACATTCCGTATTGCTCTCTGAATGTTGGCGATGCACCGGTGACGACAGAATGGGTGCAAGGCTTGTTCGATGCTGTGCTCAATGGCATACGCTTTATTATCTTCTTCGTGCACCTTAACCGGATTCAAAAACAAAACGTCCGAGGGGGCAACATTTACATCATCAGTCGCAGCACCATCGAACGCTTTCCGATCGGGGGCCATTGGGGCAAGAGTTTCATGCTCAAGAACGGCTGGCAAAAGTACAAGTCAAGCGATGAACGCTTTGTGAAATACCTGATCCATCAGGGCGGGCTGAGTCTGCTCTGGGTTCGAGACATCCAGGCTGTCCGCAATGCCGGCCTCGAGGAACAACTTGAAGACGAACAAGAGCTGATGGCTGCACAGGCTGTCGGCAATGCTGGCCTCGAGGAGCAACCTGAAGACGACCAAGAGCTGATGGCGGCTGTCGGCAATGCTGGCCTCGAGGAACAACCTTACGACGAACAAGAGCTGATGGCTGCACAGGCTGTCGGCCTCGAGGAACAGCCCGAAGTCGAACAAGAGCTGATGGCGGCTTTCGGCAATGCCGGCCTCGAGGAACAGCCTGAAGACGAACAAGATGCTTTCGGCAATGCCGGCCTCGAGGAGCACCCTGAAGTCGAACAAGAGCTGATGGCTGCTTTCGGCAATGCCGGCCTCGCGGAACAACCTGACGACGTCAACGGCGCTATCGACGAACACGAGCTTATGGCTGTGATGGCAGATCTGCTTCCCTTGCCGGAAGGCGAGTGGCTTGGAGGCCGTCTGCTGTCGGACATGCTCGATGTTGAACCCTTTCTGAATAGCGATCCGAACGCTGCGCACTATGGTCAAGGCACGGTTGCCCCCACGACTTTAGCAAGTGCTCCAGCGGACACCGTAGCTGCGTACCTTGATGCGTACCTTCAAGAGGGCAGCCCCGCAGGTGCATACATCATGTCGAGAAGCCCTCCTCAGGTGAACACTCGTTCACCTGCCGACGAGCCTGAAGCCGATGCGAAGATGCCCTTCATGGCTTGAAGCCGTCACGATTCAGGACCCAGTGCCGAGTCTGTCCAGCCGGCTACGTTACCCCCTGCTGCCTGCCTGTGGTGGTTGTAAATGAGAGTGTTAGTGTATTTCAGTGGATTTGAGTGCGTTTTGGATAGTTGTCATTGCACATTGTTGTATCAATCAATGAATCGGGTTAGATCTACCTGGCCATTACAGTGTACAGTACGCTGTCGACGTTGAGCACTGCAGATCAGTTGTCCAACTCGGGGTCTGGTCGCAACCTGTCGCTCCAGCCATGGTCGGAGCCCAAAAAACTTGCAACCCTTCCTTATTTTAATTTTTCACTTCTCCTTTTTCGTTGGATTTCCAAGTTTTCCCATCCTTGCATCCTTTTGGTATTCCCACCGTTCTCAGATTTCGAGACAAGCTGGATGGCTGGAGTTGCGCGGCCACCGTCGTCCGCATCATCGCCGCGGCTCGCGGATGCCGTTCCGCCTGCTGCATCAATCAACCCAGTGCTCGTTACCCCACAGCCGTCGTCGTCGTCGTCGTCGTCGTCGTCGTCGTGGTGGTGGTGGCAGTGGCGGGCGCTTCTGGGTCGCGCTGGACTTGAGCTTCGGCCCGTCCTCATTGCAGCCACCGTGGCGACGGTCACGATCGCAGTCGTCCGGATTGCCGCGCGACGACAACGAAGACAGCGGCAGCAACGCCAACGAGAACAGTCGCGGAGACGGCGGCGGCAGCGGCAGCGGCGTGGAGAGCTGAACGCCATGGTTGGTGGCGACGGTCGTCAGCCAGCGGACCAAGATCATCAAGACCAAGAAGACGAAGAAGAAGAAGAAGAAGAGCAGGACGACGCTCAGGAAACTCAAGAACACCAAGGGGCGGCGTTTCAGGACGAGGACGACGAGTGGCGGGACGATCAAGCTCGAGATACTGATACTGACAATGATTCCGAGCAAGAAGAAGAAGCCTTCGATGACGACGACGACGATGGGATTGACCAGGATCATCAAGAAACCGACGAGCAAGATTTGGATACGAGTGCCGACACCGCCACAGCAGCGTTGGTGGGAGACGGAAACGACGCCGCTCGCGTTGTTGCATCCGGTGCAGCAACCACTCTCACAACCAATAATGGCACGCGCGGATTGCGCACAAATGCAGGCAACCGGCTCGACGCAGCGACGGCGAAAAATCTGGCAGAAATTGCGCGAACGTTGCCTGTGAGTGCGTTGATGCAGCTGTGGAAGTCGTCGCCCAACTTGCGCCTCCAGCGGCTGGCCCAGACAGTCTTCATCAGCCGCTTTGCAGCGCCTTCCGAGATGGAGAAGCTGCGTGCAGTGATATCACTGCCAGCAATGACGCTTGCGCCTGATTCTGACGCAACCTCCGCCACAGGCGACGAGTCTCCCCAGTTGACGAGCTTGCGAACACGTCTCACCTCCAAGGTGAAGGCCGTCACCACCATTCTTGCTCTTGGAAAGATCTCGCACAACCGCGCGACCATGGTTCAGACTGGCTTCCTCGAGGCTCTTGTCACCTACCTCGACGCAACTCTCACCGAGGTGGAAAGTTTGCCGGAAATTGCCAGTGCACCAACGTGGATTTCAACCTTCCGCCGACTCAGAGACTTTGCAGATCAGCGTGCCAAACATGATCAGCGCACTGATGCGCTGGTATCCGTCCTTCCGGGGCTCTCGTCCCAATCACCGCCGCCAACCGGGCCGGACGCAGCCTCATCGTCTGCAGAGCGAAAGCAGTTTATTTGCTCTTCATCCATCGTCCGCGCTGGCATGGTGTCTCTGTTTGACTGCATGGTCAATGAGCGCGATGTGGAGGCAGCCGTGAATGCTGGCTTGATTCCAGCCTTGTACCGCAGCATCACCCAGACGCGCGAGCGCGAGTCCATTCTTTGGACGCTTGCCGTCACAAAGCGTGTGGCCGTCATCGAAGTGTACTGCCCTCTTTTGCTGGAAATGGGCATGCTGGACCCTCTCATTAGCATAGCGCACCTCTGCGGAAATTCGGCGTGTACGGGGATTCATCGACTGGCGCTCCAGCTGCTCGTCCGCACGCTGACGTCGTCCCCGGTCGGCAGCCACTATGCTCAGCGGGCCGTCAGATTTGGCATTGTTGATGTTGTGCTCCAGGCGCTCCGCAGCGACGAAAAGGAGGTGTATGCCTCCGCTGCCGTGCTAATGTATCGCGTTGTGCAGGAAAACAACACGGATTTCCTCTTCCGCCGGCAGTCCACCGTGCTTGCAAGCAATCTGATCAAGGTTCTCAGCAACACGGACATTACCCTGCAGAAGATTGTTCTTCAGGTTCTCAACCTTCTCTGCGCCAACGATACCTCGTTCCATTTGGCCTTAGTGAACGCGCACCTGCTCCCACGCCTCTCCAGCTGCCTGTCCTCGTCGGATACGCAGTGCGTGTTTTGGGCAGTGTCCCTTTTGCGCATTATCGTGAGCTCACCGGAACCTGAGGGCATCGCAGCCGTGCTTGCGCAAACGACCCCCGATATCGTCTCGCAGTTGGTCTTGCTGTCGGACACGCAAGATCAGCCTTTGCGCAACAGTTTGATTGTCATTTTCAATCGGTTCATTTCGGATCCTCGCTCGCACCCCACTCTGCTCAAGCGTGGCGTCCTTGTTGCCATTTGGAAGTTTTCCTTCTCTCCCAGTCCGCAAGTGCACCAATTCTGCGCCGACTCGCTCTTCCATCTCGCTGATCGATCGACGCATGCGAAGCGAGCGATTCTGGACTCGACTGGTCTGACAATCTTGTGTGCGCTGTGGCGCAAGTCGTTAAAGTTTCACACGCGGAAGGCCCTCGCTTTGACCTTTCTAGCCCTGAGCCATGCTGGCGAAATGATGGTCACGACTGTGGCCTATCGACACATTTTTCTCGAGCTCGTGGGCCGCCTGGCAGTCAACATGCAGGTGCTCGAACAAGGGCAGGAAGGCGGCATCGCTGCTGGGGTCAATCGTGGCACAACCAAGGGGTTTGAAATGGCCGAGTTCGTTTCCACAAGATTGCGTCGATGGACGGACTTTCTTCTCGCAGAAAGTGAAAACTGTGACGTACGGCCAGAAGAGTGCTTGGGTGACTCGCGCGTCATCATGCCACGGCAGGAGCGATCGCCTCGGGTACGCTCGCGGGCGAGTTCTTTGGCTCGTACGGGCACTGTCGCGTCAGAATCACATGGTAACCCGCGGGCTGCATCATCGGCGAATGTGCCTGTGACTGATGATCATTCCGATGCTGCTGGTACGTTTTCGCAACCTGCCGCGTCCGAGCGTCCAACAGCCGCTGGCGCGAGTCTCCGACGCCGCGACTCCATCCACGGACTCCGTGGCACAGCGCTGGAGGACAATTCGTTGCATGTGGCAAGCCAGCAGACCAACACCCGGACCGACGCCAGTCGCCACGCCCCACGCGCTACCACCACCGGCCCGTTGACGACAGAGGTGCCTGACGAGCAGGCCCACATGGACGCCGCATCGCAGCTGAGATTCGCGTTTGTGAGGATTTCTCAAATTTGCACTGGCGATGCTTCCAGCGCAATTCCGGTTGTCTCGTCCTCAACGCTCGAGTCTGAGCGCAAAGCCGCACCCATTCCATTCAGCGTTGTAGAAGAGGCACAAGGGCAACTTGAATCCGCGATTGCCATACTGGATGAGCCTGTGTCTCCCAGTGTTGTTCTCAACGAAGATCAGGTGGCCTGGACGCACCGCCTCTGGCTGGCGAAGCGCGTGGTGGAAGACTTGCACTTTCTTGCAGTCTTTGTCCGCTTGCAGCGCCTCAAGGTGGCAACGGCGTTCAACCACCCTCTCCTCAGCCACTTTACGAGCTTGATTGATGAGGCTGCCTTGCATCTGCGCCGACTTGTCAAGTTCGCCTCCATGTACGCGGTTTCTCGGGCTGGTGTTCAGCTTGATGAACACGGCAATACGATCGACCTGGCTGCTGGCGAATTTGTTCGTGCCGAGGGGCTCGTGCACGCTTACTATGTCGCCTTCCTCGAGCGGTGGTACCATCCGTTGTTGGGCGTCCTCAAGGTGCTCTTGACCCTTTCCAACGAACCTTTTGCCGTGAACATGATGATTCCAAGCATGACTGATCCCTTGGTCAGCTTGCTGTTTCTCATCGGCGAGTGCGAGCCCGTTCTTCGTGCGTGCGAACCACATCTGGGCGTTTTTCACGATGCCCTCATGCAGCAAGCCGCTCGCAAAACGGAGCGCTCTACAACCCCGACGACAGCCGATGACTCGACCGAGGCGCGTCCTCAGACACCGCAAGAACAAGCAAAGGATGATGAAATGCAAGAGCGCCATGAGCTCGAGTCCGATGACGGGTCTGACGTGGCCGAAGATGCCTGGCGCGTCAACGACGCGTACTCGGCGGGCACTAGCCAGAATCTAGCTGACGACCAGGTGGTTTCGTACCTCGAGCACATCTCGACGGCTGCAGTTTCCCGCTCCAGAGCGTCAGACGCTTCTGCTGCGAGCTATGTTTTTCCAGCTTCTGCGCTCGACTCGATGTACTCTTCCGAGCAGCTGCCAGCCACCACAACCAGCCGGAACGGAGCAGGAGGCCAGGCGCCAGCCCCGGCTGGCACTCAGACGACTACTACTACTACTTCTGCTGCTGCTGCTGCTGCTCAGCCATCCCGACTCGTGATCAGCTCTGTTCTGACATTGCTGACAGACCTCAAGGCGTCGGCTGTCGTCGTTCTTGGCAACCTGCACTATCGTCAGCTGGTCAAGTCTGATGGTCGCTACCCTGTGGATTTGACCTACAAACAGCCAGTTCCCAGTCCCATTCCAATGCCACCCCACCCACCGAACATTGCGAATGATTCCTGGGCTGCGGAGGATCCAGAAGACTTGCCTTTTTACTCGAGTGCAGCCAGCGTTGAAACACCGGACAGCACGACTGTCAGCGCATGCACGCCCAGTCCAGCAGAGGGGAGTGCGAATACCAGTCTAGCCTCCAGTGGATCAGCAAGCGCAAGCGAGAGCACGGCTCCACCTGCCCTGGCCGACGCTCAAACAGTTTCATCGGACGACTCGATGGAAATGCCATCCCAACCGCTCGAGACTGCTCCAACAAGCGCAGTCCCAGACCAACATTTCGACAGCATGCCCGCGGCGTGGGAGTCGGATGCTCCTCAACCAACCTCTCCCGTCGTCGCCGGAGAATTCGAGTATCTTCCTTTACGATATGAAGAACTATACATGTTTGACATGTCCGAGGTTAATCCCGAGTACGTGTCACCGTTGCCTCCGCCCAACAGCCAGGACATTGCGTGGTTTCTCGACAACTCGCACGTGCGCACACTGTCGTTCGAAATTCCCACGTTTTGGCGCCGAGACGGTGATGCAGTGCGCCGCCACGTCTTGCGCTCGAGCTGTGACGTTACCTTGTGGCTGCTGGCGCTCGCATCGCCCAAGCATGGCAAGGAGCTCAAGCCGAGCGAGTTGGTGCTGGATTTCCACATTTCCCGCCTCCTCACGCTGTTGTGGAAGTCCCCGACGACAGGCCGTCAGCTGGGATACAGCAGTATCGAGCCAGCTGTCGATGCCGAAGTACCAAACCGCCTGTATCACTATGTATGGACGGGGCGTCACCGGTTTCATGAGCTGGCCATGAGTCTGCCAGACTATGCTCGGAGCGCGGCCATCTCCATGGCGAGACTGACAACCGTTGCCCCGTGGCTGAGCGCCTACCCGGCCACTGCCCCGCGGCACGAGGACAGTCGCAAGATTTCCTGGAATGAGCTCTCCATGAAGAATTCTACGACCATCCTGATGATGGCAGACGATCATGAAACGGTCTTGAACGATTCCATGGACTTTCACAGCGTTGGCGCGCACAAGCGAGCATCAACCCTTCCGCGAATCCGGTGGCAAGCGCAACAAGAGGGAGCGTCGCAGTCGGCCTCCTCTTCTCTGCCGTCGGACTCGGGCGAGCACGACTACTTTTACTTTGAAGTGGTGCTGCGCTCGCGAGGCGTCATTCAAATTGGCTTTTCTCAGGCGTCGTGTGTTATTTTTGATGCCACTCAAGGCATGGGGGTTGGCGATGACTTTCAATCGTTTGCCTACGACGGAGCGCGCCGGTTTTTGTGGCATGGTTCCATGGATTTCAAGGTACTGCTTGTGTTTGCTTGCAGTTTGGGTTGATTTTGTTTCCCCATTCCCTCCTGGTTGTTGAATTCTGACTCACTCTTGTTTTGGCGTTGTTGTTGTTTTTGTCGTTGTCGTTTTTGTGGTTTGTCGTTTTCGTCGGACGACGACATGCGTTCGCCAACAAAGCAAAACTACGGCCCACAATGGGATTCGGGACAGGTTGTCAGCTGTCTGCTGGGTGTGAGCAACCGAACCATTCGCTATTGGCTCGATGGCGTGGACATTGGCGTCGCCTTTTCAAACGTCTCCATTCGGCCCGACGACCTTTACCCGGCAGTGTCGCTGTGCAGTGGAGAGAGCTGCTCTGTCGTGTTCAATCCGACGGAAATGCGGTGAGCCCAGCGTTGCGTGTTGCTTGTTGCTTGTGTCGTTAAAGTTTCGACTTGCCGACTCACTCGCACTCCTTGTTTGACGTGGGCAGATTCTTGCCAAACAATGCCAGATCTGCTCCTGTGGCTCTGGACCTCAGCTGGTGCCCTCCTAGTCTTGCAGGAATCTCAGTATCACCATCTCTGTATTTCGAGGTGGAGCACCTTCGTTTTGACGCGAGGTAAAGCCTGAATTCGAGCTGGTGACTCGCTGTGAGGATGGATCTCGGGGGATCTCACTGTATAACACGGTGCTCCTTCTTCCATCTGCATGTCTCTGTCTCTGTCTCTGTCTCTGTCTCTCTCTCTCTCTCTCTCTCTCTCTCTCTCTCTCTCTCTCTCTCTCAGATGAGCGCGCCGCAAACTTTTGCGTTGCTCCTGGTCAACCGGTGCTGGTGTTTGAATGGAGAATTTTCATGCTCGAAACCCACCAGCAGTTTTCGCGACTGGAGCGCGTGATTCCGTTGACCGACAGTCAAGGCAACCCGATCATTGCGCCGCCTGCTCTATCAGGGCAGGATACCGTCGGGCTGATTTACATCGCTCGCGCCTCGCTCATGCTGCTTTGCGTGAATGGCGCAATTCTCGGTAACATAGACGGAGGTTGGACGTTGCTGCGTGTTTGAAACAAAGATGTGCTCATTTCACCCGTGTGTTTTTTGGTACTTTTTCTGATGCTAGCCGAATATCCCTGGTCGCCGAAACAGGGATTCCGACCCTTGTGCCATGGATGCCGCATCAAGCTCAACGTTGGCACCCGCCCCTTCCACCCCATCCCCGCACTTGGACTTGATGACGAGGCCATTCGAACCGGGGTCATCCGCTTTCTTCAGAGCGGAGCCCTTGCGGAGTTGTGAATCCTGTATTCTTGTACTTTCCAAACAACCTTGTTGACTCATTCGTACTCCACTGTCGTTTGATTTTTTTTTTGCCGTTGATCTTGTGTCATACCTGCTCTCGTTTGATGCTTCTATGGAGCAGAAGCGAGCAGGCGGGAATTCCCGCCAATAATCGCAAAAAAGTCGCCGCGTTGGGGAATTCTCACCATTTCAACGCCTCTTCCGCCATGCCACTACCATGGATTTCATTGAATGCGGCTTGCAGCCCCCCTGACCATTTGATAGTTATCTCAGAACAGCTCGATTAGGAAGCGTCTCAGTCCATATTCACATAAACACATCTCTGTTCATCCTCCTCCCGAATGGAGTGTACGATCCACACAACCACAGTTTGCTTTGCCAATCTTTCCGAGACTCACCATGCATGTTGTGCACACTTTGGGGGATTTGGATTGTCTTTAGCTCGCTCTGCGGCCGCGAGTGCCAATGGAGTGACTGCGCCGCGTCGCGTCATGGACGAGCAGACCCGCCAACGAAGACAGCGTCGCCAGCTGGAGACGCTCGAGAGCGACAACTTCCAAGACCAGCCGCACTTGCTGCAGGACGAGGCGCCGACCGCGGCCGCACTCGCCGCCAAGGCCGCCCTCGCCGGCGACGATGGTACGACCGCCAACGAGCTTTTCGTTCGATCTGATATTGTTGGAGCTCTTCGATTTAATGTTGAATTTCTGGCTGGTCGGGTCTGCTTGACTGGAGCAATCGGATCGGGTGGTTGAACAACTAGCAATGGCCAGAGCAACAAAACTTACTCGGACGAGTCCAAAACGCGCATACTCACTCGTCACACATTTTTTTGTCACAATGGCAGCCAATGCAACACAAAACAAGAGACGGCGGAAAGGCTTGCACAAGTTCCGACCTCGCAAAGCGTTTGCTGTTCTGCTTGAAGAATCGGTACACAGCTGCTTGTCACGTTTGAGAAATCGTTCCAAACACATATTCTTCTCTTGTCTCACAAGCAATGCATTTTTGCCAAATGACGTTGCAGGGAATACTACAGCAACAGGACGGAGACGTCCCGACGTATGTATCAGCCGCAGCGCCTCCATCACAGTTGCCCGACCGCAAAATTTGCGCCGTCTGCGGCTTTCACGCATGTTACTCGTGCGTTCCATGTGGGGCGCGGTATTGTAGTCAAAAGTGTATGAACATGCACAAAGAAACACGGTATGTCGGTTTTGTTGCGATGACTTTCGTTTTGTTCCGTTGGTTTTTGTCGTATATTTGTACTTTCCAACTCTCAGTTGCCTCAAGTGGATGTCATAGCACCTGTTCGTCGTGCTAGCGTCAAGCACTTCCATTCGATGGCCTTTGAATCACTCCGAAAAAAGAAAAAAAAAACAATCAGAAAAAGAACGCCAAATATGCATGCACAAGTTTTCGCATTGAAACCATGCATTACAAATTCACACGAGCAATATAACAATGAGAAAACGGAAGAGGAAGGGAGCCACCTTCCCGCTATCGACAGTCGGTCAACTATGCAGCACTTGCTCACTTGCGGAAGCGAGACAGGTCAAGCTCGACAGCCTCAAAGCCCTCGGGCAGGGTGCCATCAGCCTTGAGGGCATTGATGCCGTCGGTGTAGCCGACCTTGATCATCTACAAAACGCGCAGTAAACAGTGAGTACGTTGCAGTTTCTTCTTGATCGGGTAGTAACGTCCCAAAGTTGACTCCAACTCTCTGCTCTATCCACCCAAACGACCAAACTCACCTCCTCAGCATACTCGGGCTTGAAGGTCAGGAAGTAGCCAGGAAGAACCTTGCTCGGGAAGACCAGGCGGATCTTGGCGTTGGGGAAGGCGACCGAGGCGCTTTGAGCATTCTTCATCAAAATGTTCTGGGCCTCGAGGGTGGCGGTGCGCAAAAAGACCTCGGGCGTAATCCAAGTGTGGTTGGCGTCGGGCAGCTGCAGGCCAATGCACAGAATGACATCGATGGAGAGGTTGTCCGAGACCTCGGCGCACTTGGCGAGGGCGTCAGAAACAGGGGTCATGTACTCGGCACCGCTGTGAAGCGTGAGTTGAAAAGGGAAAAAAAAAAGGCGGGCAGACAAACAAAACAAAAGGGGTAATTCAGCAACTTTCGAAACAAAAAAAAAAAGATCCCAATAATGACCAAGTCGTACCCGTCAACAAACGTCTCGTCGCCAATGGTCACGGCCTCAAACACGCCGGGGACAGCGCTGGAGGCACGGAGAGCAGTCAGCCAGTTGGCGTTGGTCGAGTCGAATTGGGTGTAGGCGTCACGGGTCAGAGAAGTAGCGCCGACCACGCACTTGCGGCCGCTGGCAAGCGTTTCAGTGACGTTGACCTTGGAGTGCAGGTAGGCATCGAGCGGAGCCGTGCTGAAAAGCCCAGACTTGACGGCAAAGCCTTCCGCAATGCCAAGCGGCCAGTTCTTGTAAATGTCCGAGGCGACGATGGAAAGCCATTCGCCCAAGACGAAATCGAGAGCAGCCTGTGTGTGCGAGACGCGTCGTAAACGGGATGAGCGTTCGTGTTTTTTTTCTTGCGAGCAAGGATGCGAAGCATGCAGGAGTTGTTTCTTACCTTCTCATCGCCTTGCTGTTTCAACCCAAACGAATCCAAAAAACAACAACCAAAAAACAGCGTCAAAAAGTGTGAGTTTCAGCACGAATTCTCATGAGCATGTTTGTGTCGTGTCTTTCGTACCTTGTACATGCACAGAGCAGCCGTGTTGATGGAGCTGAAAGTGATGGAACAAGAGTCAAAAACAAACACAAGTCAATAATCCCAATTCCAGCATCAAACGTTCCTTTTCTTCTTCTTCTTCGTGTTTTTTGGCTGTTGTTTTGTGTCAAAGAGTGTTTTGATCATTTGACCAAACCATCCGATCTTGCTTTTCTTGCTTTTCGGAAGCCGAAAAATTGAATCAAAAAAAGGCAAAAACACAAACAAAAGACGGAACGGACTCACCCGGCACTGTGTCAAAAGCGGAAGACGCGGTCGTGTTGGTTTCGATCAATGCACGGAGCAGAATGGCCACAGAGGCAAGGAATGAAACAAGATGAAAACGAGGGGAACAAGTCGGATCACAAGAACAAAAGTAGATATTCACACGATAGCAAACAAGTATAAGTATTTGTTCTTTTAAATGCATTAAAGTACAAACAGAAAACCCATTGGCCATGTTTACCTGATTCCAGTGACAACGTCGTAAGTCACCTGGTCGGGAGCATTCTCGACAAACGCCTGGAAGACGCCCGCCTGGTACGCGCCACGGTCGCCGCCTTGTCAAGTCAAAAAACAAGCAAAAAAAAACCAAAAAACCAAAGAAACAAAAGCGATGCAATGGAAGAAAAGCATTCAGTTAAATTCAGTGAGTTAGTGATTGGAATAAAATGGGTTGTGCAAGCCGCAAACTCAATACAAACTAAATACAATTTATTTTATTTGATTTTTTTATTTTTATTTTTTTTTATTTTTTTTTGTTATTTTTGAATGCGAACTGTGCAACTCGCTCTCTTTCTCTTTCGCTCTCTCTCTCTCTCTCTTTCGCTGTCTGTCTTTCGCTTGTCTGTCCTTCTTTTCGCTTGTCTCACTCAAGTCGCCCACTTTGACGAATGAGACGAAAAGGAACAGCAAATGAAAAAAAAAAGCGGTTTAAAATTATCAAAAACCCAAAAACCCGAAATCAGCCGAACGAAATTGCGAGTTTCGTATTGAAAAGCATTGAAAAGCATTGAAAAGTGAAGGAGAGAGACAGATTGTAATGGAAGAGAGAGAGAGAGAGACATAGAGGGAGAGACAGAGAGAGTGAGTGGGGGACGCACCGCCAGCAAGAGCGAGGGCGCGGCAGGGAGTGCTGCGGTCGCGGACGAGCGGGGCAGCAAAGGCGAGCTGGCTGGACAGCGCAATGGTGACCAGCAGCGCAGTAGCAGCAGCAGCAGCAATGCGCATGACCATGATTGTAAGCAAGAAAAAAGAAGAAGAAAATGACTGAATGGAGTATTAGTAGATACCAGTAGAATACGGTATCAAAATGTACTGTACTGCAGATTTCAAAGATTTCAAACTTTGAGCTGGAACGAAGAAAAGGCCGACTTGGTCTCGTTCGAAGCGCTGTCTGTCTGTCCGAGCATTTTTTCGCTTCGACATGCAATAAAAGCACGGCTGCTGAGAATCGATCGAGTCAACCAGTCTCAGAAGTGACAGTTCAATCTCGTTGCTTGCTCGTTGTGAATCTGAGAACATTCGCTCACGCACCTCGAGCACAATTCAACTCTTGCATTCTTCTAGAATTATAGTAAATCCAATTTAAAAGAGCACGACTCTTTCTGACCAAAGCTCAGTCCAATTCTGTTTCTCAGAACTTTTGGTCTCAACGCGTCTTTCTTTAACCTCGATTTTCAATGAGCTTTCGCGATATTCTGGAAGCCGCAAGTCGCCAGCAGCAGCGACGCGAACTCGAGGTTTGCGCTCATCTTTTTGTTTTGTTTCAATTCTGAGCAACATCTGGCTGAGAAAATCCGAGCTAACTTCTTTTTTTGGTTTGTTGATTTCTTGCAGTTCGAGTCGCAGCAGCGCGCAAAGGAGCTCCAGGTCCAAGCAGACATTGAGGCCCGTGCCAGGGATGAGGCTCAGCGCGCAGCTGCAATGGTCCAGGCGCGCATCGCAGCAGAGACGCGCGCTGCGAAACAAGCTGCTGAGCGACAAGTCGCTCATCAAGAACAAGCTCACGCGCAGGCTCAGGCTCAAGCGCAGGCCGAATCGCGACCCCAGCGTCGGAATCTGCAGGAAGCAGGCTCCAGTAGCGGAAGCGGTGGCGATCGCAAGCGGGCACGGCTCGAGAGTGAGAGTCAGTCCCAAACGAAGACGAAAACGGCTGGCGGTTTGGCTCCAGCTGTCGCTGCACCAAAGCAGCAGGCAGCCAAGCCGCTGTCATTTGCCGAAATGATGGCCCAGGTAGCACAGCTCCACACCAATCCACCGCCAAGCGCTGCACAGCAGCCAGTCAAGCCCAAAGAGCCATCCAGATCATCGCCGTCGTCATCATCGTCGTCCTTCAAGCGACCGAATAGCATGGCCAAGCCTGCTGCTGCTGCTGCTGCTGCTCGATCTGCAATCCCACCAAGGTCCAACAAGCAACAGTTGGCCGCCAAATCCTCGGCGTCAAGTCACGACCGCCAGACACCCCCCGCAGCCCCAAAAGTCAACGCTTCAAGTGCCCGACCAGCTCCCACAAATGGAAAACCACCATCAAACTCGACAGCAACTCGTGGCGCATCACAGCCGTCACATCCAGCAAAGGGGGCGCCATCGGGTGGCAAACTGGCCTCCGCTGCAACACTTGCGCCAAAGCAGGTTGCGTCGACAAAGCCAATGCTGCCGCCACAACGGCCATTATCGGCAGTGACGAAGCCTCCACACAAATCCGGCACTTCAATTGCGGACGCCAGCAGATCGTCCGGATTGAAGCCGCGTCTCGCGTCTGCAAGCGCCCCGAAGCAACGCCCAACACTCAAACGCTCAAACTCTCTGGACGACTTTATTGATGACGACACAAGTCACATGTCACCTGCCATGGCTGCACTCTACCGCGAACGCTACGGCGGCTACGCAGACGATGACGAGTAGGTCGCAGATTTCGATTTTTTTTTTTTTTTGGAAAACGATTCGTGATGATTTGTCTTGCTTGCCTCACTTCACTTTGACTGAACACACAGTGACATTGATGACTATTCCTCGTCGGACGACGATATGGAGGCAACTGTCGAGGAAATGGCACGCGAAGAAGCCATCAGGTTTGTTCACGCAAATCAAACCAATCTTTTTGCCTTTTTACAGCTTCCTGACTTTGCGCTGCCTGTGCTTTGCTCACCACCAGTGACCGGATTGCACGCGAGGAGGACCGCCGAGAACTTGAACTCGAACGTGCAGAGGCGGCCTTGAAAGCAGCCAAAAAACGTGGAGCTGCTTCGAACCGATAGTCCGCCAACCAACCCTCTTTCCTTTGTATTTTTGCGTCAACTTGTACCAGTAAACGCCACCGAGGCCGAAGCACATGAACAACAAAAGAAAAAAAACCATTTACGAGCACACAGCGTTTGATAGGATGACAACGAAGCAAACTGCACAAAAGACGAGGGGTCGGCAATGCCCCAAAAGTCTAGCAATGGAAGCAAACAGACGCAAAAAAGACACAACACAGATACACACAGAAAAATCGAGCTCGGAGACGGGACGAGAGTTAGAGGGGGGGGATATTTGAAATAACACGACGTCAAGTCGGACGAACGAACGCCCGACACGACGTCAAAACTAAGAATTATCGACGAGAGAATGTGGAAACGAGTCTAAAACAGGCGGATGCGAGAATGGATGGCCGCCAAAGGAATGGCAAAACCGAAAGAAGAAGAAGAAGAAGAAGAAAAAAGAAGCTAGATTTAGGACGGCGTCGGAACTTCGTCAATATTGCGCTTCTTCCGCAACGTCGAACGCCGCCGAACGAGCTTGGAAAAGATGCCTTGCGGCTCTTCTTCTTCTTGCTCGACGCCGTCGGGATGAGCGTTGTCTTGAGCGGGCATTTCGGTCGCGACTTGGCCCGTCTTGATGGCCTTCTTGAGCTGTCGATCGCGTTCACGCTCCTGCTCCACAAGCAGGTCGCGCTCACGGCGCTCGAGATCTTTTTGTCTCTTCTCGAGCTCCTTCTTTTCCTTCTCAATCTGCAGCAATCGCTTGTCGAGCTCCTTTTGGGCGCGCGAACTGTCGCGCTTGCTCTTGCGGAGCTCGCTGCGTGTGAGCGACTTGGAGCGCTTCAGCGTGGGCGGGGCTGGGACGTTCAAGTTGCCCGTGTTGGCAGGGGCCATGAGCGCGTTGCTCAGCTCATAGTCCTGCAAGGACGCGTCAGCCACACCCGACCAGGAGAGTCGGTTGGCTGCCTTGGCCAGCGCCGTGTTGGAGCGATTATCACCCGAGTGGGTGCTCGCAGACGAGCTCTGGTTGCTGGCAGCGCTATGAACACTACCAACGCTGTTGATGCTGGATATGCTGCCCGGATGCGTGCCAGCCAGAGAGCTCGCGTTCGAGCTGGCAATGTGCGTTCCGTTGCTGGCGCGCGGGGTCGGCGGCACGTGGTTGCCCGTCACAAAGTTTGCGGGCAACGCGACCGACGATGAGGACGACGATTTGGAGGACATGGTGCGCTTGGACGGCGTGGTCACGGCATGCGTGTCGCCCTCGGGATGGTCGGGGTACTCTGCTTGCACGGCGGCGATTTGAGCGCGAACTTGGGCAAGCTCCTGCTCGTCTTCCGTCAGCGACTCGATGGCGTGCAACAGCAAGAACTTGTGGGCCGCATAGCGCGCACGAACTGCTTGAATGGCGGTGTGCTCTGACTCGATCAGCGAGTCGACAAAACATCCCAGCTCGACCATGGTGATGCCCTCCCACGCGTTCGTGTCGTCGCCCTTGACAAAGCGGGTAAAGTAGTCGTCGTCCTCAAAGTCAATGCCAGAGGCGTCAAACTCGAGCTGGGGCACGTCGTGAACCATCATCGACCCGTAAAAGCCGGGCGACATGGCCTCAAAGTCAGCCGGGGCAATCGTGGCGGCCGAGGAGACGGACGATGTTGCGGGAGTTGCCGCCCCAGACGTCTTGCTGGTGCTCGAGTCCACGGTGCTAAAGACAGACTCTGCAGTGTCCTTTGCCTTCTTGCGTCGGAACGAGTTGCGCAGCGACCGCTTGGGCTTGGGAGGTGGCGTGCCGGGCGTGATGATGACCTCCTTGGGAGCGGACGGGGTCGTCGGGGCCGAGACGCTGGCAGATGTGGCGACCGAAGCGTCGGCGGACGAGTGGTTGTGCGAGTCGGAGACGGACTTTTTGCGGGACAATCGGTGGGAGGCTCGCCGCACGAATCGGCCGAGTTTCAACAATCCGCTCTCCACCTCCTTGTGGTCGACGGCGGCAGTGTCGGCAGTGCCAGCGCCCGTTCCGTTCATCGTGCCATTGACGTTCGAGAGAGAAGACGAGCGGGAGAGTTGGGGTGACATGAATCCAATCGCAGGGAAGCCAGAGCCAAACGTGCTGCTGTTGTACGAAAATGGCTCGACGGCAGAGGACGATGCGGCAGGGGCTGCGGCTGCGGCTGCGGCGGTCGTCTTGTCTGGCGTTGTAGTATGAGCCGCGGCAGCAGAGGCAGCACCAGCATTATTATTATTGCTGCTGCTGTTGCTGCTGCTGCTGCTGCTGTTACTAGGGTCGGACACGCCAAACGCAGCGATGCCGGAAAGGCTGTTGGACGAGCTGTGGCTCTTGTCCGGCTTGGTCAATGCCGGCTTGGCAGTGCTGGTTGAGCGGTTGCGAGCTGGCGTCGCGGAGCTGCTCGAGCCAGAGGCGGGCAATTGGCCCACGTAGCGCCAGTGGCGGCGCTGGTTGAGCAGGTGGCGCTGCTGCTCGGGATGCAAGTCCCACATTTGTCGGACTTGCCGCAAGCGCTCCACCCAGTCGCGGCACGACTTTTCGTCGACGGCGCAGCAGAAAATGTACGAGGGGCACGCCATGCGGAAGCAGTACTTTCGCCGGATGAGCGACTCTTCGACATACTCAATGTCGGTGAGCTGTGAAATGTGATAGACGGCGGTCGGAGACGTGTCGCTGGATGACTTGTAGTAGGCGAGCGAGTCGTTCGACAAGACAAAGTAGCAGACCTTCCAGTTGCGCGTGGTGCCGGGCGCCATGGAGCGCTTGTTCAGGTAGCCCGATTTGAGTCGAATGCCGCTGTCGGGAACGATCGAGACGCGACGCTCGAACAGCGGATTCTGGATGGTCTGATTGAGCAAGAGGTCTGCGCTCTTGGAGGACTGCCGCAGGATAAACTCGACATTGTTGTCTGGGAAGCTGGGATCCGTGTCGAGTAGCAGCTTGATTTCGAGGGGGAATTCGGTCGGCACAAGCGAGCATTCGTGCCCGCGCGAGTGCACAAACAGCTCATAGTCGGCAACATCGTTCGACTTGTCCAGATGGTACTTGGTCATGAGCGCCGAAATGACGTCCGGCGTCACGACGCGATTGTTGATGCGCATGATGGTTGTGCGCGCCTCCATGCCTGTGAGGTAGCTGGTGATTTTGACCATGCCCGAGAACAGGACGGTGGACTGTGTCTCTTCGAGCTGCAGATGAAAGTTTGGCTCGTCGCGCGTCGAGTTGTACTGTTCGACGCGTCTTCGAAGCTCTGCCACGGCGTCCGTGGTCAGCGTCTTGCGCTGCTTGGACATGCGCATCGTGTTGCTCATGGTGAGCGCATGGCGGTACTCTCGGACAGTGTCGCGGCCGCTCGCAGCGCGCTTTTCTGCCTTTTCTGCCTTTTCTGCCTGCCGGTCGTGCTGCTGCTGCTGCTGCTGCTGCTGCTGCTGCCGCGAGTTGGCGTTGGAGCTGGTGGTCGACGTTGCGCTCGACATGGACGCGAGTGACGATGAGCTGTGCATGTTGGACGCTGACGACGACGAGGCTACCGACGAGACGGACGACGACAGCGAGGCAGGACCGCCAGCAGGAGACCCGGGAGGCGTGTGTCGTAGTGCGGACAGGCCGCCGCTGGCCGGATGGACTTCGGTTGCGGCAGGCATGCACCGACTCGAAGCAAGTGGCGGTGGCGGTGGCGCAAAAGTGGTGACCTTACGCTCCACTCACAAAAGCCAGAAGAAAAAGAGAAAAAAGAAAAGGAAAAAAAGGGAAGGGGAAAACTGAAAAAAAAAAAAAAAAAAAGTGGAAAAACCGCTTGAAACAGGAGAAAGATAGAGAAAGATAGAGAAAGAGAGAGAGAACACGAGAGAGGGGAGGTCGAGGAAAGCTCAAGGAAAAAAAAAAGACCTGCTATTTCAACAAACACACAATGCAAAGTGAGAGACTGACTGATTTCCAACGACAAGCGACGAAACAAAAAAAAAACCGCCTTTTTTTTTTTTCTTTTTTTTTTTTTGTGCCAAAACATCGACCGTCACCCAAGTTCAGAAGTTGAACTTGCTGGCATTGAAAACAAGATCTCGGCGTTGGGACGGTGTAGTGCTCTCATCACGACGATGACTGCAGTGGGAGCAGCCACATGAAGATGCAGCAACGGCGAGCAAAAAGCGCGCGTCAAACGCAATGCAAAACGGAGCTGCTTCTTTTTTTTTTTTTTTTCTTTTTTTTTTCTTTTTTTTTTTTTTTTGTCTCTATTGTTATTATTCGGCGTATGATTATTATTATTATTATGATGATTATTTGTTGCTGTTGTTTTCGTTGCGCTCACGTCGCTGCTGCTGCAAGCTCGGTCTCGACGGGCGACGGCTGAGGATGGCTGGAATGGTAGACCACAGCAGCAGCGGCGGCGCCGATGACCGAGCGGCAGGCAACGTCGATAGCAGACCAAAAAAAAAAAAAAAAGCGAAAAATCCAATGGAAAGTCCAATGCAAAATATAAGAAAAAAAAAAGGGGGCAAAAATCCAAAAGGGATGCTGTCGCTGTGCAGGAGGCCCACAGAGAGAGGCCCACCGATAGGCAAATGTACGTGACACAGCGAGGCTTCAAAAGCACCAGATGGGCGCAGAGACAGACACCAGACCTGGGACATCCACACAAAAGAGAAGGAAAAAAAAAAACGAACTCAGCCCTATTCTCATCCGTCTGAACGCTTGCGTTTTCCGAGGTCGCTGGAGAAGCAGCAAGCGTCAGAAGCATGGAGCTGTCGGTACCGCGGGTCTATAGGCAGCAACAAAGCAAGAGGTGGCTGGATAACGAGAGGGGAAGCACGAACTACACCGAAAACCGACCAAAAAAAAAACAACGAGAAAAAAAAAAAACTCTCTAACTCGAGCGTAGGTGGAAAATGCGAGTCTAACTGGAAACAAAACGACTTACGAAAAAGAGACAAACAAAGTAAAATAATACAGAAAAATAGAGAAAAAAAAAACTGGTCCAAACAAGACGTATTCCGCAGAGACCACAAAGGCAAGTCTGAGACTTGGAACAAAAGGCTTGCAGCAAGCAACAAATAAAAGGGACCAGGAGTGCGATGAAAGAGGGCGCGGCGGAGGCGCAATTCAAGATTCGCTTCCGGGCTTAGGTGACAATGTGACGCACTTAAAAGGGGTGTCAATTTTATTTGCCGTTGTCAATGACTCATTCGCCGCCAGGATGGATTGCGCCCGTGTGTGTTCTGGGTGGGCTGCGCACGTGCTCCGACCCGCGTTGCGCGACGTGGTCGTAGTGCCCTCTTGAAACGGATTGGACGGCGGGATCCTGGCACCCGAAATGCCGCACAAGTGAAACAACACACTCGGTTGCTGTGGAAATGTTTTGTTTTTTTTTTTTCTTTTTTTTTCTGTTTGTTTGCTTGTTCGGTTGTTTGTTTGGGAAAACAGCGATCAGTTATGGCCTCTGCCACATGCATGGGTGTGGTGTTGCTGGCCTTTGGTTCGAGCGCTTTGGCGGGTGTGGTTTCAAAAGGCAATCAGGACAATCGGTTTGTTGTTGGTTGTGTTGAAACAGTTTCACAGCCCGGATAGAAGCACCAATTGGCAAGTGGACTTGCAGCGATGTTCTCGGGCAACGTGAGGTGCGCAGCATGGCGAGAGAAACGACCAGCCCGTTAAAAGAGTCTCTGAAAACCGGAATCTGGAAAGTTTTCACTTTCGAAACCAGAACCACTTTAAGAACTCGGCTGGGCTCTTCGATGGTCTATGGGGGCTGGTCTTACTCGAGAGTACAGAGATTCAGTGCATTCGGGTTGCGTGTCAAGCAGATGAGCAAGAGCCGGGAGCAACTCCGTTCAAAGTAAAAGCCGGCTCCTCAGCTTGAATGAGCTCTGGAGACCACGCACCGCTGATGGAGACACACAAGAATCTCAGTACACGTTCTAGCAGGCATAAACATCTCAAGACTCAAGCTCCTCGAGCCAAAGTTGCTTCAAAACGCACCAGCAAAAGTAAAAGCCGGCTCCTCAGCTTTTATGAGCTCTGGAGACCGCACACCGCTGATAGAGACACACAAGAATCTCAGTACACGATATAGCAGGCATAAACATCTCAAGGCTCAAGTTCCTCGAGCCAAAGTTGCCTCAAAAAAAACACCAACAAAAACCTCCCTGTCAACCCCGTTTTCCTTCAACCCTCTTTCCAACCCTCGCATTCATGCCTTCTTCTTTTCAATAATTTACCTTGTTTCTTCATCTAAATTTGTGTGCGTTAATTTTCCCCATTGTTGCAATTTCATCTCTAAATTTGCTCAAAGTTTCACAATCCAGTCCTCACTTTTCTTTTTTCTTTGACAATGCGCGCCTTTGTGTGCCTTGCGCTCCTTGCGCTTGCCGCGTCGTCGCTCGCCGCACACTCGCCCGAGCAGCTCCTCTCCCAGGGCTACGAGTCGCAGAAGACCTTCCGCGACAAGCAAGTCTTCCACCATGCTGGCAAGGTACAAACCCCTCGCTGCCCTTGCCCTTGTTTGAATGTGGCTTGCACACACAGCCGAAAACCTAAAAAAAAAAAAACCGGCTTTGTCATTTATTTTTTATTATTTCTTTTTCCCTTTTCGCTTTTGCTTCTGTTGCTTTTGCGGATGCGCCGTCTTTTGTTTCGCTGCTTCACTACAACTTGATGGTGAGAGTGCGTCACATTGCGTCATCCCACACGGAGCACAGCGAGCAGCAGCAGCAGAGAAACAGGACTTTTTTATTGAAATGCACTTGTGACTTTTTGTTGTTGTTTTTCCACTAATTTTCTTTTTTTTTAGCCCTTTTTGCCGATCCTTTTGGATTTTTTTATTTTGATTTTTCAAATCGGTGCTTCTTTGTTCAATTGCGCTGCAGTGAATGCGGCTTGGCGCTTCGTGTCGTTGGTTATTGCTTTGTGAGCACTACGTCACGAGGAGAGGGTCTGGAAGCCGAGCGACGGCAAGATGCAGGCGGGGAAATACAAAAAATGCGAAAAAAAAAACAAAAGATTGTTATTGCCGACGGTCTTTTTTGTATTTGTTTTTTAAAATCGCTTTTTTTGATCTGGATGTGCGTCTTTCACACCCTCGGCTGCTCTGCGTCGTGGCTGCAGGGTGTATTGAGAAAGAGAGCCATGCCAGCTGACAAAAGCGCGGCGATGAGGGTGTGTGGGGAGCGTGTGGCCAAATGTTGGTCGTGTGAAGGCTTTTTTTTTTCTTTTTTCTTTTTTTTCTTTCCCCGTCGGCTCGCTTTGTGGCATTGGTTCCTGGAACGCACAGCACATACACACACACACATCCGAAACCAGCATGTGGTCATACTCGCACCATTGCTCGGTCAAGCGGAGTGGTTGCTGCGCGCTCGAGTTCATCGCACAATGTGCTTGCGCAACTCGATCTTTTTTCGCATATTCACCGAAACAAGTGTAGCGTTTTTTAGTGAACTTTTTTCGTATCAAATGTCCTTTTTGTTTACGATTTTGTTTGAGTCTTGTGATATGGCGGCATATTTTGCCGATTTTTTTTCCGTTCCTTTAAATTTTTATTTTGTCGATTTTCACCCACTGGCTTATTGACTCACCAACAACAATAAAAAACTCCTCTTGTTTTTTTCTTGCACAACAGGGCCACACTGTCGTCATCGACCACGTCGAGCAGATCGCTCCCAAGTCCCAGGGCGAGCTCTTTGACTCGATGATGCCCCACCACGAAAACCGCATGAAGCGCATCAACAAGCGCGCTGAGGAGCTCGGCAACCCCTACGCCCCCGACCTCTACTGGGGCTGGATTCCGATCTACATTAACTCGCTCAACATGAACCAGACCATCACCTTTGCCGGCGGCTGCTTTGCTGTCAACACGCTGTCGATGGTGTACGACCAGACTGCCGGATCTGCCACCATGACGCTCACCTCGTCCAAGCCCCTCAACACGTTCTGCGAGGACTACTACTTTTTCGCCACCGTCACCAGCTGGCACGGCCAGATTGTCAAGGCTGCCGGCGTCCAGGTCATTGAGTGGGAAAAGTTCAGCCCCGCCGAGCTCGAGGACATTGGCCGCAACGGCTTCCGTGTCTTCCGCTTCCTCCAGAACGAGGTCGAGACCCTTGTCGACATTTACGAAACCCTCCAGCTCTTCCTGGGCGCTCTCGGCCTGAACACTGGCGGCAACTCGTCCACCCACGTCCCCACCCAGACTGCCGAGAACAACCTCAAGTTCCTCCACGACTACGCCAACCTGACGATGGTTCCCCGCACCACCATTGAGGTTCCCCTCGACCCCTCTGAGATTGAGTCTGGCGACTTTATCGGCATTGTCCGTCTTGACGGTCTTGATCCCACCATCATGTGGGGCTCTGGCTCGGCCCTCGGCCACACCACCGTTGCCCTCTGGATTGACGGCGAGCTCAACATTTGCGAGTCGCAGTCCAAGTCCAACTACTGGCCCGTCAACCTTGTCCAGTGCAACCCCTACGCTGACTGGATCAAGTACGCCACCGCTGCCGACTACAACGTCATCCACCTGCCCCTGTCGCCCGAGAAGCGTGCCCAGTTCAACGAGACTGCCGCCATTGCCTTTGTCAAGTCCGTTGTTGGCAACCTGTACGGCTTCCAGAACATGCTCTTCACCTGGCTCGACACCCCCGACCAGAACATGCCCGCCCCCGTCGACCAGCACTACCTCGTCGTCATGCTCTCGCTCCTCGACCCCATCCTCGAGCCCCTGCTTGTCGAGCTCCACACTCCTTCCCTCTGGAACGTGGCCTTCAACCGTCGTCTTGGCACTGCCTACACTCGCTGCGTCGAGATCTTTGCCCACGCTGCTGCCCACAACGTTTCGTTCGGCCAGCTCATCTCCATGCCCGAGCAGGACTGGTGGATTTACGCCGGCCACGAGCCGTGGTACCCCGACGGCATTGCCATGGTCTGCGACGTCTTTGTCTGCTACACTTACAAGGCTGGCGGCCTCTTTGGCAACCTCACCGACAGCATCAACTGCGCCGAGTTCACTCCTCTTGACGTGTACGAGCTCGCCTGGTTTGACACTGCTCCCATCCCCGCCAAGTGCCAGGCTGCCGACCCCGGCAACAAGTGGTGCCAGATTCTCGGCAAGTACCGCATCCAGCTCCCCGAGTTCAACACTGTCCAGCCCTTCGCCCACATGCGCGAGAACTGCCCCTCCATGCCCCCGTACGCCGATCGTTACAACCCGATCGCCAAGGCCACTTGCTAAAGCAAACATTTGACCCATGTTTTTTATGGTTGGTTTGTGTTTTTTTTGCTCGTTTCCTTGTTTGGTCCCCCCCAACCAACGCGTCGGTCTTCTGTTTTTCAGAAGTTTCGGAGTTTGCAAATTGAGCGCTTGCTTTCGTGTTTGCTGCTTCTGGTCTTGCTCGGCGACGTTGTGTCATTCATTGTTTTTTTTTCTGCCCCCCCCCCCCTCGATGTATATTTTCAAAGCCAACTGTTGCAATAAGAGTACAGGAAGTGAGTGTGCGAATATTTCGATCAAGCGCAGTCTTTTGCAGTCTTTTGTTTGTTCAGCTGTTTGTATCAAAGCTGCCAAAGATCAGGAACTCGCTGCAAAAAATCAGGAGCTTGCTGCCAAGGATCATGAACTGAAGTCAGCTCTTGATCGGATTGACGTCCTTGAGCGCGAAAAAGAAGACTCGGCATCAGCGTCGAACTTTGACGGACCCATCCCACAAGTTTCCCTCGCAACTCTTGTCTCCGTCACGAACAATTTTGCTGCTGATTCTCTGCTTGGCGAAGGAGCATTCGGTCGCGTGTACGGTGCCAATCTGCCTGGCCCTCATGTTGCCATCAAGAAGCTGTCTGCCGAATCCAAACAAGGCCCTGCCGAATTCAAGTCGGAACTGGACTCCTTGTCGAAATTCCGCCACCCGAACATCATTTCCATTCTGTCGTATGCGGAAGAAGGCGACGAGCGATGCCTGGTCTACGAATTCATGCCGAACGGATCGGTTCGTGATCGCTTGAGTCGCAAGAAAGATACGCCTCCGTTAACTTGGTCTCAGCGTCATCGGATTGCGGCTGATGTCGCCCGCGGCATGCACTACGTCCAAACAGCTTTCCCTGACCATGTTCTGTTCCACCTTGACCTCAAGACGGACAATATTCTGCTGGATGAGCATTTCAACGCAAAAGTGTCTGATTTTGGCCTCGTTCGTGCAGCCCAACACCTCCATGATAAAAGCTACCTGCGTACACAGAACGTGCAGGGCACAGCTGCTTACATGTGCCCCGAGTTCCTCATCGAGGGCAGAATGACCACCAAAACGGACGTCTACTCATTCGGCATGATTCTGCTCGAGATCATGACCGCCGCCAAGCCCGGGCCCAGACTGAAAAACGAGATGCGGAAGGCTGTGAAAAACCAAGCCATCAATGGCATGCTGGATTCGGCGCTCAATCCAACCGAGGCAGAGAGTCAGAGCGTCCGCGAGCTTGTTACACTTGCGCTCGAGTGTCTTGACGACGAATCTGACGATCGCCCATCGTTTGGCTGCCTTCTCGCTACGTTGGATCCCTGAGGATCAGCGCAAGTTGCTGCAGACTGATGTGTTCAGCGCGTTGAATGTGTGTACATGTGTTGATCTTTCAAAGCGGGTGCAAATCGATTCGGTCTCATTTTTGTTGCTGTTCTTTTGAAATGTTTCGACTCTGCGTTGTGTGTTACGCTCCAACACTGAACCCTCTTATGTGTGAGCGCGTGACTTTGGATCAGTCTCAGAAATCTAGTCACTTTTTTTTCCATTCGCCGCTTAGCCCCTCCGTTTCAATCGCTGTTCTCAACCATCCACCATCGACACTGCAACCATGGACATGTCGGCTGTCACGGACAGCTTCATGGACGAGCTCCTCATGTCCGCCATGAATCCGCTGCCACCACTGCAGCACCCTCTGCTTGGCGATGTGGGCAGCAGCGGGATGCTCGACCCCAATGCGAGATCTCTGCTTGGCGGGCTCGATGTCTCGGCTGCTGGCTTTGGCGGCTTGAACACGGCGGGGTTCTTGCCTGCGGGCGCAGAGTTTGTGCCGGTCGGACTGGGCGATCCATCGCTGGCGTCGTCCGGTGCGAATGTGGCGCTGCTGGGCGGGCTGCCGGCGTTGCACTCGACTGCGGGACTGGACGACGCCTCGGCGTTCGCTGCTGGCCGAGCAGGACTCGCGCAAGCGGTGGCGCCGCCCGGGTACGATCTCGATCCAGCTGCTGCAGAGTACTTTGGCCAGGCTGCGACGGGGCTCGAGTGGGTGGACGAGGGCGCACGGCCGCCGCTCGCGCAGTCCAATGCGCAGCATCGCCGAGCAATCATTGTCCACCTGGTCGGCCAGGCGATGCGGGAAACGGGCATGACCGTTGCCAAAACATCTGCCGTCGACATGGTAAGGGTGGCAGGACAGGGAGCGCGTTTTGTGCATCCTGTACGCATTCTAATCTCAGTGTTTTCCAATGTTGCGTCCCCTCGTCCGTCACCTTCAGCTGGCCGACGTGTACATTGAGTTCATAGAAAAGATTGGCGCCGTGGCACAGGCGTATGCCGAGCACGCGGGACGGACAGAGGGCAATGCCAATGATCTCCGCGCCTCCCTGGCCGATTTTTCGTCCAACGCGCGATTGCGCTCTGCGAACGAGATGCTGCCCGACTTGCCCTTTCGTGCTGGGAGTTGGAATCAATCCAACTTGGTCAATGTGAGTGTGATTGGCTTTTCAGCAGCTTGTTTTGATTGACATGTCGAAGGTGTGCTCACGCTGTTCTGAACCTACCGAAATGCAGCCCCTGGACTACAATACAGAGAGTCTCACCCGCTTCCTCTTCGACTCGGCGCAAGGCTCCCAAGAAAAGCACGGTAGCGTGTCCATTCAGAGTTGTGATGCCATTTCGGGAGTTGTTCTATTCTCACCGTTCGACTCTCCTTCCTCTTTTTTTTGTGGCTTATCTCCTTCTTTCTCCCCCCCCCCCACCTCCGGCCACAGCGCTCGTCCAAACGAGGATAGAAGAAAGCGAATTCCGAGAACTTGCAGAACGGCAAAACGATCCCCACTATCGCTTTTTCGTATCGCCTGTTAACATGTTTGATGATCCCGAGGCAAAATTGGTTCCCGACTTTATTCCCTCCTTTTTGCCACGGTATCCAGCAAACCATACATATTTGCGCACTTTGGTAAGCGTGAACTATTGTGAACTGATCGGCCACTCGATTGGAGGAAAGCATCGGTTTGGGGTCCTTGGCATTATGGACTCGAGAATCCACATCAAGCAACCACACAAAAACAAGTCACCTTACTGACTAGCACCAAAACCCCCACACACCCACACACCCCACAATGACAGATTATGCCGAAACGCTTGACGGATTGGCACCAAGTACGACCCATCTGGGGACACCAGCAACGCGACGTCGCAGTGTCCCTTTCCAATTTCCTGGCACTAACAGAGCAACACAACGCCGAGCCAGTTAGCACTGACAAGTCAGTCCAATTAGCCAAAGTCAAGCCAGAGGCTGGTGAGTTGCATGAAGCGTTGTTTTCCGATCTTTTCGATCTCTGCTTCCTTCTTGTTGGACGGCGCCAAAGCACGAACAAACTCAAACTGCAATCGTGTGTTCGTCACAGTTATTGTCGAACCTCATCCGTCGTACTGTGCCCCGATCGTGTTTGCTCGCGGACCCAATACAATGGGCATTGCGCGAGAGCGAATGACATCGCCGGAATCCAGGGCCGCAGGCAAGGCATGTGTGTTTTTCCAAAAGTTCCAACAAGTACGAGCGCTTCCTCGGTTGATTCCGCCTGGCGAGACTGTCGGTACCAAGTAGCTTTGCGCCAGTAATGACGCCGCTCTCCCGTTTGTTAAAAATATACAGCTGTTCAACCGTGTTTGCTTTTTCTGTGCATTTTCTGAAGCGGAGGCCAATATCCTACGTTTCTTTTTTTTTCCTTTGTTATTCTTCATAAAGCTTTAGACGGTGAACATTTTTTCTGAATTTCGGTGATTTGTGTGTTTTCGACTTTTGGTTGTTCGCTCTCTTCTTTTCGTGTAAGCGTTGTTGGATTTGATTTTTTGATTTTTTTTTGGGTTTTCTACTTTGCCCCTTTTGTTTTCGAGTTTCGTCTTCCTCTCAACCACTCGCCGACCGACCGACCGCGCTCTGTTCGTCAACCGTCCGTGTGCATTGCTTGCTCCTGTTCGTTGAGGCAGCGCGGCAGAACTCACAGCGAGAGAAAGTGAAAGCAAGCAAAAGAAAGGATGGCTTTTTTTTTTTTTTTTTTTTTTTGCCGACCACGCGGTTTTCATCTTTTTTTCAATTTCTTTTGATTTCCGTTCGTTTCCTGTTCCTCCAGTCGCGCGCCCTTCCGCGTCCATCGCCTCCCCCTGCGCCCCATCTCTAGAACATGTTATTCGCATGATTTGCGCTTGGGATCCGGTGTCTAGGACGCCGAGGAGAAGGAGCAACACATGTGGCTCTCGTTTCTTTTTTTTTTCTTTTTTTTTCTTTTTTATTGTTCTCGCTCTCGTTCAACTGCCTCGATCTCGTCCCGCAGCGTTAGCGTGGCTATCGTCATCGGTGTCATTGTACTCCTCCGTTTGCTTGCGCTCCGCCATCGGCGCCTTTCGCGTCGGCGTTTCCTTTTCTTTTTTTGTCTTTATTTTCTTTTTAATTTTTTTTTTTTGTTCGCTGATGCAACATTGCATCGATTGCTCAACTCATCCCACTCACCTTGCTTTCACTCTCCTTTTGACAGAGCGCCGTTTTTAAATACCCCTCTACTACACTCAGAATGTCGAAGGCAGACGGCGACCAGCGTAAGACTGACTACTTCACCAAGCTTGTCCAGCTCCTCCAGGAGTACCCCCGCCTGTTCATTGTCGGCGTTGACAATGTCGGCTCCAACCAGATGCAGCAAATCCGCATGTCCCTCCGCGGCCGCGGTGTCATCCTCATGGGCAAGAACACCATGATCCGCAAGGCCATCCGCGGACACGTTGCCGCCAACCCCGCTGTTGAGAAGCTCCTCCCCTTCATCCGCGAGAACGTCGGCTTTGTCTTCACCAAGGACGACCTCTCCCAGGTCCGCACCATCATCACCGCCAACCGTGTCGCTGCCCCCGCCAAGGCTGGTGCCCTCGCCCCCGTTGATGTGTTCGTCCCCGCTGGCAACACTGGTCTCGGCCCCGAGAAGACCTCCTTCTTCCAGGCTCTGTCCATCCCCACCAAGATCGCCCGTGGTACCATCGAAATCGTCTCTGACGTCCACCTGATCAAGTCTGGCGACAAGGTCGACGCCTCCGCTGCCGCCCTGCTCAACATGCTCGCCATCTCCCCCTTCTCGTACGGTCTTGTCATCCGCAACGTCTACGACAACGGCGCTGTCTTCTCGCCCGAAGTCCTCGACATTACCCAGGACGACCTCCTCTCCAAGTTCACTCTTGGTGTCCGCAACGTCGCTGCCGTCTCCCTCGCCATCGACTTCCCCACCGTTGCCTCGGTCCCCCACTCGATCGTCAACGCCTACAAGAACGTCCTCGCTGTTGTTGCCGAGATCGACTACACCTTCAAGCAGGCCGAGAAGCTCAAGGCCTACCTTGCCAACCCCTCTGCCTTCGCTGCCGCTGCCGCCCCCGTCGCTGTCGCCGCCAAGACTGAGGCCAAGAAGGAGGAGCCCAAGAAGGAGGAGAAGAAGGAGGAGTCCGAGGAGGGCGACATGGGCTTTGGTCTTTTCGACTAAGCTGTTTCCCAAGTGTCTCACTTTGTTTCCCACTTGTTTCTTCCCTTTGATCGGCATGCTGCGTCGTTGTTCTTTTGGTTGCTCTTTGTTGGCCGAGTGAATCCTGGTATTTTTCCTGGTGAATGCTTTTTTTTTTTTTTCGAAAATAGAAAAAAATACATTCCACGTAACACGCTGAACCGCGCTTTTATTGGCTTGTTTGTTCTATGAGGGGGGCATAGGTTTAGAATTTGTGTGTGAGCCGAAGAAGGTGATGAGATGGCTGATGAGATGGCTCAGCAAATGCCGGCACTCATTCTGTTCAACGCCGTAACCATCAACTTTGTCCGAAGCCTCTAACTGGACACGCTGGCGCTGGATGACGATGCTGCGGAATCAGGCAATGCAAAGTACCAGCCAAAATGTCCAGTCTTCTTCTTTGAATTGTAAGTTTTTCGTTTTTTTTTTTTTTGTTTTTTTTTTTTTTTCGTCTTTTTCGTTACCGTTCACTTGGCTCCGCGCGCCTCGCCCGACGCCTCCATCGAACGCGTTTGTCTGTTGCGCATTCCTTGTGTCATCATCGCTGCAGCACTCGCCTCAGAGTCATGCGTCTGAATGAGAAGAGGATGTGCGCTGTCACAGACGGGCTCAAATTTCCCCCTTTTTTCTTTTCTTTTATTTTCTTTGGTTTTGCTCTTCCGTTGCGTTTTGCTTCCCTCGAAACCGCTGCCGCTGCTACTGCTTGGTCGCACTACGATGGCATCGAGCGGTACAGCTCACTCTGTCCTGCTCATGTTCATCGATCGTCGTTGCAGAGCGTGTGAATCCACAACAAGCCAAAAAAAAAAAAAAAAAATCCACAAAAAAAAAAAAAAAAACGTCTTCTTGTCCAAAGCGGAAAGCAGCAGCGGATTGCAGCCTCTCGTCGAGCTCGACTATGACGTTGTGCGTGTTTGATATGCATTCGCTCGTCAATCACACACGCTGCACGCATCCACAAGCAACAACGCACAGCTTTGCGAAACAAAACAACGTCCTTCAAAAACCAAAAACCAAAAAAAAAAAAAAAAAAAAAAAAAAACGGGAAAACCTGCCATTTTAAGATTGAATGCACGAACAAACACAGACAGTCCAGCCACAATCCTCAGCGGACCTGTCTCTGCCCCTGACCTGGAAACTGCAGTCAGTTGCAGTGCAGTGCTGTGATTGCTGTGTGCTTTGGCTGCTGCTGATCTGCCGAAAGTCGCTCGGAGTACAAGCAGCGCAAATTTTTCCCTCTTTTCATTTTTTTTATTTTATTGGATTTTATTGAATTTTATTGGATTTTTTGTTTTGTATGGATTTTGCATTGACTTTTTGCTTTTTGTTCCTTTTTCTCCACAGTCACCTCATCGCATTCAGACATGAACCCGCCGTGCGCACGCTGCACCAAGCCCGTCTACCCTGTGGAGAAGCTTAACGCTCTTGACCAGGCCTGGCACAAGATGTGCTTCAACTGCGAGGTCTGCAAAATCACCCTGAACATGAAGACCTACCGCGGCCTGAACAAGAAGCCCTACTGCCAAACGTAAGCGCTGCTAAGTGGTTGCTAGCTGTTGCTGCGATGGAGAGTGATTTTGAGCCAAAAAACAGCTGACTTTTGCTCTCTCGGCCAAAACAGCCACTACCCGAAGGGCACCTTCACCGCCGTTGCCGACACCCCCGAGGCCAAGCGTATTGCCGAAAACACCAAGCAGTCGTCGATGGCCGCCTACCATGCCGAGGCCGAAAAGTTGCGCGGAACAGTCACCTCGGTGGCGGACGACCCAACCACGCAACGCGCCGTTGCTGCCACCAAGGCGCGCATGAACTACGACCAGCGCGCACGCGACGACGAGACTGGATCCGCCCCTGCCCCTGCCCAGTCGTACTCTGCCCCTGCTCAGTCGTACTCTGCCCCTGCCCAAGCCAGCTACGGCGGCGACGAGGAAGAGGAGGCACCCCCGGCTCCTCGCGCACCAGCTGCTGTAAGAAGAGCATTGGACATCGTGCATCCAGAGATAGTGTGCCTACAATTTGAGCCGATGCTCACTGTTTTCTTACTCTCCGGTTTTTTTTTTGTTTTTTTTTTGTTTTTTTTTTTTGCTTAGCGCGCCGCTCCCGCTCCTGCCCCTGTTGCCGAGGCTCCCGCCTGGAAGGCAATCTATTCGTATGAAGCCAGCGATGCAGATGAGGTCTCCTTCGAGGAGGGCGACGAAGCTCGAGGAGGGCGACGAAGCTATCGACGTCACTGTCATCGATGAGGGCTGGATTCAAGCAACAATCAAGCGAACGGGCCAGTCTCCAGCCTCCGGAATAAGCAAACACCACTATACATACACACAATGCACCAACGGTGGGCCGCTGGAACAGCTCGATCCGTGATAATGTTTACGTTTTTAGTCGCTGTTGTTGCAAACTCTCCTTTTTTAATACATCCTACTGCAACCCCTTCAGTTTGACTTTTTTTTTTTTTTACTTTTTCAGCTCCAACAACTCAGTCCACTTGTTGTAGTAGGTAGTATCCCATACATTTTGTTCAGCCTTTTCGCCAACTTTTTTTCTTTTTCTGCTGATCTGGAGTACGCATGGCGGCAGTCTCGTCTCGCACATGCAACAAGCGCTCTTGCCCGATCGATCTTGTGCTTGATCGAGCACCTGTGGTTGCGTTTGCATCGACTGATTCAATGATGGTCCGCGCAGCGTGCTTCCTCCAATGCTTTTTTGTTCAGTCAGCACACATCAAACACTCACTCTCATCGCTCCTCTCGACAAAGTCACCCCCGCGGTTTTATCTCTTCAATCAATCATTGGATTCTACTCCACGATAGCAGAGGCGTTGCTGCGTTTGCTGCCTTGTTTCAGTGGACAAGCGATTCTTGTGCTCAACGACAAGCGCAAGTCAAAACAGTGCATTTTGACCGCTCCATCCAGAAGGTGCATCAAAGCACAAAAACGAGCCATCAACAATATTCACATCCGTCGGTCATGAAAAGCGCCGGGTGTGCATCCGGAGAGCGTCAGTGCGTTTGCTTTGATCGTGCATTATGGTAAAACATGTGCGGATTGACGCGAGCACTCTGATAGATTCGACGTTCGGACTCCTGCCACCTCTCTTCCAACTTGTTGTTGTTGTTGGAAAAACTCAGAGGCGTGATCGATTGGATGGGAATATTCGAGAGACCTCGTTGTGCACAGGTGTTTGGATGGCACGGGAGGGTGCACAGTTTTCGACTTGGAGTTGTTCAAGCCAAAAATCGTACAGATGGCTCACTAACAAGTTATGGCACTGGATCCAAATGTGCAGAGAGTGGAGACAGACCGTTGACACTGGAGAGAGCGATGGCGTGATGGTAATGCAAAAGCGGTTTTTCATTGCTGCGGGGAGATCAGTTTTGATTCAGTGAGGCGAGCTTGTCAACGAGTTTCTGTGTAAGCTTGCTCCTCGAGGAGAAGGCGTACATGGCTGTTTTTTGTTGAGAGGTTTTGTCACACTGGAACGCTCTGGTGCCGCATCCCAATCTGAGAGCCGAATGACCGTTACCAACATTACCCTTTTTTGCCTGAATTTGATTTGTGTTTGCCATTCGCAACCCTATTCTCGACTCATCGTTCTGTGATTGTTGTTTCCTCTTCCTTTTCGTATTTGTGCTAGACCAGCCAAGCCTTACACACCTCGATTCAGCTCAGAATGGTCAAGGGAAAGCACGTACGTAGCAACTCGCGTTTGTTTTTTTGTTTGTTTTTTGTCTATTGCCAGTCTCTCAGTCTCTCAGCCTCTCATTCTCAAATATTAGAGCACAGCCGCCGGCTCAAGCAGCAGCGGAGCTGCAGGAAAGGGACATGGTGGCCCGAGCAAAAGCTCCGGTGCAGGCACCTCCAGTCAGAACTCAAAGTCGTTCGAAAAGTTGTTCAGCGAAGGTCTGCTCAACCAAGGCAAGGGCGAGCGCTACAGCGATTTCGGGACGGTTGAAGCTGTCAAGGCAATGAAATACTATGCCATGGCTGTCGATTCATTCAAGGCTGCAGTCGCGATTGAGCCCGAATCAACCGAAGCGCTGTATCACTGGTATGGTGCCTCTGCTTTTGCTTTCGAGAACCAATTGCTCATCAGAGATGTTTTTCAAGCTCTCACTTTGCCGTGTCATGCTGCTCCAACATCATCAGGGGTCACAACCTCCTCAAGCAAGCCACCCTGTGCGAAGGTCGTCGACGAAAAGAGCGGCTCCTCCTCGACGCTGCTCAAGTGTACGATGAGCTCGCCTTCCGGGGCGGAGAAGCGTGTGATGTCCTGTTCAACTATGGCCAGGTACGTAGGTCACCAGCTCAGTGTAGTGATTTGGAAACAAAGAACAAAGGTTTGAGCACATCTCGCTGATTGGCGGTTTTTTTTTTTGCTGTTTTTCTGTCAGATTTTTGTCATGCGCGCTGAGTTGGCAGAGCATGATAACAATGTTGCATCGGCAAGCGCCTTGTATGGTCAGGCCTGTGAAAAGTTCCGCGCTGCGTTTGAAAAGCAGCTGGTCGAGCTTGCCGTGGATCAAGCGCTCGCAACGACCCAGGCCTACGCATCCAGCAGTAGCAGTGCTGAACCGGCTCATACGCAATCAGCGCAACCAGTGGATCTGACACCGACGACCTTGCGCGCCGCACTTTCCAGCAGCGCTGAACAGGATGCAGACAACGACGGTTCGGACAATGTGACACCCGAGGACGCCATCAACTGCGCGACTGCTTGGGTCTCCGCACTCCGCAGTGCAGCTGCGTTGACGAATACTCTGGACGCCAGCAACATGCTGTTCGCCCAGGCCAATACCGTGCTGGACAACGCCTCAAAGCTGGCCTCGGAGCGAAATCTTGCCTTACCGGCGCTTGAGCTCGCGCTACAGCGTGCGGCCTTGCAATTCACCCAAGCCGAGCAAGACGACAGTGCCATTGGGCGCTCTTCCGGCGACAGGCATGCATTGTACTTGTCCTGTATCGAAGGGCTCACGGCTGCATTGGCGCAATCTGCGGGTCTCGCCGCGGACGCCTCGGTACGCGAAGTCACCATCCGAATCCGCGGACAGCTCGCGGAAGCCCAAGTATCCCTGGCCGAGAGCCTGTTGGAAGCCGACCAAGATCAAGGCAGTGATGACCAAAGCGGGCTAACGCGTGCTGACGATTTGGGCAACCTGGCTCACAAAGGCTTCGCCTCGCTGCTATCGGAAAGCAAGCCAAGCTCGGGTACCGACGATGACGCCGACAATTCCATCAACTGGTACTCTCGAGCCGGCGATGCGCTCATGGCTCGAGCGCGTGTCGCCATCCGCCGCGGCCAGTCCATCGCTGGGTTGCTCGGTGAGGCGATTCCGATGTACTTTCAGTCTCTTGCGCTCGACGGCGTGCTGGTCAAGCCCAGCGCAGAAGCCGCAGGCAAGGGCAAGGCACCTGCCCAAAAGAGCCGGCGGGATGAGGACGACGACGAAGCGGAACCGAGCGACGACGCCGAGCCCTCCCTCTACAACCTGGCATGTGCCCACGCTCTTCTCGGGAATGAAACTGAATGTCAAGCGGCGCTCGAGACGGCGTTTCGTCTGCGTCTGCTCGACCTTGACGCGTTGCGAACCGATACTGACTTTGCCGCGTATTCTGGAGCAGCCTGGTTCCGAGCATTGCGTTGAAATGGACAGCAACCTATTGTTTTTGGTGGATGGTTTGTTTTTGGCTTTGTACTCTAATATGACTGCTAGAATGAAGACAAAGGAGACGCGAGGGTACTTTTATTGCTTCTTTTTGCCAAAATCTGCAAAGGGATCTCGCAAGGCATCGTTGGCGGGCTCCTTGCCACGCTTGTGCTGCACGCGGAGCCACTTGCGATAATCCGACAGCGACTTGATTTTGTCGCCATAGTAATCATCCGACATGGAGGTCGTTGCATGGCGGCGCGTTGTGATGCGATCGACAAAGTCGGCGTGACGCTGGTCAACAAGAGCAACCAAAAACAAATCCGAAACAACGTCAGTGGATTGAACAAAGTGTGTCAGCCATGCAATTGTCACTCGACCTACCGCATCCATCTGGCGAGCGCGGGCTGGCGCGAGCAGCGCATACGCTTGCGAGTACAACCACTTGCCGCCTGCAAAGCCGAGAACAGCCGATGCCATGCCCGTCATGCCCGCAATCACCATCAAATCAAGGCCACTGATGTTGTTTTTGTTTGTTTCCAAAGTGACAAGCAACCACGCCGGGTGAGTAAACTTTTTTTTTGTTTGGTCAACGTTTCGGCAAAATGTCGTGTCGGAACGTACAAGAACTGAGGAAGCTGGTCCTGCGGGACTGAGCCGTCGTACACTTCCGGGAATACCATGACAAAGACCCACGAGTTGAGCAGGATGCTTCCGATCGCGACAGGGACGCCCGCGATGTTGCTCGCCATATTGTGGACTGTCTTGGCCTTGCAGTACTCGTTGAAGGGCATCATGGGCGGCTTCGGGGTTGCAGCCGCAGTCGCAGCCGCAGTCGCAGTCGCTGGCTCAGCAGCAGCAGTAGTAGTAGTAGTAGTAGTAGTAGTAGTAGTAGTAGTAGTGGTGGTAGGAGGGATCTTGGCTGCATCATCAGTGGGGCTGGCTGTGCTCGACGACGACGCGAGCGATCTGGCAAACAGAGAGAGAGAGCGAAAGGACGAGATCTCAACCCCTCATTGAGCATCGGGGGACACTCGACCACCACGACACCAGATCAACTTCAATGTAGCAAGGGCTCACCGTGCAAGGGTCAGCGTGGGGATGGAGAAGGCGGGCCGTGCGGCGACAGAGCCGAGCGCGTGTGCAGCAGCAAAGAAGCCGAAACGAGGACGGCAGCTACTGAGAAGCATTCTGAGAAGAAAAACAAAACAATGAAAAAAAAAAAAGTGAAGTGATGATGAAATAAAATAGAGTTTGGCAACATTGTGACAAGGGAGGAAATCTACCTTTGACGTGGACCGCACGCGCTCATATCATGCTGTCAACGATTTGGCATGGATTGTTGAAACTTTAGAAGATACTATCCCGATCATTAATTTTCGACCACCCTTCTGTTTTTCAATTTTTCGCCCTCCCTGGGACCTGTGTTAGTTTCCGTCTCGCCCGCGACATCTGCATTCATGATACAGTGTACCAGACGTCTGATGAACACCGGGAGCGGGGGTTCCGAGTCATATTGGAGCAGCAGCGAGCAAAATAAAAAATATCAGGAAACACAAAAAAGTCACTTTTCCCGCGCAAATTCTGGTTTGGGTTCAGTCTTTTTGTGCGCAATGACTCGCACACGCAGTCAGTCCACGTCCCGCGTGGCTCCCAGACAGCCCCCGGTATGGCTGCGTCCAACTTCACCAAAAAGACCGCTGCCCGTGCTGGACAAGATGCCCAGGGAGGTCGTCCGCGGTCAAGTGCTCGCGTTGCGAAATGCTGGCCTCTCCTACAACAAGATCGCCACCCAGCTTCACCTCCCACGTTCTACAGTGATCAGCATCACCCAACGCTTCTCGGGAAGGGCGACGACGAGCGACAGCCCCCGCCCCGGTCGCCCCAGCAAGCTCAAGTCATTACACCGCGACAACATTGTAGCGCAGATCCTCCTCAATGAGTCCGACACCGCACCCGAAGTGGCCGCCACTATGCCCAGATTGACCAACGTTGATGTTTCTCCATGCACGATAAGAAGGGTGCTGCATGGTGCAGGACTTTTCAAAAAAGCCCTCTTGAAAGAGACACACAAAGAGCGACGCTTGGCCTTTGCACTCGCTCATCAGCATTGGACCGTCAATGACTGGCTGAGGGTCGTCTTCTCCGGCGAGACTGCTCTCTATCTCTGCAGGAACAACACCTGTGGATCGGTTGGCGAAACGTTGACCGATCGATGCGTGCTCAAGTTCAGCGGTGGCCATATTAACGTTTGGGGCGCCATCTCTCGTTTCGGAATTTCGCTTTTCTGCGAGGTCGGCGACGTCATGAACGGCGACACCTACCTCTCAGTTTTGGAGAGCGAGTTGCTAGCAAGCATTCGCGTGTGGAACAACAAAAACGAGATGATTTTCATGCATGACAATACCCCTTGTCACAAAAGAAAAGATGTGGCCAAGTGGTTCGAAACCAATCAGATCACCGTCCTGGACTGGCCTGCGAACTCTCCCGACCTCAACCCCATCGAAAATGCGTGGAACATGGTCAAGAACAAGATCTACCAGGAGAGGGAGATCAAGAGCAAGACCGCGTTGTGGGAACGCTTCCAAGCGGTCTACGAAGAAGTGCTCACGCCAGAGGTCTGCCGCGATCTCATTTCATCGATGCCGCGCCGCATTCAAGCTGTGATAGATGCCAATGGTGGTTATACCAAGTACTGAAGTGGAGCGGAGGCGCTGCGACACGTTGTTTGTGTGCCATGTAATGCTTTGTGAAAATTGGGCAAAAAATCCGCTCTTTTTCTGTTTTGTTTAGTTTTCATTTTTGTCTGTTCTCGCTTCGAATCTTCACTCCCAGCCCGCTGCTTCACTTGTAAAATGTGTCTGGTACACTGTACCATGAATGCAGATGTTGCGGGAGTGATTTTGGTTTCCCGCCATTCGTTCGCTCGTTGGGTTGATCATTTTCGCGCCATTTTTTTCCCGGTTTCGTGCCTCAAACATGCTGGAACCAAAGAGATTGAACTGAGAATTGCTGGAAAGTGAGCAGAGTCCATGGAAAGAGTCCATGGAAACAACAAATGCACACAAATACACAAAAATTCATTTGCGCTGCCTGATTCAATCGTCGCGACGCCCGCGGTCGGATCTACTCCGAGACGAAGACGAACGAGGCGGCGATCGAGACCGAGACTGAGACCGAGACCGGGATGGAGATGGAGACCGAGACCGAGCATTGTTACGACGAGATGAAGGCGGTCGAAGTGAATTCTTGGACGAGCGACTCCGATCAGGACTAGGACTACGACTAATACTACGACGACGATGCCTAGAACCGTGGCTACGACGACGACGACGACGATGCTTGCCTTCGTCTTCGGAATCGCTTGATCCGCTGCTGTGGCTTGATCCGCTGCTCGAATCCGAGCTATAGCCAGAATCCGAGTCAGAGCCAGAGTCCGACCCGGAGCTCGAGCCTGACGATGATCCAGACGACGAGTATGATGACCGTGATGATCCCGACCCTGATGACGATCCCGACGCAGACGACAATCCCGACGAGCTGGACGATGATCGCGACGCAGCTCGTCGCTTTGTGTTGGATCGGCCTCGACCTTGCTCGGCGGCACCACCCTGCGGCACGGCAGCAAGCGACATTGCAGAGAGTTCATGCGAGGCAGCACGTTCGCTCTTGGCTTCATCCGCTTGGGCTTGGGCTTGGGACTGTGCTTGGGATTGGGACTGAGCTGGAGCGCCTGCCGCAGTCATCCCGACGCCTGATGGCGGGAGTGCGATCGACGCCGGCGCGCCTGACGCAATGCGGTCCTCGAGCAGCTTGGATCGCGATGGCCTTGGGCGGTAGACGGTCGCATCGGCACTGCTGCGGGTGCACTGGTACGTCCAGTGGCCCGGCTGCTTGCAGTTCTGGCACTTTGGAGCCGCAGCCGACGCAGCACCACCAGACCGGCGGCTTGGTTGTTGAGGGAGGGCGCCGAGGATTGTAAGACAAGTAGGAAAATCAATGTTGGCGTTGAGCACGTCAAGGCGAAGGAGGGGGGGGGGATCAACGGAAGTAGTTTCTGAGCTGCTCAGACGGACTCCACCACACCCTTTCTCTCAATCATAGTTCTTGCCCTGGTCACCATCATCACCTCTCATTATTACTACCAAACCAAATCAAAACGAGGTCGGTGCGCAATCAGAAGGTTTGTGTTACCTCCCAGACTGCTTGAGCAGGTCTTTCATACGACGATCGCTCATGACTGGTAAATCTCTCGATTGGAATGACTGAGCTAGAGTTCAAGTCTTTCTTTTGTTGAAGATGGGTTGAATAATGAATGCGAATGCGCTTTCAGTGGCTGAATCGGTGGATGTGGTCGTTCTCATTTGAAGCTCAGACACCTCGTTTGTACTGAATTCGACTGCTTTAATCTTGCTCCTATGCCACTCTTAATTCCTCCTCCAATTCCACCATCCACAAATGTGCAAGCACGTCCTCAACGCACAGGTTTGTCGTCACAAGTGAAACATTCATCCCTCGAGCTCGACCTGATCTCATGCCGCTCATATTCGCCTCTTGTTTGCATGCGACTCACTTGTTTTGCTTTTTCTGCTGCTGCTGACGTGCTTGCTGCGGGGTGGCGGGGGTGGGGGGAACAGGTCTCGGTGCGCGCCGCATGCTGCAAGAAGTGGTTTGACTGCCCCGAATGCCACGCTGGGTCCGAGCAGCACCCGCTCCGCAAGACCGTCGAGCTCGTCTTTGCATGCAAGAAGGTCTGTGTGTGCTTGATAGTCGAAGTTTGGATGCGGGCGCGGTGATTTGCGGCCGTTGTTTCGTGTTTCGTGTTTTCCAATCGTGTGGCTGCAAAACGATTTCCCGCCAAAAAAAAAAAAAAAAAAAAAAAAAAAATCAGACGTCAACCAAAGACGTCAACTATCAAGGCTTTGGATGGGAAAACACAACTCAATTCGAATACTCACTCGTTGGCAACGTTGGTTCTGCTTGGTCATGACCATGATTGCTTTTTGTTTTAAAACAATTATCGACATTTGGCAGTGCAAGAAGGTCTTCCGAAAGAATTCCACGTAAGTCTTGTTTCGGCTTGTCAACAATCGCTTCTACGATGACATCTCGACTCACCTTTGATCGCGATGGGTTGGCGTGGAATTTGGGCAGCAACTTTGACGAGGAGACGGATTCGTACTGCCCGTACTGCGACAACAAGTATGATGATCGATTTGACATTTTTTTTTCACCTCTTGTTCGCATGCTCATCACCGCCTTCGTCCTCGACGAACAACACAGATACATTTTGCCTGCGAGCTCAAAGGTTCCTGTAGTCACGTTGCAAGCGGATGTATCGGCACTCAGGGATATGCGCGATCCGACAGCACCAAGCTCAGGGCATATGCGACAGCCCGACTTTGAAATGACAGCCGAGGAGTTGGCCGAGTGTAACGCGGACTGCTGCGATGATGGAACTTGTCAATAAAGGTGGATGTTTCGGCTTACAAGCTATGACGACGTGCCAACTGGGCTTTGACGATCTGCAAACTTGGTGAAGGAGACAATCCGTTTGTTTGCTCAACCCGCTCCTTCCCTATTTTGCGCGCGGATAACTTTAAGACATGAACGAGAAGTTTTGTGGGCGGGAACAATTTACCAAGAAGACACACCTGTGCCCAAGAAAATGCACAACTACTGTACTTGCTACAAGAATAACAACCAATTTTGCATCAAAACTCGCGTTTCGAGAAACACGCTCTAGACGGCCTTCTCGACGCCTGGCAGTCGCTCAGCCGACCGAGCCTCGAGACTGTCCAGGGAGCCGTCAAGGCCGGGGAGACGCTCGGCAGACTGGTTGTCGAGAATCTCGGAAATGCCTTTGGACAGCCAGGCATGGTGGTCGACACCTCGCAGTTTCTGGACGAGCGTCTTCAAGCGGCCAGGCCGAGGCGGGGTGACGGCGTTTTTGAACGAGCTGGACTTGTCGTGCTTGTGCTTTCGACTGACGCCAGGCGATCCGGGAGCAGAGCTGGGTGCCGAAGACGGCGCGGAGGATGGAGCGGATGTCGGGGCGGACGTTGGGGCGGACGTCACCACCAGCCCTGCAGGTGCGTCAGGATCCGGTTCGCCAGCCACAATTTCTCGACGGGCGCGGCCATCCTCAATGCGCATGATGCGCATCTTTTTGCGGAACTCAAGAGCCTCCGTGTGCTTTGTCATGGCAGCAGCCATCGTCTCCACTTGCGCGTCGTGGTACTCTTCCAGGTCAAAGGTGGTAAAGTTGTGGAACAGTTCGGCCTGCTCACCCATGATTGGCTTGGGCAGACGCTCAAACATGGCGTGCTCGCTGGGGTCGAGCAGCAGGTTGCGCCAGAGCGTCACGCCGCTCAACTCGGCCGAGTCCGACTTGATGCGGCTCTGTGCCTTGGTGAGCCGCTGCCGCGACACTTTGCGTGCGCGCTTGATCATGGCTAGCGGGTTGTCTGAAAGCAGCTGCTCTTCCAACTCCAGCGTGGGGTCAAAGTTGGCCATGTGCTCGTTCGGATGGAATGGCGGCGTGAGCTGTTTCTTTTCGCAGGCCACCCAGTCAATCGGCGTGAACTTTGACTTGACACGACGCGGACGTGGTGACGCCGACGACGAATCCGCTCGGCTGCGCGGCGGGCTCGACTCACGGCCGCTCTTGCGGTCCTGCCCACCACCGTCGCCATCGCCATTGTCGTCATCGTCATCGTCATCGTCTGCAAAGCTGGCCAAGTCGTCGATGGATTCACCTTCGAGCATTGCTTCAATGAGTCGCTGCCTTCCAGACAATCGTTCGGGCTTTTGGCACACCCCGCTGGCAAAGAAGGGATGGGTGCGGATGGCGCTGGCGAACGCCGATCGCTTGGACGGCGTTTTCAGCAGGAGGCCAGATAAAAAGTCAAACAACACGTCAGACATTTTGTTCTCGAGATTGGCAATCGAAAAGGTCTCCAGCTCCTTCTCGAGCGCAGTGTAATCCTTGGCGGTAACGTGCGTGCTGCCCGTGGCCATCTCGAGCAGCGTGATTCCAAGCGCCCACCAGTCGACCGCAGTGTCGTGGCCGGCATCCGCGAAAATCTCTGGTGCCATGAACTGGATGGTGCCGCAGATGGTGTGGGACTTGCGGCCCTTGAGACGCGTGGCCAAGTTGAAGTCTGTCAGGTGAATGTGCCCTTTGCTGTCGAGCAGCAGATTGCCGGGCTTGATGTCGCGGTGGGCAATGTGGATGTCGTGCAGGTATTGGATGGCGAGCACGAGCTCTGCCGCGTAAAACCGCAGCGCATTGTCGGTGAACACAAATGGGTCGTTCTCGTTGTCGAGCAGAAAGCGCATGTCGCCGCCCGTCATGAGCTCGAGGCCAAAGTACATGAAAAACTCGTCCTGGAAGGAGAACTGCAGATTGACAATGAACGGGTGCCGGAGTTGCTCGAGCAATTCCCGCTCAAAGAGCACATTCCCAACCATGTTCTGCTTGATGCACTCGGTCTTGGAGACGTACTTGAGCGCATAGTAACGGCGGGAGAGCTTGCGGCGGACGACCTGGACCTTGCCAAAGCCGCCCCTGCCAATCGTCCGGATGAGCGAGAACTGGCCCAGGTTGACTTCATGGCGCAGCTGCGGCGAGCTGGCCATCAGGTATGCCGGCGAGTGCAGGATTGCGAGGTCGGCTGCTGCAGCGGCTGTCGGAGTCGTCGAAGCAGCAGCAGCAGCAGCAGCGTTGTCATGATGAGGATGGGGTGATTCCGCGTTCGCTGTGGTGCTGTGATGAGCATTGTGGCTGTTGCTGCTGCTGCTGTTGCTCTGAGTGTTGGAGCTGGCTGAGGTCGCGCTCGTCGTCGTCGTCGTCGTCGTCGTCACTGTGGTGGCAGATGGCGAATGGGCGTTCACTTCGCCGCCAAATCCAAACCAGCTCGAACCGCCGCTCTGCGCTCGCTTGACTGGCTTTGGTGAGCGCAATGCATGGACAGTCTTGTGGCTCGCCTGTTGCTGCTGTTGCTGTTGCTGTTGCTGTTGCTTTTCGAGAATGTGCTGCAGGGCCGCCTGTCGCCGTTCCCGCCGCCGAACCGCACGCGCTCGTGCCGTGTCGATTTCCTCGGGGTCTGGCGGCAGTCCCGCGTCCTGCACGAGCACGGCAGACTCGTTGTCGCCAGTGAGCACGTAGTCGTCTTCATCCGACGACGAGTCTTCCTCGAGGCTCAGCAGACCTCCCATTTTTTTCCTCGCACTACTTGAGTTGAAGTGGAAAGGGGGAAAGTGAGTGTGAGCGTGGCAAACGAATCAAAAAAAAAAAAAAAAAAAAAAGAATGACGCCACAGAGCGAACGAGACTGGAGATTTTCAAAAGTCCCAATTCAATGGGTGGAGAAAGCGTTTGAGAGTTCAATAAGGGAGGTGTGTGTGTGTGTGTGTGTGTGCTTGTGGTGAATGGCGGGAGGTTGAGGACTGTTGGACAGCGAGGGCTATTTAGAGTGCGAGCGAGCGCGGCATTGGGGTTGCGGTTTGTGCAGCCAAGTTCTGCGGTGACGGGTGGACGACAGTGTTACAGTATGAGAGTGTACAGTATGACACTGGCCCAACTTTTTTCGACCTTTGTCGGTTTCGAGAAAAAAAGTTCGAGCCGGTTCGATCTGGCTCCCTCTCTACCCCCACACTGTGTTGACAATACGATTTTATTGTAGCGTCTAGTTTTTGGGGCGGGTAGCGCACCGAGAATCGTTGGGGTGGTCGAAAAGGTGGAATTGAAGAGCGAAAACTTCCATTTTTGGACGAGCTTTATACCCTGTTTTTGGCCCAAAAACCTCTAGAAACGCTGCCCTGAGAGTTCTATTCACTGTCCACCGCTGCCATTGCAGACGCCGACCTATTTTATCACCTGTTATCATATGCAGTCTTTTTTCGTGGCCGAGCAGCAGCCGTGTGAGATCGATTTTTCCGAAACTTTTGTATCGTTGATGGTTCGGTCCAAACGAAGTGTGTTTGATCCGGTGAACAATGCCAGAGCGGCTGAACGACTACGAATGAAGCGCCGAGATGAATATCGGGAGCAACAAGTACGCAGAAGCGAAGGCAGGGGGGGGGGTGAAGGTGCCGAAGTGTTTTGGCGCGAAAATCTTCTCACTTCTCTGCCATCTACCAGGCCATCAAAGCCGTCCAAAGGCACCTCCATGCCCTTCAAGAGGCTCAAGCATCATCGCGCAAGCCCCGCCGGCGGCAGAGCATCGCCGCGGCTGCAAGTCCCGCGCCGCCTGCCGCCTACTTGACTTTTGATGCTCCCACATCCGAGCCTATCCCTGTACCATTGCAAGCAGCTGCAACCCCCGTCAGATCGCGCAGAAAGGCCACAGAGGATCTGGTCCCCGGCTCCCGTGAAGCGAAACGCCGGCGCGAGGAAGCGGTGCAGCTTGGCTGCGAAGCTCTCGTCGCTGCTGTCGCGCAGGTCCATGGCCATGACGACGCTCTGGTTGCCGAAACAGCTCAGGCTGCTGCGCAGAAATACGTGCCATCTGTCACAGCTGGCACAGTGGCCCAGATCCGCCTGCAGTGCACAGCAGAACTGCTGCCCATTCTTCCAGACCAGACACCGCAGCTTCTTGGAACGGTCGCCCATCACAAAACCAAGGACATATTAGCAACCATGCCTGGTGTGACGCGCTACGCTGTGCAACAGGCGCGCGCGAACAATCTGCACTATGGAGTTGGCCAAATCGCTCAGCGGACGCCAGCCACGCCGCGCAAGTCGCGCCCTCTAGATGCGAGCGTCCGCGCATTCACGCTGGATCACTCAGTTCCCAGTGCTCACAAGACAAAGGTGGACCCTGTCACTGGTGAGGCGAAGCCTATCGTCTACCTGGAAACATCGATGCGGAAGATGCACGAAGACGCCCAGAAAACGGCCTCCTGTGCTCTTGGAGCGTGTTCCAGCGCGCTCTACACGCAGGAGAGTTTATATTCCAGCGGCGTGTTCCTGAAAACGGACTTTGCGGCAACTGCCACCGAGCGTTCGCGGTTTTTAGCGAGGATATCCCTTTTCTGCTGCAAGAACTGGAACGATTGACGATCGCTTTTCCGGACGCACATACGGCAGGGCTGCGTCTACAAGGGCTGAGGGACCATCTTTTCGCTTTGACAGCTGATCCAACCAAGCATTACGACCACCCCTTCCACTGCCTCGCATTCGGGTTGGACGACTGCCAGCAGCAGCACCACCTCGGCGTGCTCAGCAGTCCCCAGCCGTGCCCAATCTGCACCCAAGGCCTCACTACCCTTGCCGATCTGAGCCTGCACATCGACGCCCATCTCCCTCAAAACCCCGGCGAATGCGCCGATATGCAGACCATCCTGGAGCGAGGATGCCAAACTCTTCAGCAGTGGGTGGCGCACCTTCTCCGCTCGGCTCATACTCGATCCCTCATCAACAAGACGATCAACAACCTAGGTCCCGGTCAAGCTGTGTTCTTGTGTGATTTCAAAGTGAGTTTCGAACAGCCAAAAACTTTCCGCGATCTGTTGTCCTAACGAGCTTCGAAACTCTGTCGTCCTTCTTCCTGCTAACAGATGAAAATCATGCCAGATAACTATCGTCAGAGCAGCCAAGCTTTTTTCGCGAAAACTGGGATCTCTTTTCATGGAATAGTGTTCTTTTTCCGTCAACCCAGCACGAACGAAGTAGCCATGCTTCACTTCGACGCCTGGCTGCCCGATGAAAAACAGGACTGGATTCTGATCATCCATCATCTGCAAGCTGTGTTTGCAGTCATCAACTCGCTGATCACAGAGGGACGAGTTCCACCGTAAGAGCAGTGTTGTCGCGAAAACTGTTTGTCGCATTTCTCTCACCGCCCGCTCGTCCCAGAATCAATACTGCCTCTGTTGTTACAGACGCAGGTGCACACTACGTCAACTCGCCATTCAGCGTCTTCCTATCCAGTAAGATGCATACTCAAGCGAGTTTCGACATCACCGACCTTTGGCACTTCGAGGCTGGTGAAGGTGAGGAGCATGTCGAGCTGTCGATCCCCGAATCTTCAAGCGTACTGATAAGTTGTACATTTCAAACAGGCAAGTCACGCATCGACCTTCACTTTGCGCACGTCAGCGCAAAGTTCAGCGAGTTCATGAAAGGTGGCAACTCAATTAACAACGGCATGGATGTCGAAAAAGGTAGGGCCTTGTATTTCATGTATTCCATTTGTTTGAATCGATTATGGCTGCATTTGCTGACTGGACACGTATCAGCGCTCGCTACGATGCCAGGAACGACTGTCCACCAGCTGCACATTGACGAAGCGACGCGTCGCCGCCTTCAAAAGGTCCCAAAGAGTATCCCAACTCTGGATCAGGCAGGTCACATCGTGTACAACAACGGTGGCATGCAGGGATTCCGACTGAGCGACCGCTGCATGCTGTTCGAGTACACTGGCGAGCGGCTGCGAGAAGTCTATCGCCACGACTTCTCGACGCACCTGACCCTTGGCCAGCAGAACAGTCCGCATTGGAGCAACAACGCCGAAC